TGACGAAGCGGATGGAGATGGGGAGCAGTCATATGGGGGACATGAACAACGGGGGGCGGAAAAGGAAGAACATGAAAGTGTGAAGAAGCAGGTTCAGTGCGATGATAGCGGTGTTACAGCCGAGGCAGCATCCGATGTAGCATCCCATGTAGCTGCCCACGTAACTGCGGAGGGTGACTCAAAGGACCACACAGTACCCGAAGGGACATCAGAAAAGACAAGCAACGAGGAAGGCGATGAGGCAGGTACCGTGCCAAACGTGGACGGAGCAAATGGGGACGATGTCCCGCTGCAGGATGAAGAACAGGAGGAGCACCCCAGCGGCAATAAAGATGAAAATGGGCTAAAAAAAAAAAAAAAAAAATTGCGAAAGTTGAAAAAATACACTGATGAAAGTGACAGTCAGGAGGATACACAGCAGGCAGATAAACAGAAGCAGGCTCATAAAATTAGTAAAAAGGATTTTATCTTAAAGAGTGGCGCACACAAAAGGGGGGGGGAGGCCCACGATGAAGAGGAGGAGCAGCAGCTGGAGAAGAAGGAGAACAACCACGATGGAGAGTCCCCGCCTGATAATGCACACGAAACTCCCCCGGGGGGGGAAATAGGTCAGGCTGGAAAAATAAGCCAGAAGGAGATGAAGAGAAAAAAGGACAAGAGAAAGGCCAAAGGGGAAAAGAAGCATGGCACCAACTCTAACGGGGACTCTAATGGGAACACTAACGGGAGCACTGAGGCTAATGCAGGTGCGAACTCCGATGCGAGCTACTGCGATGGGGATCATCAGGCCGGAAGTAAAGAAGAGGAGGAGGACGACGACTACGGGGGATTCCACTCCGATGACCACTTGGGCAGTGAACCAGACGAGGAAGACGAGCTCTCCCAAGGAGACAGCGAGCAGGAAAAGACCAACAAGTCGAGAAGAAAGAAAAAGGCAAGAGGGGGTACCCAAAAGAAGAGCGAACCAAAGGGGGACGAATCAAAGGTAGATAAAGACGGAGATAACGCGGTACAGATCAGAGAAAAAAAAAAGAAAATGAAAAACTCCAGGCTGATGGAGGACATTAACCCAGATGAAGACAAACACAAATTAAAGCTAATTTGTATGTCCTTCCATAAGAAGGAATACGACATTGAAGAATTCATATTCGAAAGTTTGAAGGTAATTATTCCCCAGTACAAAAGGGAGGTGTTCCTCAACCAACAGAACATCATTATTGATCGTACCAGCAGGGAGGATTTGAAGAACCTGGAGATTTTCTGGTTTGACAGATTGACAAAGAACAGGCGCCGAAGCATAATTAGCTGCTTCACCACGTTGGGTAAGATGGGCCTTGGGGGGAAAGAAACGAATGCTCTAGGCGCATCAGAAATTGTGATGAGCGTTCCCGAAAATGTCATGAGCGTTCCCGAAAATGTTATGAGCGTTCCCGAAAATGTCATGAGCGCTCCCGAATTTGTGATGAGCATTCCCGAAAATGTGATGAGCGTTCCCGAAAATGTGATGAGCGTTTCCGAAATTATGATCAGCGCTCCGGAAAATGCAACTAGCGCCCCCGAAAATGCAGAGACCACGGTGAACCCCCTCCTGGAGCATATATTCACCAAGAAGAAGGACCAAATAATAGTAGACCACCTCGCTGCGCTCTGCACACAGCAAGTGAAACTAGTCAAGGAGTACATCTCCTACATGAGGAAAAACATATTTGACCTATCGTCCATCTCCGAAAACAACGACAAAATTAAAGAATTGAACATCCTAGATCCGATAAAAAGGAGGGAACTGTTCTTTTACCTTAATTTATGCATCTCAATGAATTACATTCAAGAGCAGGCTCCAAATGTGTACGCTATCCCAAACGATCTCTGCCCAGACATTAGAGGCTTCAATTTACACCCCATGTTTTCTCATATCAATAAAAAACAAAATGAAAAAAAAAGAGAAAAAGGTGGAAATCCTTGGGAAAAATTAAAATTATTAAAAAAATCCCAAAAGATGGATGTAGCAAATAAAAGTAGCGACACGAGCATGCGCAAAACTGAAGTGGTTGCACAAATGAGTACAAAAAAAAATGAAGTAAATGAGAAGGAATCAGAGGAAGACCGAAATGATGAAAAAAAAAAAAACGATAAACATATCGATGATAACGAAATGCTTCAGAAAAAGATTCTGGAAGAAGAACAAAAAAAAAAAAAAAGCATTAGAAGAAATGAAAAAAAAAAAAAAAGAAAAAGATGAAAAAAAAATCTACAACGTTTATTCTCTACTCGAATCAGCTGCCCAGTATTTTGGCGAAGGCCCAAAATATTCCAACCCTAATATGCATGAATTCTATAAGTCAAACAATAATCAGCTTGTCTACATCAAACCACCAGCAAATATAGACGAGAAAAACATCTTGATAAATTACTTCCTTCAATTTCCAAGCATCACCAAAAAGTTAGAATACAATAAAAGAAGAATCTATGCTGAGAATTATGGGCTTGTTAAGATTATTAAAAATAGTGAAAATCTCCCCGTCAGTTTTTCTTTGAATACGCATCCTTGGCTGTTAGAACCGTATGAGGATCTCTGGAAGGAGCAGAACAAATTGAACAATTTTGGCATTTTCAACATGGCCAATTTGTTGCGTGACGATGACGACGACTTCGTCAGCTTCGAGAGCAACCAGTTCTCCGTCACCAGGGGGGAGTCGCAAAAGGCAGGACCGGTGATGGTAGAGGCGGTCAAGACGGAGGCGGTGAAGTTAGAGGCGGCGAAGTTAGAGGAGGTGAAATTAGGGGCAGTGAAGTTAGAAGAAGTGAATGCGGGATCTTCAAACGCAGAAGTGGCAGAGGCAGAAGCGGAGGGGAACTCCAAATGTGACGCTCCCCAGCCTGAGGAACCGCCCCCGCGAACGCCCAACGAACCGGGCGAAGAAACTCCCGCCCAGCCCAATGGAATAAAAATAACTGACAGCAAAGGGAAAAACCATTTTCTGACGAAAAAAATTAAAAAGTTCTGTTCGAATGAAGACTCTAAACAACTAAAACTGACGTCCTTTCTGAGTAGAGAAAAAGTCCGCAAAAATTTGGACGTGGTTAAAAAAGGGGAGAACGAAAGAATAGACAAGGATAAGCCCACCCCAGGCGAGTTAAGCAAAGGCGTGGGCGAAAACGAAAAGGAGGAGCAACCCAGTGAAGAACCCCCTCGAGACAGTGAAAAGGAAGATATACAATACTTTAAAGTAAAAAAAAAAAAAAAGAGAATACTAGACGACGAAGCGATGAATGAGATATATGACAGCCAGGCGAACAAAGACACGAATAAGGGGTCCCACGCGAAGCAAAGAAATGGAAGAGATCGTGAAGCATGTGGGTTCACTCAGCAGCAGGGGGAGGACGTCAACCAAGAGATCGGCTCCACTGTCAGTAACAGTCCCGACTGGGTTCAGGACGATCATGGGGCTCAAAACGATCATAGTGAGCAGTCGGAAGGAAGTGTGCCAATAAAAAAAAAACGAAAAAATAAGGAGGTTCCTGGGGAAAACCACATCAGTTACGACGCTGATGATGGTGGCGATGACGATGACCAGGATGACGATTCCCACGATGACGATGGCAACAATGATGATGGCTACAATGACGTAAAGGGAAGTGAAAACACAAACGAAGATGAGGCCGAGATGGAAGAAGCAGACAAAACGAACAACCACGTGTATGCGGCTTTAAAGGAACGATTGGCAAAGGAAAAGAAAAGGTACGTAGGAGGGCGAATCGACAGTTTTGCAATTCACGTGTGAAGACAATTTGCAAATCCTGTTTGTGCTCCCACAGCTCGCACATTTTGGATAAATGCGAACACTGCACTACGTACAAGCGGCTATACGCTGCGGCAAATGCACCATGGGGCACTTAAATTGTATTTGCCTCTTTTTTTTTCTCCAAAGGCTACGGAAGGACAAGATGCAGCAGATCTTCGAATTAGAAGCAGAAGAGAGTGAAGACGAAAATATTGACAACCCAGAAGGAAGGAGGAAGAACCAGGAGGAGGACTCCGACGAGGAAGAAGACGAAGACGACAACAGCGAGGGGTAGGTTTTTTCCTCCATAGACAAGTTAAACATCCCTATGGTGGTTTAGACGGCGTAAAATTGCAGCGCAGGAGGGTGATATACCCTGGATTCATTCCATAGGCATCCTCGACAGGCCCCACGCGTCGGATCCCCCAATTAGTATCAGTCACTGCCCATTTTATCGCTCACTGCCCACCTTATCACGCCCCCTTCTCCCCCCTCTCAGACTTAACGAATTCATAAACAACGAAGAGTGTAACAGCGACAACGAAATTGTCAAACTTAAGCACAAACAAGAAATGGAACAACTGGAGGAAGACATATTTTTAAAGAAGTTCACTTACCAGGGGAAGGAATTTAAGAACGAACTGACAAACAGGGAGAAACTGGAATTAGAAAGAGAGCGGCAATTACTACGAAGAAAAAAAATGCTATTTAACAGAGGCTTAGGACATGTGAAATTGAGTGACTTCGAGTCAGATAGCAGCTCAAGCAGTAACACCAACTGGAAGAAGAAAATTAAAAACACCATGTATGAACCGTTTACCGAACTTGAAAATAGGAAGTCGTCCAAGACGAATCATCAAACGGTTGGTGGGGCTTATAATGAAGGTGCCTTTAACAAGGGGGAGTGCCACGCAGACTTAGAGGGCGATCACAGAAGGAAGCAGAGTAAGTGTCCCAGCATTCGTGAACTGATATGCGCGCAGTTAAGGGGTTATCTTTTTTTTTTCTTCTTCTTTTTCCTTGCGCGTGCTACGCTGTTTCGCCTCACCGCGTGACCGTTTCACCATTCTCCACTCCCCACCCTGCAGTCTTAGAAAAAATGGACAACGTCATGTACACGAAGGAGATTAAAACGAACGAGGGGAAGCGAATCGTAATTAAGAAAAAAAGGAAAATTCGTTTCCACCAAGACTTTTCCGACGTGACAATCACCGAGGAGGAGAACGTTGACGCATATGAAAAAACCAAGAAGAAACCGAAAAAGGTAAATGCAAAGTTGGTTGAGCAACCCAAGTCGTCAGCTGTCACCATTCCCAACAAGGGAATGAATCATAATAACAAGGCCTCCATAAAATGGAACAACAACATAAAGGATATCAGCGAGCTGGACACCCCCACGAATAGCGAAGTCTTTAAGGGGTTCCGGAAGGTCGAAAATGCGCTGTGACACAGAGTGGTGTACTGGAACAGCGGTGAAATGAAATCGTTGCGAAGCGATACAGTCATTAAACACGCTAGGGCATCCCATACCGATTCAAGAACGCGGTTCACTATCTATGAGCAGTGCAAAGGGGCTAACCCAGGAGCAGACAAATATAAGTAAATTAATTCCTTGGATAACTGATTGATCGCTACACGAGTAAACTCATCTGCGCAACATTGGTACACACGTAGGCTGGGCACCGTGGCCCCCCCCCCACCGGCAGCCCCTTCCCCGTGCCTGTCCAGCAAAAATGGGAAAAAAGGGAAACATGACCATGGATGTATATGGCTTACGTGTTATTTTTAGTTTTACGCACATGTGTATGTACGCATAAACGGGCGGCGAAAAGCACATGTATACATATATATATGTACACTTATGTGCACACGCGCCTTTACGCCGTCACTTGTGGGCGCGCGCCTTTTGAATAGCCCCATATGGTTAAATTCTTTGTATGTCATGTTTATCGTATGGTTATTTGGGTGACAAGGTGTGTGCCCTTTTCTTCATCATTTTTTCATCACTTCGTTTTTTCTCATCGCTTTTTCATCACTTCATTTTTTCTCATCACTTTTTCATCACTTCATTTTTTCTCATCACTTTTTCATCACTTCATTTTTTCTCATCACTTTTTCATCATTTCATTTTTTCTCATCACTTTTGATTTTTTCTCATCCTTCTTTGCTTCTTTTGGCCCTTCCCCAAATGGTGCCATTCATATTTGCGAAACCTTTTAAATCGCAACATTTTCGAATAAAACAGTTTATGCACTTATTCGTAGGCACCCCACTTCAAGTGAGAAATTTTTCGTTTTCGTTTTGCCTATTTTTCCGCATTTTGCTTAATTTTCAATTGTTTTTGCTTCCTTTTTTTTCCGTTTTATTAAGTTATCATATTTTAAACTTATGTTTTCTTTCTTTTTTTTATGAAAAAATTTACAAACCTGATGATACCACATTTAATGCTGTTCCAAGTATATAATTTCCACCACCAATTTCGCTCCCCTCCTATGAATGAATAAATTCACCGCAAAAGGGGACATTCGCAAAGTTCACAAATTCGCCTGAAAGAGTCCTACAATAATTGTGTATATTTTTATCCACTTTGCGAAAAAAACTGTAAACAAAGAAATATATGCCATTTTTGCGAAAAGTGAGATTTTTTAACACACTTATGAAAACTTTATTTTTTTCCCACATAAAGAGAGGAAATAATTACTGCGCAACCTATTTGAAACCCCATCCCCCTTTCGTATCTACTTTCTTAAAAACAAAACTACATAATGAATAACAAAGTCAGTTTGCCCTATGAAATGTGTGAAATAAGGAAAGTTCCCTTTGAGCTCCCCAAGGAATTTCACCCGAATGTGAAATATGGCTTCCTGAGGAATTTCTTTTTCGGGAAATATACCTTCTACTACGTAATGAGGAAAGGAGAATTATGAGTTCCCTGTGCTCTGCATATATCTCCAGCGTATTAGCATTTTTTTCACCCCCATCCCCCACAGCTATGCCAATCTTTTAAACATGTCCTTTCCATTTTTACGTAGCCACACGTGAACAGCTGTTTAGCAAAATTCACCAGAACATTTTTTTTTTTTTTTTTTTCCCAATTTTGGCTAGTTCAAAAGCATTTTTAAAGTATCCGCAAAGGTGTCTGCAGGTTTTCTGCTTTTTTACTACCCCCTAGATAAAGTCCATTGCAACATCCGCAGATTTGTAATACATTTTTATGAAGAGAGAATTTACTACTTCCTACGTTTCGCGGAAGAACCTGCATTTGTCTACATGTTCCTATGCGACATTGCTACCTGTTGTGTGTTTTTTGCGAAATGGATTTCTTTTACTTCATCTTTTTCTTCTCACCCCCCCCACTCCATTGCAGAAAAATAATTTAAAAAAACAGAATTAAACTTCTTACCACTTTGATGAGTTCGTAAAAATGGCAGGAACATTCGAATAGCACGAAAAAGGACTAACCTCTCACATTTGGAAAGCGTTCTTTGTTAGTAAATATATTTTATGCAAACGTTTTTACAACGTACTTTTGTTTTCTTTTTTTTTTTTTCACATGTAAAAACCTAATTTTTCAATGGGCGCATATATGCATGTCTTGGTTTGGGGTTTCGGAGAACACAACTAAAAATAAAAGCGCAGATCGCTATTTTTCCAAAATGTTTAAAAATTAGCGGACAAATATTTGAGCAGAAATGATTTACTTTACATATGGATGAGAACTATGACTGCTTCCAACGCGGAAGTATTTTTAACCAAAAATTGCATGATGCTCATGGAGAGTTCGGAAAAATGTATCATCCCATGGGGAACTAATTTTGTAATATTCACACGCATAGATAAAAGAGGAAAACAAATTTCTTCTCCTCATCTGCTCTTACCTTTTAACTAAAAGGACGAGAAGTGTGCACAGTGACTGTTTCTCCTTTTTCCTTTTGCTCTTAAGAAAGGGAGGGAAGAATTATGACACTCGGGTGTATCAGCTTAACGGCATGAGATGCTACTGTGAAAATTGTGCATGTGTAAACTTTCCCAACTTATAAAAAAGCCATGAGATGAAATTAGAAGCAGTGACATATTTGGAGGGGTAGTAACTTAAAAGGCATTAACAAAGCTAGCAATTTTGTTCCCTGCCTCCTTCTTCTGATTCGTATCTGCTTAGAGGACCTAACTTCCTCACAGGTTCTCACTTTGTAGAGGTCCTAACTGTTAAAACGTTCCGACGTAAGTGGGCAATATAAGAAGGACACACAATTCACGTTTATTCATGCTTTTGCTGTAAAAAAAAGGGCGTTTTTATCTGCTGAAAAAATTGTACATATAGAGGGAGGTTTCCCCCCCCCTCTGTCCCGGTATCCCTCCACGACACATTTCTAAGCGTACATTTGGGATGTTCTACTTGAGCCTGCTTATCGTTATGTTATTCCACGTCATCCTAAGCTTTCCGCGCATGCAGTTTTTTCTGTGTCACTTTCTCACATACATTGTAAGGTTGGCTAACGTGTTGTTCTTCTTGCGCGTGCACAGGCATTTTTTCAAAAAGGCTAAGATTGCTACTTAGCCATATGGTCCTTCAACAAGCGTGATTATCATACCACAGTTTGTTTCAAACTTTGGGGAAGAGGATCCTAGTTTGAGGTACGCTCCACCGTCAAGATGCTGCAAGGTTATCGCATTTTTCTATTTATGCATCCCTTTGCGCGCTACCTTTTATTTTATTTTTATTTTCTCGGAGGAGTGTCACAAATTTCCACTCCTTCACCTTAGTGTCTCTCAAGATGCATTTTTCTCCCGTTTTCCCCTGAACACTCAGATCTTTTTTTAAAAATGCTCTACTTAAAAAAATGTTCAATGCTGGGAGATACTTCAGAGCAAGGTACTACTACTACAAGAAGAAGAACATTTTTCATGTAAAGGGGAACAGACAGTTTTATGGATTCGCCAAAAGTAGGAGGGTACAGACAAATGCCGTCAAGAGAAAAGATAGAATAAGAAGGGGGAAGTTTTTACAATTGAAGGAAAAGCTGCAACTCATCATTTTCAGCTCTGTGTACTTTTTTGCGTGTGACTATGTTTACCACGTGTATGTGCTGAGTGGCAACACCAGCAAAACCGCCAACCGTGCCTCCAACCATGGCGGCGAAGAGGGGGGGAATGATCCAAAATGCAAAGACGAACACGCCGGTGGCCAGGGGGGGGTTGGCACAACCATGATGGAGTATCTCCAAAGGATGAACATATTTTCCAGTGTACATGGAAAGGGTGGTGAACATTTAAAGCAACAGGACGGTGAACGTAGGAGACAAAATGACGGCCACAAAATGGAACCTCAAGAAGGTTTCCATAAAAAGGATCATCTTTCCAGCGGCAGAGGTGACGTAAGAATATGCAGCGTATGTGAGGAAGACCCATATGAAATAAAGATAAATCGCGTTAAGCGAAGCAATCGGAAGGAGGAAAGTAATCAAACGGGAAAACCTGACCAATATGGCCAATCATTCTATGGCGCAAACCAGAGAAACCAAATTTCTAGCCACGATCGGAGTGGCAGTGGGCGAAACCACCCTAACAATGGCACACCCCCCCAGAGAAACAGCATTGGGGGAGAGGAAAAAAACATGAAAAGTCTAATAATCAGTAACTTCCATCGGAATGATCTTTTCAACTGGTGCAACTTATTTCTGTTCGCGAACGGGGTTGTTTTCTTATGTTGGCGTCTAAGCGAAATCGCAGGAAATAAAAAACTTTTCCACTTCATGTGCAGGAACTTTATCTGCTCATATGAAAATATTAGAAGAAAATATTACCACACGATTTTTACAGCCACCATTAGCCACATCACTCTTCCCCATTTTTTATTTAACATGTGGGCATTTCATACCATAAGTAACACCCTGTTGAGTCCAGAAATTAAAGAGAACAAAACAAATTATTATTTTTTTTTTAATTATAAATCCAGCGTTTTGGAAAAAAAAATGACAGATAGGGATATCATGAAAATATGTGTCTTATCTTCCATCGTTTCGACTGTCCCGTATATTTTTTTACATAGAGCCAATCAACTGCTAGGAGCATCTGGAGCTGTTATGGGTCTTGTGTACATTCTGTCCACAGTTAAACCAAACGAGGTGTTCGTCTCCTTGTTCCCTCTTCCATACTTAAAGATGACTTCCCTACAGCTATGCCATCTGTCCATTCTAACCAATTTTGTATTTCTTTTTTATAGAAGAAACCATTTCAACATTGCGTGGTTAGCACATTTATTTGGTTTAATGGGTGGGGCATTGTATAATTTGTACCAGAGGAGAAAAAACAGTAATAGGAATTACTACCCCTTTATTGAATTGTCCCTAAAAAATGGCCCCCTTGATTATCTCAATTCTTACCTAGACTTTCTGGATTTTCTTAAATGTCTGCAGCTGCAAATTAGGATCTTCTTTTCCCTCGACACACGCGCCATGGAAAGCATGAACAGGAAAATCAGCTACATTAAAAATATGCAGTCCCAGAGGCGCATGAAGTACCACATGCTGAAGGTTAAGAATTTGGAGACCATGTCCAAGTGAGATAGACGGGTGTCGTTGGGAAACACGCGAAAAGGAAAATAAATAAAAGGAAACAGAAAAATTTTTGAGAAGGAGAAAACTCCCCGCTTTAGGGTAATCCGAATGGGGATCTTACACTAGACCGGGGTATCTCCCCCCTCGGGATGGAAATTAATATGATGTGTTAGATGGAGTAGTGATTAAAACACTATACGTTTGAAGTACCTTCTCATTTCACCCCATTTTTTGGGGAAAAAAAATGGTTCTTTCGTGGACCCTTAATTATGACCATAAAACGTGCGCAGGGGGACAGTCAGCCAGGTGGCACACCACGCCATCGTAGATCCAATTACACACACAGGTGTGTGTCTCTGTGTGTGTGCATCTATGTATTCACTTACGTATGTGCGCTGGAGTGCCTCCTGTGATTGCCACCCTTTACGCAATACCTTCCATTTTTCTTTTTTTAAGTGCAATTGTTTTTCCCTCAATTTGTTTCAACTTAAAATATTTAAAGAAAAAAAAATTAGAAAAAATTTCAAAACGGGGGGCCCATTTGTCCCCACCGAAGGTATTAACTCGTTTGTGTGTTTCTATGTGTGCGTGTTTTTTGGGGGGCGGAAGCCTTTCCAAATTGGTGCATTTTTTATGTGAACACTCCCCCATTTAACCCTTTGCAACTTCTTTCGAGCTCAATTTCGTGAAGTTATAAGAACGCTGTCAAAAGAGCGGGTGTTGGGTTCATTTTCCCTTCTGTGCGAAATTCGACACCAGCTACTAATTTGACAAGGATCCGTTCCATTCGTACAAACACGGTGTTTAATGAAATGTCCCCGGTTGAAGGTGCGAGGGGGAGTATAATAAATGGGCTTCCCATCTGGCTAAGCATGCAGTACGCCATGTCAGATATGATCGTCACTCCTAAGAACACGTTGACACGTATCTGCCTTTACATATACATAAATATGAGTGCATTTTTTAGTCCCATCCTTGCCCCCCCCCCGCCACACACACACACCCCGAAAGGTCGTTCTGCACAACCACGTTTAAACGTTCCACCCGGCTTGGTTTCGCAAAATGGAGAATTTCGCAGGCTCCTTCCTATTGCGAGGAGGGATGACCAATATTACCACATATATGTACATATACATGCACGTGGCCTCGTTGCTCTTTAACAAGGTTTATCCTCCCTGTTCTTCGTAACTTCACCACTGGGGCAAAAAATGCCGAAATTTTTCCTTTGCCTTCTTTTGAAAAGGTTATACTTGCTAAGTGCAATTTTTTATGAATCAAGGAAAAAAAATCAGCCCCAAATGTTCCCACACAAGGGCAGACATTCGAAAAGGGCTAAATATCGTTGTCACCACGGAAAAGAAAAAAGGAACAACGAAGCTATTAACACATTCACGCTTTGTTTGTATAAGGACTCAACGATGAAGCATAGTTGATTCTTACTTTCTCTTCTTTTATGACATTATTTTTTTTTTTATTGATCGCTTTGTGTACCTATTCACAAATCCATCTTCTGGATAGGCACAAAGTGGTTTTCCGTGAGATGGGTGGAAGGTAAATTTTAAAAGTCCTTTCTCTTCCCGTGTAAGCAGAGCAACGTTTGACATGCAGGGGCTAAGGGGATAGCAAAAAAAAAATAAATAAATAATAAATAAATAAACAAATAACACACTCCATAGGTGGATGGATTGGATAAACTGTATAAAATTGCACAAATTGTGTAAATTTCGCAAACGGCCAAAAAGGGCGTAAATACATGAGCGCGCATGGGTACAAAGGCACACCCAGCTTGGCGAATGCCACCCCTCACAAATTAGCGCTGTTCATTTTTTCTGCCTTTTTCGCGGGTGTGATAATATATTCATTTTTTGTTGCCTCCATTGAAGAAGTTCCTCTTCATTCTTCTTTCTTTGCATAGTTCCTCCAAACAAGTGCAATAGGGCATTAAAAATGTATATGTCATTTTACGGGTAAACGTAACTACACCATTTTGGCACCGCGTAATTTAAGTACTTATTATGTAGTATACGCCCCATCCCCCTTCCACTATCTGTGTAAACATTCACAGAGTTGCAGTGTACCGCGCTTGTATACATATAACGTTTTCAATGTAAAAGAGTCAGCCTTTTGCCAGTACAAGTGTGCCTCTTAAAAATGTACAATACATGTTATTTATGTAAAAATACATAGGGGCAAAATTATACGCATGTTCTACGAGAGGATTTTTACTACACCGTCATTGTTTTTCTTAATTTGATAAGAGGCTTTTTTTTTTTTTTTTTTTTTCCTTTACCGTTGAGTTATAAATTTTACGAAACCGATGCGAGCAGAATGGAAGCGCCGCGGATGGCTTCCCTTCACATTGTGCCATGTACCTGAAGAACTGTGTATATCATCAATAAATGTACTATTATAAAATGCGCTAAGCACGATTGTACGTGTCGCACCTGCGTGATCAAATTTTAAAGGGTTTGCATAAAATGGTAGAAGTATAGTTTCCCCCCCCGTGACCCTATGAGGAAGCCACTCTACTCTCATTTAGTTATAATTAATTCTTTTTTTTTCCTTATAAACCTTTTTTTTTCTTATAAGTTTTTTTTTTTTATAAGGCTTTTCTTTTTTTATAACCTTTTTTTTTTTTTTTTAACGCCAAGATTTTTCCCCGCTAAAACGGACTACCTACCAATCGACGATGAGGTGTTTAACTTTTCTCTTCTTCCTCTTCTTGGGACTCTTCTCCTTTCACAATGTCACGAACACGAAGGATATCCCCGCCGTACAGGGCGACACTTCCCTGACTCCACTGAACAAATTCGACAAGTACTTTCTACGCATGTACAACAAAACCTCCAGATTACAACAGGGCGGAGGGAACTACATAAATGTAAGGAAGGGCGCTTCAGAAAGGGGTTCCATATACCCGTAGCGCAGCACACAGCAAGAACAGGGCATCCTTCTCTGGGAACGCTTCTATGATCCATTTCAGGGATATTTCCCTCTTTACCCACGTGCACGCTTTCCTTCTGTGGAGGACACCCAGCCATGCGCATCACCCACTGCAGTGGAGCCCGTACAGACGCACAGATGATCCAATGACCCCGATGCCTTTACCTTTTCGCAGGGAATTAACATGAAGAATACGATTTTCATTTTGTACTTCTTTGCAAATTGGTAAAATCAGGAGCGTTGTGACACGCTTGCATCACCATGGGCATGTATACATGGCTATGTGCACCTGTTGATGTCAAGTACCCCTGCATATGGACGTATGGCGGGGCCCATCCATTGGTGCCTTTGCCCTTCCCCCCCTTTTTTTTTGGACGCCTACTTTCTACTGATTTTTTCCCCCTCCCAATCACGCAGGTGCCACGCTTGTAAAATGCAGGGAAGCGAAATGGTATTAAACAAAAAAGAAAAGTTACAAACTGTCTCGCTCATTTGTTTAAGCTCAAACGGAAAAAAAAATGAGATCGCGCCAGTGCATGTAGTTTGCGCTGTACATTTAAAGTTTTTCTCGCCATGGAAACTTAGCATATTCGCTTTACATGCCCGCTACACCCATGTAACGTGCACGTGAAACCCACCCACTCACACACACATATAATCTCTCGCTCGCAGGAGAAACTGGAAAAGTACTACGGCAAGCGCATATACATTTTGAAGGTGGACATAGATCAGAACGAAACTATGGCTAGAAAGTTCGCCGTGAAGTCCCTACCGACAATTATCATCATGAAAAATAAGGTAGTGCTGGCAAGGAAGGAGCACTTCGTCACGAGTAACGATTTGGTGTCTCTCATAAGAAAACATTTGTGAGACCTCCCTGCGTTGTCCTGGGATTTGCAGGATTAGCGGGATTAGCGGATTCTTTGGGATAACCTCATTCGACATGACACTTTTGATTCATCCCATTTTCCATTTTCTCTTTTTTTTTTAACTTCCCTTTTTGGTGCTCCCATCACTTCTTAGCCTGCACCTGGTTATCAGCTTGCAACTTCATAACCTTTAACATGAGTTTACTTTTTTTTTCATTTTCCTTTTTTTCCCGCTTGGCCCTATTGATGATTTCGTTTTTATCGTCTTCTCCGATTTCGCTGTGACAGATGCAGCACGTCTGCGTGGGGAAGGAATGGGTTGACGCCGCCGCCCGTTGTTTTATAAGTGCGCACGGGTGTGGGGCGGTGCTTCTACATATATATATAATACTTATCTGTACACGTGCCCACTATAGTGTCAGGATAGCGAGTCGGGACTGGCTCGCACAGGCGCCTATTTGTATGAATTCGTGCGCCGACGGAAGCACAATGTGTTGCATTCTTTTTCACGACATTGGAAAAATGCCTAGTGTTCGTGTCGTTGAATCGGATGCGTTGCATTTTTTGCTCATTCTTTGCACCCTTTTGATTTATTAAGACATGCATATTACGTGATGGAGATAATCGCGCAATTTTTTCCACTCGCAGTTTTACCATTATGCAATTTTTTCATTCTCTAATTAGCTTTTTTCTTTAATGCGTTTGTTCATTTAAGCTTTGGAAACCATTCGAAATTATTCTTTCATTTTTTTCTTTTTACTTTTTTTTTGTTTTTTTTTTTTTCCTCGTTTTTTTGAAATCCGCTGACACATGTGTAGAATTAAGCGGGACGCTTGGACATGTATATCCGTGTGCTTGTCTGTGTGTGCATATGTGTATGTCCTCACGCATGCCTCAAACTAGTATTTTCTGTTTTTTTAAGCATTTCTTCCCATCTTACCTTTCTGCATTCCCTTCGTATCACCGTTTCGTAGATGCACATCAAATGGAAAACGTGCTCTTAAAAAGGAAAAAAAAAAAAAAAAATTAAATAATTAAGCTAATTCGGCTAATTATGCTAATTAAGATAATACATGGGTACACGATTACACCAGTGAGTGAAATTCTGGCACAGTAACGGCGTGCGAGGTGAAAAACTTCTGATTACCACAATTCAGCTTGTAAATGGTAGGCGGCAAGTTCCCGTGGAGCGATTCCGTTTTGGGCATTAGGCACTGAAGTAAGGGTGTACATATAGATCCCATGCAGCGATGAAGAAATACTTTATGTCCGTACGCGCTGCCTTCACATACGAAGGCTTCTCAGGGTAGATACACACCGTAAGGCAGACCTACCAGTGGACACTCGCCTCCAATTGTATCATTCATTTTTGCCGTCGTGTTAGACCTGGATCCCTGGGTATCCTTTTGAAAATTCGATTTGCACGTGGACTCTAAATTGGTGTCATTTTTTCGGAGTGATTCCTGCGCCTTGTTACGGTTTGCGAGGGGGAGAGGAGAAGTACGCATGTGTAATTAGGGGTAGAACGGGACAGCATCAGAAGGGGAGGAAGTGAGTTCTGTTCCTCATGTGTTGTTCTCTAATCGGTGGTGGATAATTCCGCGAAGCAAACATAAGTGCGTTAACGAAACTGTTCAAACGGTTCCTTGCCACTCTGTACATTTGACACAATTTTGGAGTCACATGCTGTCGCTCACCCCTGTGCTGTTTTTCCCACTAGATTGCTTCTCACTATCGCTGGGTATGATGTCCTCGTGTATATCAGCTAAAGGGGAGAAGAAAACAAAACAAAAAAAATAATAATAAATAAAAATAAATAAAAAAAAATAAAAACAAATAAAATAATTAAATCAGATGAGGAAACAAAGCACGGTTAAAAAAAGGGTGAGAGCTACTTTTAATCCCTGATAAATCCCTCATTGTCATCTTAGGGGGGCACAAGTGCAGAAGGAGAGTCAAAAAAAAAAAAAAAAGACATAATGTTATGTGGGTATATGGCAGCATGTGCGCCACACTTCACACACGGGGAGTAATAAATCTAAAAGACAAAATAGTCACTTCTGTACAGATTGAGTTACATTTTCCGTCGTGGGGTTGTCCGAGTGTGTCTCGTTTAGGGATTCTCTATCGGAACTGAAAGAAGAATCTGAGCATTTATGCTCGTATTCTCCTTCTTCATTTCCATTATTCGGTGAAGAAAATAAGTTCAGCTCTTTCTTCTTCTTGACACTCCGAGGGTGAGGAATTTTTATTAACTGTCAACAGAAGAATTGGGGGAAGGGATGAAGAACGTTTCGTTTTTCAAACAAACATAAGACGAGAATCGAAACATACAACCTTGAAATTGATCACGCATGCCATGTAGACTTCTTCTCCGCATGCGTCGCTTTCCTCTTTGCCTACTCTTCTCTTTCTTGGGGATGTCTTCCTTTTATGAGATTTTAACCTACGCACGGGACAATTTTTTTTTTATTATTTTTAATTTTTTTTTATGCATAACAGCAATGTCTTCTATCGCTAGGGGGAGACATTTCCCCATGGTGTTTTTATTTTGTGCACTTCTGATCAGACAGTTTGCAGCTTGGCAGCTTTACAACTTCGCAACTCTGCACCTTTACAACTTGGCAGCTTTACAACTTCACCACGTTGCCATTTCTCCTTACTCATTCTCTCCGTTCTCGCAGCGGGGTTTCTCCTTGGGATAATTCGGGCCTGTCATAAATGTTGCAAATGCACCCACATGGATGCATCGCGTGGATTACGCACGAAACGCACAGCAACCATATAGCATGCGTAGCAGCGGAATGGGTAAAGGCACCATCCCTTCTGCCTTTACCACTACCGATGCAGGGGGAACCCTCCCCCATACCCCCAGTGGGAACATTACAAGGGGGCTGACCGCATAAACACTTCTCTCATCTTGGAAAAATCAGTTTCCCCTACCAGATATGAACTTCTTTATATTTAGGGTAGTTATCCCTTGCACCTCCAGAATTGCACACAACATTTTTATAATTTTGTCTTTATACTCAATGATACTGTAAGCTTCTTTTTTAAACTCTTCCAACTTGGCCTCAGCTCGGTCTTTGCATTTTCTGCGATGAGGAGAATGTTCGGTTGGATGGGATGATGGGCGTTTCCCCGTGGGTTCACTTGGCTGAACATTTTTCGGGGGAGAGTAAGCTGCAGCTACCTGTGTAAATTGTCCTGGTTCTTCATCTGCGCTTCACTCGCGGGGGGAACTTGCGGGATGCACGCGATGCTGCGATCGGTTGGTCTTCCCCTATAGCTGCCGAGGTAGCTGCGACGTAAATGCGACGTAATTTCTGTACTGTCTACTGCCCTACCGCTTCTGTCTCCTTTTCACTTCAATTGCCCCCCTGAGATTCCCCCCCTGAGATTGCCCCCCCTAGCTCGCTCCAAACAGAAGCAAATGTCCCAGCCATGCAGAATCGCGCAATCGAGGCCTCACCAACTCACGCACGCAAACAATGCATGCACAACTGCACTTGCATCAACTAACGAGTTCAAAGACACCTTGCACGCTAGGAATGAAACGAAACAAACGGACAATAATAAAGCGCAACGCCTCGATTTAATTTGAAAACAAGGAGTGTCAACGGGACTGTGCAAATATGGCTAGGAAAAAGCTCCGACAATATGGCTAGGAAAATGCTGCAACAACACGACTACGAAAAAGCTGCAACAACATGGCTACGAAAAAGCTGCAACAACATGGCTACGAAAAAGCTGCAACAATATAGCTACGAAAATACTGCGGTAATATGGCTACGAAAAAGCTGCGACAATATGCCTATGCATTTATACCTAGGTACCTGCACACATCTGCTCATTCCGGGGATCGACAAAACGAATTCGTGTAGCCTTGCGCAAAAAACTCCCTTCACTACGGCGCCCTCGCATTTACACCGTCCTTCAAGAGTAGCATTCGCTCAGAAAAGAAATCCCTCCAGAGGAATAAGCCACGCCCCTGTTCACATTGCACAGGTAAAATGTCCTAAGTTCTGAGGTGTACGTACAATGCAGACGTAACATCTTTCGCTTCTTAGCCAACAACAGAAAAATAGACGACAAGGCAAACTCCATGGCGGCGCAAAACACTCATCAGTGAAAATTTCCTCTCAGAGTGGAAAACAACTTATCATACATTTATCCCCCTACCCTCCTCCTTAACAAAATACGCAATGATGCAAGACATCCCATTTCTGTCTTTTCTTTTTTAAAAAATTATACTCATGTTTTTTTTTTTTTCTCTCTTTACTGAAGTTTATTTCTGTTTTAAAATTTGCAAAGGGAACACAAAAAAAGGGAAAAAATATGAAGGAAAAAAAAAAGAATAAAGCAACGCAATTTTTAATTACAAATTCAAATGTGTTAATTATTTTAAATGTGCTAATTGATAAACTTATAACATTTCAAATAAAGGGTGAATGGGAAAAAAGCGTGGGCTGCTCATAGGAGGCATACGCAAGAAGGGGTAGGCGTATGTGCGGCTCAGCAACACTGGTGTGGTGGAACGTACGCTTGAGAGACATAAAAAAAAGGGGTCATAAAGAGGGAGGAATAAAAGGAGTGGTAAAAGGAGCAATTGAAGGAAGTGCTAAAAGGACGTGCGATGCGAAATGCACCCCACACAATATGCGGTCACATAACTCGCGAAATGACTAACACCGTGATGTTAAGGAGCTACGCTGCATACGTGTGAACGCACGGAGGGAGCGAACGGAAGCCAAGAAGGCATGGCGGGGAAACAGGATGCGTACGAATTGGGAAAAATAAGACGAAGTGGAGCGGAATGAACATAAACGAAGGGCACGCAAATAGGTACCATATTGCTTTTGGAAGCATCATGCAGCAACAGCTTGGGTGAATTGAAAAAATTCACCACGACAGGGGCGAGGACGTGCTTGAAGCAACCCCAAGAGAGACCAAGGATTGCTACAACATGACAGGGTTAATATAACTGGCGCGTGGAAAGGAGCAGGCGCTTTGCCAAAACTTCACCCTCTCACTGAGCCAGCCATGGATCTGGGACATGAGCACAGTTGGACGAAGGCGTGCTATTGTCAGTCGTGTCCTTTTCATTCTTCGTCCCAACATTTTGCGCATCGTCCAGGCCCAAAAGGGTGCTCTCCGTGCCGAGGGGGTGGTGCACGTGGGCGTGGTGATTCCCCGCACGGTTATCCGCAGCGTCTCCTACGTTTGCTACGTCTCCGGCGATGTTTCCTGCAGCGTTTCCCTCGGCCCCACTTGCGCCATTGTTCCACACAAAGCCACTGCTGCCCACACCAAAGGAGCCGCTCTCAATCTGCGCTCCGTTTAACGTTGAGGGGAGAAAATAATCACCGGGTGCCTCCTGCCGGGTGTCATTATTACAGTAGGTGATGTTATCCTCCGCGTTGTTGTACTCGGATAGCAAATTCTGTTCCCCCCCGAAATTACTTATGCACGGATTGGCATCATAACTTGGCTTTATTAATGACGAGGAGAGAAGATCACAGTGATTATGCGGGCTGCTCATTCCTCCCTCTCCTGATCCGCTCTGATTCGGCTGGTAAGCATTTAAATTATCTGCTAGGAAGGAATTGTTGCACTGTTCGGGGGTGCTCATCATCACATTTACATTTTGGCTAGCTAATAAATTGTCACACTTGTTCTCTTCTTTCAGGGCGCCGCTATCTCCACTGTCTTTGTAATACTCTCCCTGGCCATTAGCACAGTCGGCCCCACCTCCGCTGACGGCATAGTCAGCCATGCTGCTAACCATGTAATCGACACCTCTGCTCACCAGGTAGTCCACCCCGCTGTTAACCGAGTAGTCCACCTCGCCACTACCTCCGTAGTTAACTTCCCCGATGCCCCCTTCGTTTTCTTCCCCCATGGGCATGTACTCATCACTGCGAAACGCGCTATTACCCACCTGGTAGACATTTTCCTCGTTATTAAAAAAGTTAGGGTTCATGCCAATTTTGATAATATCCTCCTGCTGCGGTTCGTGCTCCAGTTCATGCTCCATCTCGTGCAGGTCGCACTGTTCCTCCTGCAGCGGTTCTCTCAGCTGTCCTCCCATTTGTTCTCCAATCTCTGCTCCCAGTACTCCCCCCATGTGCTGGTCCTGATGCGACTGTGGCTGTTCCTCCTCGTCACCCTTGTTATCATTCTGCCCCTCATGGGACATGAGCTCCTCTATATAATTTATCCACTCCATAATAGAGTTGAACTTTTTATTGTCGTAGTTCAATTCGTGTTTTCCTTTATTGCACCATCCATGGAATACCCTCTTATAATTGTCCCTCTTAAAATTATAAATGACTTCATCCTTTCGTATGTTTTCCTTTTTCCCTTTTTTCGAATCACACATATCTAGCGAAAAGTCGTGACTAAATTTGGAGTTCTCATTACTGCTACTCTCCGTGTAGTCACTCTTATTTTCCAATTCATCGAGTGATTCAAAAAATGATCCCAGCATATCAAATTCAGAGAAAATGTCATTTCTATAGGGGGACGAAACGAGATAATTGGAGTTCACCTTTTCCATGTTCTCTTCATTATAGTTGGAATCAAAAATGGGAGACGCGGGGGTAAGGGGCGTGCTGTTGGGCGACTTTAATGGGCTATTCGAATATATCTGCTGATTGGGCGAAAGGACTAATTCATTCACATCGGTTAGATGTAGGGACGATGCATGTAGGGAGCTTGTCGGAGGAGACTGCGAAAATTTCATATTCTCCGGGGTGTTCATTAGTCTAATGTCACATGCTTCTTCAAAATCAGGGTCATTTAGTTGATTGGTGTTGTTTTTACCTCCTCCCTGGTTATTACAGCTCCCACTGCTCTTACCGCTACCACCACTACCGCTACCACCACTGCCGCTACCACCATTGCCGCTACCACCACTGCCGATACCACCATTGCCGCTACTTCCACTGCTGCTGCTACTACTGCTACTCCCACAGGTGTTGTTGCGAGGGGAAAGAGACGAATACGAATTCGGGTGACTCATCTCCGGTAGAAGGGGCAATTTCAACGGCTGACTAACATAACTGCTGGTGTGAATTATCATTTGATTTATGTTTAATAATTGATTGTCTTCCCCACTGCGCTCCAATTTCATGCTCGCATCCTCTTCCTTCTCCATTGTTCCTGTGTCTAATTTGATTTGGCAATTATCATCTCCTGCCGATCTCTCCTTTTGTTCATCCCCTCCTGGAACTGTATCTATTGAATCCTTTTTGTTCACCGAGGTGCTCTCTTTCGCATTTTCATTGTTTTCCAAAGACTCAATTTCTCTAATCAGCTTGTAATAATTTTCGTGTTCGTTATTGTGTGTACTCAAGCCGCTTTTCTCCTTTGGTTCGTCCGGGTGTTCATCCCTCCCTCGGTTGTTACCCTTTGTGTCTTTCTCCTTTGCATTGTCCTTACCGCTATCGTTGCTGCTCTCATTGCTGCTATCGTTTCCACTGTCGTCATTGTTGTCCTCATTGTGGTCCTCATTGTTGTCCTCGCTGTTGCCGTCGTTTTCTTTGCTGCCTCCGTTTTCCTTGCTGCGACTGCCCCTGCTGTTTCCACTACTATTCCCATTGCTACACCCGCTGCCATTCCCACTGCCATTACCACCGCTATTCCCAGTGCCATTCCCGCTGCCACTCCCGCCGCTATCCGCACTTGTGTCGTTGCAGCCGCAGACGCGCCCTTGGGTCCGCTCTCCACCCATGCTACCCCTCTCCCGCGGGTAATCTGCTGCACGAGGCTTCACCTCACCACACGGGGAATTTCTCCTCTTAGAATTTGCACTAACTCTGAAGTTTCTGTCCTTCTGGAAAGGCTCGACATGCAACCTATTCAAGACGCTGCCAGATGGGTTACTCCCCTTCGGGGGCTCCACAACCGATGATTCCCCATTACAGCACTTGTTTAGGTAACTAGAGGAAGGATCTCTTCCAGCACTGCCATGTCCCTCAATTGGGTTGCGATTTACATTGGGAAGGGAGAAAATAGGGAAAGAGTTTCTCCCCTGTGCCATGTTCTTAACCTCCCTGGAGGTATCTTCTTTCCCACTGGAAGGCGCCGAATTTGCCTTACTTATGTCAAGGCACGAGGAACAGATGACCTTATTGCATGCCACATTATCATTCTTGGTGCTATATCTGGAGTGACAAAAAGGTTCATGATGAGAAGCGGTTTCACCATCGAGGTTCCCTCCCCTGGCCCCAAAACTACCAGCGTAATTTTTTACACATTTCCTCTTATGGTGAAAAAAGTAATTATTAAAAAATTGATTAACTAGCGTGACGAAGTAGGAGTCGAAAAACTTCCTCACATATTTATCTACATAACTGCAATAATTAGAAATATTTCTATGGGCACGATCTGACATGGATGGAACTATAAAGGTGTGTACCATTTTCTCATTCGCTATGTTTCTTTTCGCCTGAAGGAGATTCTCCAGAATCATAATTTTTTTATCTAGATCTTTTTTCACGTATCTCCTTAGTGTCCTTCGAAATTTGTATACTAAACAATCTGCTTCGTCCAGGAAGGTGCCTTTTTTTGTTCGCTTGGCAAAGAGGCCCCTTCCCACTCGGTCCCTATTTGCATGACTAGGGTAATTATCAAGATGACCCTTATCATTATTAAGATAACCCTTATGATTATCAGGCTTACCCTTATCATTATCAAGAGCACCCTCATCAGTATCACCTTTATCGACAGGGCCCACTTCCTCCCCCCTGATGGAAAGAGAACTCCCGCCGTCGTGACCCCCGTTTCGAGTCATCCTTCTCTTGTTGTAAGCTATATTTTCCTTTATCATTGCGTCTTTTAACTTTTCTATTATCTTCATACTACGGCACTTGAGTCTGTGTAGCTTTAAATGGGACCTAAAAACTTTTCTCCCCTTTTTGCAGCTCAGCATCGACTTCTTTTTAAGTGCGTTTTCTTTCCCATAGCTGCTGATTCTTATTTCCCCTTCTAAACCGTTGACAGGCTTCCCCTTTGATAATTCTATCACATTTTCATTTTTTTCTTCTCCTGAGGAGGGAATCACCACATTGTCATTGCTCAAATTTTTATCATTCCTCCGATGCAAATTTCTTTTATACAAAAGTGATGCCATTTTGGATGTTTCAGCAACCCGAATAGTGATATTTCCATTTGACTTTTCCTTTCTTTTCTTTTTTTTTTTCTTCTTCATCTTCCCTTTTTTCGGGTATTTCAATATGGCATTCCCTCCTGGGCAATTACTACTGCTACCTTTTCTGTGCTGATGTATCAAGCTGTTACACTCGTGGATGGGTACCTTCATTCCCTTTTGGGTACGACGTTCCCCCTGTAGATATTCCTCTGAGTCCTTAGATCTACCGGGGGCACTGTATTCTGCAATAGTACAAGCATGGTGGCACACCTCGCAGAATCTAACACGTTCTCTGCTATCCTCATCGATGCTCTGGAAGCCCTTTTCACTAATGACCTTTTTACACCTTCTGTTATCTACCTTTCCGAATTCTGCACTTCTCATTGCATAGTTATTTCTCATCAAATCCTTTTTAACTTCTTTACCGATTCGCAGGATGGAGATGTGGTTCTTTCCTTCACCGAAATTGTCTCTGTCGTGATCGCCACGCGAATCGTTACATTTGCACAAGTAGATACACTTCATTTGGGGGGGAGCTATTAAAATCGACGCATCATTTCTTCCAACACGTCCTACATCCTTCCTTGGTTCTACATCCCCAATTTGTACATGGCACAGATCTCCATGGTACTCTACATCGAAGCATACGCTTTCCTGGGGTGTCATTTTACCTATGCGCGTGTGCGTATGGAGACACGTGTGTGGGCATGTTTATGCGCAAGTGATTCGTCTGCGTATGCACATTTGCTTGGGTACACGTTTGCGACTGGCGTTGCGGTTGATGTTGTGCTTGACGCTGTGAATGTCGTTTCGGTTACTGTTGTGAATGCGCCTCGTACGCCTTTCTACGCTTTGCGGACGATCCCACCCCCCTACTGTTCAAGCTGAACCTTTCACTCGCTTCCCTCCTCCGTGTGCTTTCTTCACACACACTCGCGCTTCTATAGGCACACAGACAATCCTACCAATTCCGAACATTACACCTTCTGCAAAACCACCTGGGCGCGAATGCATCAAAAAGGAAAAACGCACTTGTTTGTTTTTATGTCTATATGTACAAACCGGAACTCATGTTTCTCGTGAACAAACTCCGCACACATGGGGCGTGCCGCGAGGGTGTGTTAATGGGCCAAATGGTAAAAGTACGTATCATTCAATTTGGTACACCTGTCTGGGCTTCTCCCTTTATTGTGTTTTTAATTTGTCCATGTGCGCATGGCGTTCAGTGTGTCCTTGGCCTTGCCTGCTTTACACTTTACACCAATTTAACTGCAATTTGACTTTTTTTTTTTGTATTTTTTCCCTTTTCCCCGGTTCGCGCTTCGCTCAGCTAGCCCGTAAAGTCCACCAATCCGTCTTCTAAGATGCGCTGAATGTAAATAATTCCTATTTTCTCATTAACTGTAAAAAAATGCCAGCTCCTTTTCCCCTTTCTTTATATATTCCCTCTTTTGTCGGGAAAATTCACCACTTTGTGTTTTTACACATATAGAACTTAACGTAAAAATTACAAGCGATCACACATACAGCTATAGCACTTCAGTATCCTCATTTTATTCTCTCATTTAATTAAACTAACGTTAAAAGAAAATTAAACAAAATAGACAAAACTTTTTTAAAATTATTTGAGCAAAAATGTATGACACAAAATTGAGAGGGGAAAAAAAAAAAAGTGAGGCTTCCTTTTATACATAAAAGCATAACACATAATATGCAAAAAAAAGGAAAAAAAAAAAGAAAAAAGAAGAAAAGAAAGAAAGTAACATAAATTGAGAAGATATAAACTTTAATTCAAAAAGGAAAGCATAATTCGTGATCATTAACTATATGCGATGAACTTCTGCAAAAACACGTGTAGGAGGAACTGAACATACGTATGATCACGCAAATCCGTATGTGAATGAGTACATAACACTACACGAAACATTTAGCTTTCTCTATAAACTTTTTCAAACATGTAAAAAGATACTTATGCATACCATGTGACCATTAGCACAGTTTCAATTTCTTCGTTTGTCGCAAGGGTGAGAAAGAAAAAAGAAAAAAGCTTAGAAGGCATGAATCCCATGAACACGTCCTTGTCGTTCGCATAATTATGTGCTACCCAAAAAAGTGGGGTTTATTAGCATCGACCGATACGCGGGTTATATGTATGGATGGGCGGAAGGATCTATGCACGGATGGAAGGAAGAAGGCGCAGGATTGATGCAAGGCGAAGGTTACATACGTACGGATGCATACGTAATACACGTTTGCTTGTTCATGGGGACATGACAGGTAAACATCGTCAAATTGTTAACAATACCATTTTTACGAAAAAAAATTCAATATATTAGCAATTCTGGGGGGGCTTCCCTTTTTCTTGCTTTTTGACAAACTGTGAAAAAAAAAAAATCACAATTTTGGAGAAACGTTAACTGGTGAATAACAAAAAACAAAAAAAAAAATAAAATAAACGGGCATATACATATATACACTACCAAGCTGCATAAAATGTATTTTTATTTATTTATTTTTTTTTAATATTTTTTCTAAATGGCTAATAGTGATGGGAGTTTTTCCTTATCACTATTAACCAACGCAGTGAGGCAAAAGTTGTACAACTTTTAGCCGTAAAGAGGATGCGGAGAAAACCTCAGTAAGAGCAAAAATAAAACATAACATTTGAAACACTGGGCTAAGCTACTCGGTTCGCTAGCACGATCACTACGTCTAACGGGGACGGCGAAACAGAGAGGCAATTTTTTCAACACAGAGGTTATACATTTAGTGCATACATCTGTGTTATACCAATGCAGGCTCACAATAAGCACACAGCTTCGTGCGACAAAGTGGGGACATAGCCTCACCGGGGCATTTTTGACGAATTAGAACAGAAATTGTGCCTTGGATGGGAGGTAAGTGGCTAGAAAATAGGCGTGTTTGTATTTGTGTAGGTAAACACATACGTGCCGAAAAGGCTCTTTCTGTCGCTCCATGAATCTCTCTTTTTCGATCCTACGTTTTCCCGACGTAGAACACATAGCAGTTGTTTTTTTTTTTTTTTTGCAAAATGCACCAAATTGATGACAAGGTTTGGGAATCAATTCGAAAATGGAGAATCTGCCCGCAGGCATACACTAATCAAGGTGTGTATTTAATTAAATCGCGTTAGCAATTCGAGCGCACGTATAGTGCATACCTATGTGTGTTGGAAAAGGAACGATCCTATCCTTTTTACACGCTGGAAATATTTCCTCCTCTGTTTATTTTACTTTACCCGTCCTGCACGAAAATGCGGATGATGAGCTCATTCAAATGTCTGCCTTTTTTTCAATCCCGAATTATCAAATTTTTCCTTTCTAAAAAAGCACAAAAAAAGTAATGAGAAAACGGCAAAGCAGCGAAATTCTCTTCTTACCATTTACATATCGGGCCTATTACGCCCCTAGACATAAAAACGTGATTACGGAGAGATCACCCGCGAACGGAAACCATTACCTTTGCAGTTATCCCTTTTTAAAAAACAAGACGGTAATTTCCCCTTAAGTGAACAATGTTATGTGTTGGATGGGCCTGTTTATGCACGTATGCACGCTGTGTAAGTTTTTTATACCTTCGCACACATGGGTCATATAATTGCCTATATTTTACATAAATAATTAGACCAGTTTACATTTTAAAGCGCTCCTCCTATTGAGTGAAAGGAAGCCAATGAGGAGACTTCTGCAATGATGGTCGAGAGGGACAAGGGTGGGTGGAAAGTGGCACCGTGTGGAGTGCTAATAGGCACGTATAAATGCGCGCGCGCAAAAGGGGATGTATTACAACGGGGGGGAAAATAAAGAAAAAAAGAAAATATTACAAAAGTAAATAATTCCCCCCTTGCACACAAAAAAAAAAAAAGGGAACTAGATAAGAGGGGCATCCCTGTGCTACTGTCTTCTTCACAAAAATGGTGGCACCTTTACAGCATTTCATAAATGCAAAAAAGGTGAGCTTTTCTTTTTAAAGTGAATTATTCTCTACTGCTAATAACTGTAGGCATAAATAATTCAAGCAAGGGGGAAAAACGTGTATGAAACTGAATTACACGCCCCAAATTATATACATAAAAATGTATGAAACGAGAAAAATAGTAGGCCAAGATGTACACACATAGTAGTTAATTATCCACTAAGTTGTGGATAATCAACGGAGGCAATTAAAAAAGGAATGTTCTGGAGAAAAAAGCCAAAATGGGCATGCTGCTCTTGTCGCTTTTTTTTTTGTTGCATTTCTTTTTTCGCTTTCCTTTGTTGCATTTCTTTTTTGTTTTTTGCAGCTAGCCATTTTACGAAAAAATGAGATACAGCAGGGCCATCCTCACATACAACCCGTTTTCGGCCTGCAAAAAGTACACACTTTTGGGATTGTTATCAACTTCGACTTTTATTTCGTTAACCCTGGGAAGGGGGTGCAGGACCTGAAAAAGGGGGAAAAAAAAGGGAAGAAATATGCCAAAAAGGTGAAATATTTCAATGCGCCGAAAATACACCTATTCTACGCCATCTTAATGGGCATGAACAGAGCAGCTTTAAAAAAGGCACGCCTCATTTTTGACACCGCTGAAACGGCAGCGGTTTCCTTTTTTTTCGAGGAGCTCCTTCTGTTTCGCTCTGAATTTTTTCAAAACTCAAACAAATATAGTCGCCTTTAACAAGTGTGTGCGCAAGGAAAAGCTGGTACATACCTTTGTATCCATCCTGGTATTCTTCAAAACCTGGTTATCCAGAATGAAGGCGTCCTTATATGCATTGTACTCGTTCAAGTCCGTAAACCTCTCCTTCTGTATCCGCGTCATGTATATCACATGCACGTCTTTTAATCCTTTCTCCAAATTGTCATATTTTCTGATAGAATTTTCATTGTAGAAATTGTTCCTTTTCAAATTGTTCGTTATAATGTGGACAATATTTTCGGGAATATCCAGCGACTTGCATGATATGAAATTAAAATTGACATTATATTTGCTAAGTAATTTGCTAAGCGAGTGGACAGTCCTTCCATTTTTTAAATCTCCAACAAAGGCGACGTTTATTTTTTGGTTGATGTCTCTTTTCAAAATTTGTGGGAAGAAATTGTATATGGTGTAAAAGTCTAGTAGTGACTGCGTCGGGTGTTCCCCTGTGCCATTTCCCGCGTTGATGATTGGCTTGTCGGACGAGGCGACGGCGAGGTCCACATTGTTCTGTCGAAAATGGCAGCAATGGATTCATGAGTAGGTGTGTAAATGTGTATAAATTGTATAGGTGAAAAACATACGCGCAAAGAGAGCAGCATAGGGTGATGCTCAACGTCGGAGTATTGTCTCCTAGAGTAGGAACTATAGGGGGCCGTTTCCTTTTAGTCATAGCTTGGATGTATACACAATGGGGCTCACACAAATCGACTGCGCAAAAAGCGCACCAACCCGACTTACATTCGAGGGATCCCGGTATATAATCCCGTCCACGTATTTCGCCAAAATTGTGAACGCATCCTGGACAGTTTCCCCCTTGTAAAACGACGTGGAATTCATGTCCGTAATATTTATCACCTTCGAACCCAGTCTCAAAATTGCCGAGTCGAAGGAACATCTCGTTCTTGTACTAGGTTCCAGGAAGATACTACAGAAGACTTTATTGTCCAGGAACTTTGTGTCCTCCTTATTTTTTAGCAAAGACTCAAACTTCTTCGCGGTGAACAAAATGACTAACAATTCCTCATCACTTATGTCATCGACATTTATTACATTCTTACGTTTCATTCGTTGCGCAATTAAATCAAAATCGATTTGGTACTTGTTGCTCAGCTCTCCTTTTCTGTCGATGATTAATTTCTTTTTTCTCATAAGAGCGGTTATCTGAGCGAGAACCACAGCCAATAAAAGCGTAAAGGCTAAAGCCAGCGAACCAAATATTTCTATCATTTTTTCACGTGCGGCAAAGAAAAAAAAAAAAAAAAGAAGATACAAAGTTCGATAAGGGAAAAAAAAAATGACAAGTAATCAATAACAATTTTAGTGAGGTGGCAACATTCAGTTAACGCTAATTTTAAACTTCCATAACGTTAACATGCGAAGGAGATGAAGCGTCTCTTCTTTTTTTTTTTTTTTAACTATGCTTAACTGGAAAAAATGTAGACATTATTAATTACTGTTCCAAAGGATGCACAAAATATAGGGGTATAAACTTAATTACGGGAAATGCATTCAAAAAATAAACGGCCACTTGTGGGTACCATGAACTCTCAGGATAGGTGACCGTCGTCCACCAGTGATTTTATTCTGTGGCCTCCATGCGTGCAACACAAACGGGAAGGGTGAACTATTCGAGAACAAATTGGCACAGGAAAAAAAAAAAAAGAAAAAAGAATTATGTAACAAAGCAGCAAAGTAACAACACTAATAAAAGGATTTGTAAAAATCGCCGCTCGGGCGCTGAAGTCATTCTCTGATATTCACTTCCATGCGCGTGTTTTTTCACCAATGGATCACTCTGGAAATAATATAAGCAAAGTGTGAGGGGCGGTTCACAGGGAATATGTATCGTACCGGACTTGCGCTGCCGACAAAAAAGGTGCTATAACGAACCGGTGAGACAATGAACGGAAGTTGTCAATTCGAGTTTTATCCCACTAGCTCTTTTGCATATATTTTTTTTAATTAGTGAACACACCAGGATGGGGGGGCGACTCGATTGAAAAAAGCGCGAAGAAGAGGCCAAAATGGAGTCAAAAAAAAAAAATTGCTCCCCAGCCCACGCAGCGATGAGGCTTCGCACAATAAGAACGTGATCACCTTTTGCTGCGCCACCTCTCGGTGATGATTTTTTTTTTTTTTAATTCCATTTTATCGTGTACCTATGCTTCTTATATAGCGCTTTGATCATACATGCAAAGGAATGGTCCCCCGTTTAGGGCGACCTCCCTCCGCAAAGAAAAAGAAAAAACAAAGGGAGCACTTCTTCCGACATATACAGACGCCCGTATTCGATCATCGTCAGAGTAATAGTCCTTTTTTGCACGACCCCTTTTCTGCAACGCAATAGAAGGTAAGGGGGCACATGAGTGTACGCATGTGACAAGCGTGGCCACACTGCGAAATATGTTAGGCACCTTCGAAGCGCGCCAAACATTAGACACAGTAACAATTTCAACGAGGTCCTCTTTAAGGGAAATATGAACGCAGAACGGTAGATCCATAAAGACATCTTTACAACGCCAAAGAAGGAAAAAATGTTTATAGCAAGCTACTTCGATAGGAGGGACAGACTGCACGAGAAGAAGGAGATCAAAGTAGACAATGAGGAAGGGAAAAGGAACAAAATAGAAAAGATTTTAAAAGGCGTCCTAGATTCATATAAGGGAAAAAAGGAAACAACTCACAAAAGGGACCAAAAGGAGGATATAAAAAAAATTCTGTCAGAATTCCTAAAGAGGAAGTTAAAAAAAACAAAAAGGAGGAATATCACTAAAGGGATTTCCCCAGATTATTATCAAAATAGTAGTAGCTACCGTCCTGACGAAGCGAATTCAAACTGTGGAAAAGAAGATTCGAGTGACGAATTCACAAGTGATAGCGAAATAGAGCCCACGATAAAGGAAAATAAAAATTTAAAACATTGCGCAGAAAAGATAAAGCTATTAAGTACTGTCTTAAAACATGACAAATTAAAAGATATAGACATACAGGAGATCTATAGAACAATCGATACGTACATTGGTGAGAGTCAACGCGAAATTAAGCAGATAAACGGAAAATTGGAGAAGAATGCAGAGAAGGAATTAAGGATAAGGAAAGAGAATCTCTCCAAGCTGTGCTCAATTAAAACGGAGTTGGCAAAAAATAAAATTTTACAAACAGAAACGGAAGGAAGTTCTAATGCAATTGAACATATGATAAGCGAAATGAAGATAATACAGAAATTGGCTAAGCAGAAGGAGTACATTGTAATGTTAAAAAATAGCTTAATGAGACTTGACTACGCAAAGAAATGTGCAGTCATTAGAAATTACGACGAAACGTTGAGTATCATTTTGGACATTACCAGGAAGTTTCACTTATTTAAAAAAAATGGAAAAGAACAAATTGCTAAGGGGATTCAATTTTTTCTGCCCATACTAACAGAATATTACATGAGTAGAGCCCAGTTCTTACTCTCTAGCATTTCGTGGGGTAATAACATTTCCAACGTTTTGACCAACACGCTGGAGCAGCTCCTAAACGATTTTGCTGATGGTGATGATGAGTACTCGTTTAACGCTGAAGACGAGTTCCCATTCAACACGGAGAAGCAACCGCCGCCAGGTGGATCCCCCAACGTGTATACCACTGAAAGGAATGGCAATAACACCGCTTTATGGATTAACAACAGTGGAGACAAATCCAAATCTCTCCAGGAAAAAATTAAAAGCGTCGTCATCTTCGACAGAGCGTACATTTCGCTTCTCCAAAAGGAAAGCCACGAATTTGTGCACACACTAATTAGCTGGAACTTGACGGAAAAAATTGACGACTATTTAAAGGACGAAAAAAGCAGGGGAAATAATTTTTCTCATCATAGGTGTGACTGCCCCATGAAATTTATCGATCAAATGGCCAGCTCCATAATCACATTTTTTAGATCCTTCTTCCAAAATGAGAAAAGCCCCCTTTTCAAAATTGACAAACCGGAGTGGGGACTAAAGTACCTCTTCTACCAGTGCGTGATTAGCAACGCAATATTGAAGATGTTCCTCAGGTTTGTTCATGAGGGGGATTTTAAGAGTAGCGTGGTGCTGGGACAGGCGTTGCACGACACTCTCGTTTGCAGTGGTAAGGGTGCCCATGAAAGTAGCTTCAAAACAAGCCATGAGAATACCGATATATACTGTGAGAAACGCACTAGTGGAGACCCCCCCATGGCCCAGGGGCAAGGCCTCCCAGAGGGTGTCCCTGCCCCATCAGGAGGCGTCTACTTCACCTCTGAGGACAGACAGCACGATGAAGACAAGACATACATAAAAAGCCTTTACAGCACGTACAGCATGATGAGCAGCGAGCAGAAGGAGCGCATCCTGTACAACATAACGAACTGCGAACAAGTGATAAGGAAGCTAAATTTTAAAATAATCACTGAGTGCAGATTGTACATACTGAGCAGATGTGCCTACTTCATCCAGCTGTACCATGTGGAAGAAAATAAGAGTGAAATAAAAAAGGCATTTTTAAATTTCATACACCAGGTTCTCATGCTGTATAATAAATGGATGCTCTATGACGGGATCAACTGCAAGCATCTGCTGGACGACTTTCTGAACAACACTTTTGTGCGCGTGTTAGATGTGGAAAGGTTCACACCCAGCGAGGAGAAGACAGAGAGCAGCAGCAGCAGCCACGACGCGGATGCGGGTGTACTTCCAAGTGCAGCTACGGGTGTAGCTACCGGTACAGGTGGGTACGAATCGAACGAGCGCAGCATACAGGAACTGCTCAAATCAAGGATGGACGGGCCAAGCGAGGTGAAAGGGGTCTACATGAGAAACTTCTTCCTAGTCATCGAAAAGGAATTCCTCGTTGATATTTTGAAAGACATTGCCGCCAATAACTGTTGTGTGCAGTTGAAGAACAAAATCATTTTGGAGGAGGCCGACTGCGTCAGCGAGTATGTCCACATTTTTACAGAGTTGCTCAAGAAGGTCACGAGGAGAATGGCTCTGTTTCATCATGCCGAGGGGGGAGGAGGTGAAACCCACGAGGGAGGAAGGACCTACGATGGAAGAAGTACCTACGAGGGAGGAAGGACCTACGATGGAAGAAGCACCTACGATGGAAGAAGCAACTACGAGGCAAGTTACAATCCCCGCCGCGACCGCTTCCTGGAAGAGTACCTCCACCAGGTGGTGAAGGAGCTACTTGTCATTGTCAAGGACGAATTTAGGTACCACTGGAACAGCATAAACGATCTGATAGGCGAATGCAGCAAGACGTGTCTGCTCTATGTATCCTTCTGCTCTATCAACAAGTTCCTTACTATTTTCCAATACAAGAAATATTTGAAAGAAACAATTTCGAGCTTCAATCAACTGGAAAAGAAAATGATGAGTAACTTCCTAGATGCATTTTACCATTTCATTTCTATCAGAATATATAATTTATTCTCAACGAATAATATTTTTCATGAGTACATCCTGAGTAATCTTTTTAAGATGAAAAAATGCCTCCCAGATGATCTCTTCCAAAATCTGTGCAGCAGGATATTGCATAAATTAGACTCCAAAATTTTAACTTTCCTGATGAACCAAAGCAGTACGTATTTACACAACGAATGTACATTCAATACCTTTATTAATAACGCTACCCTCATTCTGCATCAGCTGGACGAGCTTCATATGAAGGAGGGCGATGGTGGTGGCGGCGCTAGTAGTACTAGTAGTAGCAGTAGGGTGGGGGGGGGTACTTGTCCCATGCCACGTTTAAAAGAAATTATCAACCTGATGACAGATGATGTAGAGATTTTGAAGAGAAGAATTCACCAACTTAAAAGTAACTATACTTTGTTTCTAAATGATCAAAATAAGAATTGGCTAGTTCAGGTCACCAAAATTACCAATGTGCTTTTACGAGATGATGATGAAGAGGATTCCAGTGATGAGTACTCGCCGTCTCGTTCCCATAATGGGAAGGACGATGCAAATAAGGCTTCCCAAATTTCTCTGAAAAAAATCAAAGTTCTCCTTTTGAGGAGGCCGGACATTAGGCAGATCGCGGAGAAATCCATCGTCATTCAGGAGTTCATTCAGGTGTAGCAAGAAAGCAATCATGGCGAAAGAACCCCTGAGGAGACCAGCAAAATGTGGTTACCACTGTCAACTGTGCGATGTGCGCTCCATAGGTGAGTCACCAATTAGGCCGATGCAACCCTCGAAAGGGCTGCAAGTTTGGGTGTTTTAAAAGTGTCACGTAAAAATAGACGTCAGAATAGTGTCAAAATGGTGTCAAAATGGTGTGTCAAAATGGTGTGTCAAAATGGTGTGTCAAAATGGTGTGCCAAAATAGCGTGTCAAAATGGCCAAAAAGATGCCCCCCAAATGGACGCTAAGCCAGCGCTGACGCGGCCAATGTGGCTAAATGGAGGATGGGGCGAGACCACCATTTTCACCCAACCAGTGGCGCGCCTGTGACGTGTGCAACTAGGATGCTGGCGATTTTTTCTTTTTTTCTTTTTTCTTTTAAAACGCCCCCCTTTTTCCCAAGTGGTTCTATGGAAGAGGCCCTAATTGGGCATACTTCCAAGTTCTCTTCTTCCCGTTTGTTCCTAACCCATGCGAAAGATTGCCTAATTATCCCCAACTTGATTTTGTCCCCCTTTTTGAAACCTTCTAAACGTCACCCCTCTGCATGCAACTTGACGCCCGTGCGTTTCTCGACGAGGCTTTTCATAAAATACTCGCCGGCCTTGTAGGAGGACCGAACCAGGGGTCCACTGGCTATGTACTTGAACCCCATTTTCATCCCCTCCTCTTTGTAGTAATCAAACATTTGCGGAGAGACATACTCGACAACGTTAAGGTGGTTCTTCGTTGGCCGTAAATACTGGCCGAATGTTATCACATCTATATTGTGATGTCTTACATCGGACATAGCTTCAAGAACCTCGTCTTTAGTCTCGCCTAACCCTAACATGATGCTCGTTTTGGTATACAACATAGGATTGATCTCCTTTGCAATTTTTAAAACCCGTAATGACTGTTCATAATTTGCTCTCCTATCACGCACAAACTTCTGTAACCTTCTAATCGTTTCAATGTTGTGCGCATAAACCTCCATGCCACTATTTGCAAGCTTGCGAATGGAATCGACATTTCCTTGGAAATCAGAAACTAAACATTCGATGAGAATTTCTGGTCTGGAAAATTTTATAAGTTCAATAGTTTTTGCAAAATGGCTAGCTCCTCCATCTGGTAAATCATCCCTATCGACCGAAGTCAAAACGACGTAATTGATGTCCCACTCGCATATAGCCTTTGCTGTATTAAAAGGTTCATTAGCATCTGGTGCCAAAGGTGTGCTCGACGTTTTTATGGAGCAAAACTTACACCCCCTTGTGCACGTGTCGCCTAACAACATGATTGTTGCCGTGCCAATATTCCAGCATTCGCCTATGTTAGGACACTGAGCTTCTTCGCAAACTGTGTGTAGCTTCAGTTTCTTCAAATCTGCTTTTAGTTCGTTATATTTTTTGCCTGTGGGTGCTGGAACATGAAACCAGTCAGGCTTCTTCTCTGGCATTTTGTTTCCCACCTTTGGCACGAGCATCCGGTCTTTTGGTTGCTCCTGCTCCTTTTTCTCCTTTCCCAGATTAGTAGGAGATTCAATTGTTTCTCCCTTCAGTTGGTGTTCCCCCAATGATGCTTCATACGTAGCTGGCTCGCTACGAAGGTGATTCTTCCTTCTGTTCGCCTGACCCCCCAAATGTCCATCTCTCATTTTGTCCAATTTCCAGAGAAAAAAGAACTTCCTACATTTTCCCCTCGTCGGGTCATTACAATTCGGCTGTGTAGTTTTTTCCAGCATGTCTCTCACGCGCAACCCCTTAGGGGGCATATCGTACGACGCGTGTTTGGCGCCTGCAACTCCTTTGCTCTGCCCACATTTCAATCTAACACAAACTATAAAAAATGCATATATGTAAAGGGAGGGCGTCAGGACGAGCATATTTCGTGGAGCTGTTCTGGAATGGGGATTAAAAAAGGGGAGAAGGGGAGAAAGAGAACTGATTACTTCGCTGATGTTGCAGTTCTGTAGCGGTTGTGGGGGCGAAGGTGCAAATGCTGTACTTACTGTTCGTGGTGGTAATGGTAAAAATGGCTCACACTAGGCTATACAAATTTGGGAAAAAAAATTTCCCTCGCTGAGCGATTGAAACTTGTGTGTTTCCTCAGCAGCATGCAGGAAAAGAACCACAGATGTACATTCACGCGAAGCTGCAAAAAACTGGTGATGTGTTCCAGGTGATCCACAATTTTGGCCACATTTTGCGCCGCGGCCTCGGATATTATCCATAACGCACTTCGACTGCACTACGTCATTATGACACCGCGCGAAGTAAAACGCGAGAGGATTGAAACTTACAACATTCCAGCGTTTTTCTAACCATTTTGGGTCTCCTTTGGTTTCCTCACCCCTTCGCTTGATTCCCTCCCCCCCCCTATTTGTAGCAAAGCAGGAGGCATGAAGAGAGACCACATAATGTGAGGAGGGAAAAAAAAGATATATATATATATAGAAGTGAATGGCGTGAAAAATGCTAAACAGAGGTGATTTCAACTCATACATTTACATCCCAGGTCAGCGAACTGGAAGAAGCGTCGACGGCTGCGGCAGCAGCGAGGGAGTACATCCAAAGGATTAACTCTTCCCGTTGCGCTCGTGCGTGGGCTGACCAGCACGAGATGAACCTTAGTATAAGCGAAAGTAAGCATGTGTGTCCTCACATGTGCTGATTTGTAACTCTTCCTCCTTTTCCACTACGAACCGCAGTTAAGAACAAGGAGGACGTGAGGAAAAGATCCCAGGTGTGCTTTGAACTTCTCCAAAAACTCGTAGAAAAGCAACTCAGCATAAGCAAAGATAAGGAGAAGGAAACTAACCCATACAATCACCAGAGAGACGAATTAAACTTAGGGGAAGCATCAAAGCATGTCTTCTACCAGCTGGACGAATTAAACAAATGTAGGAAAAGAACAAAACAGGAGGGTACCAAAAAAGAATTTAAAAACCACATACACATAACCATAGCAGATCCAGTGCAAATTAAGAAGCACATGATTACTTCGTTTGTTACCAAGTTAAGGGAAGAGCTCCAAACGCAGAGTTGGTAAGTCTGACGCACGTCTGCTTCGCGTCATCAACATTTTGGCATGCTTTACCCTGTTCTCTTTATTGCTTAACTATATGGGGGCAAATGTATAAATAACCCCCCTTCTCGGATAACCTCCGCCTCCATTTACACATCTGTGCGGTGGATCAATAATTGTTACATAGAACCATGACATGAGAAGCGTTTCCACATTTTATGAAGGCGCGCCCAATGCTTCTCCTTTCTCTTCTCATCTCCCCCCTTGGCAGTTTTCACCTTTTTTTTAAAAATTCGATCGACCTCTACCGAAACCAAAAGCAGACGAAATATTTCTGTGCATATTCTGTCACCCCCGATCAACAAGAAATGCACTTAGATATTTTATTAAAAAAAATAGAAAATGTTTTGGAAAAGTTTGGACTGACTAACCAGTACGCCAATCGAATATGTCACCTTTCCTTGGCATACACAGACATCAATTTGGGACCCCTCCTTGAAGAAAGCCAACTAAATGTAGGGGATACCTTCTGGCCAGATATTGAAAAAATTGTGGAGGATAATAATTTAAGTTCAAGTTCAACCCCAGAGAGTGACGAATTTTGCATTTATGTGAATCGAATTTGTGTCCTTGTTGGCAACACTGTGTATGAATCTCGTTTCAGAAGTTTGCACGACGATTTGAGCATACTGCAGTCTGATGAATCGGGGGATAGCAGCACGGAGTGATATGTGCTATAACGCGGTTTGAGGCCCACCAGATATTTTTGCATATGTCTTGGCTACACCGCGTGGGTCCAACCGGAGTGTCATAGGAGGGCATAATTTTGTCCTTGCCATCTACAGATACGTGGAAGATACTGCTCTCGGTGGCCAATATGGGTATGCAAGTAGAAGAGGTCCCCCGCGTATCAACATTATCATGCATTGGCACATTTCGTGTGAACTTTTTTTTTTTTTTTTAAATTATGATGAGGATAATTTTCCCCCAACTTAGTGAGCATATAATGGATGTCCTTGTCACGTCGAACAATTTCGCGGAGGACGCGCGTTAAACGAAGGACAAGGCAACTTGGTGTGGCGTTCACTCCACTTCAAAATAAAGTGGACACGACAGTATATATAGCTGGTTTTTTCCCCTCCATCTCATGTTTCGAAAAAGGGAAAAGCGTAAAATGTTATCCGTCTCCGGTGCTCCCCCTCGGTGTGCAAAGTAAAATTGCCACACGTTCATGTAGAGGCGCAGATAAGTTTCATGTATGCGGGTTAGCAGTTTTGCCAAGAAGAACGCGACAATAAGTTACTTTTTAGCGAACATGTGTATACGGGCAGTTGAGCATTTGTTTACCTCCACACTTGCCTTCTTCCCACCCTCTGCCAAAGGTTGTGATCGAGGATTCAGCAAAATTCCGCCCACGGTCACGTCATTTTAATGGCCGCGAAGCGGTAGTTACAATTTTCAAAACCACAAATTTGAATGAAAAAAAAAAAAAAAAAAACATCAAACGAACGAACAAACAAAGGAACAAACAGAATAGTCAACTCTCGTGTTTGTCTATTAAAAGTGTACAAGGTTTTTACTCAGGATTTACATAGGAAGGACTATTGCGGGAATTTTTTTTTTTTCCTGCCTTCTCCGTTTCACCACCTGTTAATCTTTTCCTTCTGTTTTCCACGTTTGCAAAGCAAATGAGCTCCATGTCATCACCGTGCCGAGTGTAAAAAAAATAAAACTGCGAATTGTTCACTTTTTTAAAGAAGAAAATAGCAACACATTTTTCGCGGTGCATGCACTGTAGCAATTGCCATGCGCGAGGGGAAGGGATACCGGGCTTCAACTTTAACAAGAGTACAATCGCAAACCACTCGCACGCCTGCGGCAATCCATCTGTCGAGGGATTTGCGTGCATCTCGAAGAGTTGTCCGCACGCCAGGGGTATTTAAAAAAAGGGCAGAAGAAAGAAGTTGCAAAAAAAAGAACGTGACAGTTCCCAGTCGAAGTAGCCGCGACAGTTCCCAGTTTAAAGGAATCGCATCAATACACTGCCAAAGCAGCCGCCACAATACACTGCCAAAACTGCCACTCAATACATTGCCAAAATTGCCACTTAACACGCAGCCAAAACAACCGTGACAACTTGATCCCGCAGGGACAGTCCAACGACTCCCGTCGACTTTGACCAAGGCGATCATCTGCGCGTGGGGTAATTTCCCCCTCGTGGAGATTGACAAGTATGTACATACCTGCGTGTATACCTCTGTACACGCATATACATTTAGCAAAACCGTGTAAAATCAGAAAAAAGAAAAAAAAACGAAGTCGCCAAACTGCCAAATTGGCGAATCCCCAAATTGGCCATTCATAACAACCACGCACAACTGCAAAAAGAATGAGCGCGGAAAATGACCAAAGGGAAAAAGTTTTAAATCACAAATGCTCCAAAAGAAATTTTGAAGAATTGAAATCATTCGATAGTGTTCAATTGTTAAGCGATATCTCTGCAGCGTCTTCGAACAAGAGGAGTAAAGTACTCCACTCAGCGGAAAAAAGTGAAGATAACTTTTTGAATCATCCATGTCATTTTGATCTCAGTCAAAGAGGCAAGAGAAAGTTGGAAGAAAATTCCTATGAAATAGCGAAAGAAAAAAAAAAAAAAAAAATTTACCGAAATTGAAAAGAGCTATTACAACTTGGTGAGTGACAACAATGAGGGCGCCATATCGTACTGCTTAAATGAGTTTGCCTCGGAAGAGCCCCACAGACAGAGGCAAGACACATACCAGTTGCACACAAATGAGGGGAACATCACCCCCACGCACACTGCCATCCCCAATGATGAGTTGTTCCAGCAGGATGAGCAGTTGTCCAAAGGGAGAGGACTGAATCAGTTGGCAATTATTCCATTTGAAGGGGAGTACGGAAACAGCGCATTCAATTGCAAATATGAAGGGAGCAGTTCCAGCAGCGATGGCAACTTTGGAAGTCATGGAAATCGCCACATCGGCAGTGGCGCACGAGACAAAAGTGACGTGAAAAATATTTTCCACCTCTTATCCAAAAAAGACATCTTCTATAAAAATTTAATTAAAAATCAAATCAAAAGTAACAAACCGCTAATGATCAAGTGTGACAATTTGAGTTTCTTTTTAAACAGAAATACCTATGAGGGTAACGGCTTCCGGAATCAGTTCGTCTCAAATGTTAAAACGTCAGCCTTTTATGAGAGACATCAGTTTGCTGACGCTGTAATGCCATCCTCTGGAATACTCCAAGATCCAAATGGTGAACAAAATTTACACCACATCAACGACGAAGAAACCGCTCCGCTCTTTTTCGGTTCGCTTAATGAAGATTCCCCCACCACAGGCATCAGATCGAACAACGAAGTTCCAATTTTGAGCATCCCCAATAATGCACAACCCGATTTGGGTACACCTTTTGATCGTATCATTCCGAACATGAACATGGGCAAGAATGCTGTGACGAACATCAGTCCATACCCCTCCGGTTACCCCCCCGAGATGTTTAACGCAAATGATGGGATTTATTTCGCCCCAGATCAGATAGCGCAGAATGATGAAACCGGTCTATATAACCAACACGGTTGCATCAATTTTGCCATTCCAGACCAAACTGATAATTTTAATCCTACCGTTATGAGAACAAATCAGAACAGCTCAGAAAGCATCGGCCACGTAAATTCTTTGAGTGATGTTGGAAATTATTACCAGGCCAATGATTATAATGCTTACCACTGATTCTGTTGTAGGGAAGGGTGGAAAAATAAAAATGTAAACAATTTTCCATCGTTATAAGTGATACATTTTTTTTTTTTGCAAAAGGGAACGAGATGGAATGAGCACCGGTTGGCGGCACCGATAGGAAATACAGATAGGCAACACAGATAGGAAACACAGATAGAAAACACAGATAGGAAACACGGATAGGTAGCACCGAATGGCAGCACCATTTCAGCTACCCAACTGGGTAACAACACTTTTTTAACAAGTAAAAGAAAATTAGCAAATCGATTAACCTCCCCATCAGATGAACTTCATTTTATTTGAAGCGACGCATTCATTGCGCTAGCTAAATTTTTGTGATATCCTAAATATTTGAACCCCCCTAACCTCTACCACGACGACTAATCGAACATAATGCCCTATGAGCAGTGTAACAAGGTTAGAGAAGCCCAACAAACCCAACCATTTCGTAATCCCTGTCCAAGTGGACAAACACAAGATGCCCTTTTGCTCACTGATAGATCGAATAATTAGACTTAGAAGGTGAACGACAGCAAGGGGTGGTGTTTCTGCTTAGGGAGACCTCTGCATCCATGTCGGCAATTCTTATACCATATAGGACACTTCTTCGTGTCGCCACATCAAAAAGTGTGGATTCGAATTAACCTCAGAAGATACGAACTCACAAAAGTCGGCAGAATATGCGCATAGCGTATACTTTTGTATACGTGATAGGGACTTCCACCACCGCACTGTATGCCATATGTGTACTTCACCCACTGGCGCTGCGACTGAAATGATTATGGCGAACTGTTTGTGCTCACCTTGATTTTGAGTCGAAGTAGTTAATTGAGGCCAAGCCATCTCAGTACCTTTAGCAGTGCGCTGAAATGATATGTTTATAGGCTATCGAAAAAAGGAGTTAACTTCTCTTTCGTATGTTTCATTATTTGTAAGTTTGTTGTTTTTTTAATTGCTTCTCCTGCGAATGCACATACGGGGAGAGGTGAGCACCTACATGCGCAGTCGGGTAGGTTTATTCACCCATGTGTATATATGCCCCCCACGTTTGTCCATTTCTTGAGAATAATCCGGGTGGATGGTAAAATCCTGCCAATTTTCTCCACACCTTTTTTTTTTTTTCCTTTTTTTTTTACCCTGAACATGTGTTGCATATGTGTTCTACAGAGCACTGCAAGACACAGACCCATTTTTGTACATTATGAATTATTAGACTTATTTTCCTATAATAAATTATTCAAACATTTAATAAAGAGGAAAAAGAAAAATTTACTCAAATGGTCGTCTTCGAGAGAGGGATAACGGTGAAGTTATACATCACCGTTTTATGGCTCTGCACCAATTTGTCAGACCCATCGGATTTATACCAAAAAAGTTTACAAAACGCTGCCCCCTCCGAGTGCCTGACTTATTCACCCATGTGTTACTACCACGCAGTTAGTAAGTATAAGTGTACCATTTCTCGAATGGCCGCTTTACTTTTCTTTTTTTTCTGGGAAACGTATTTAACGCTATGGCAAAATGTGCATTTCGGCTTCATTACCCTATAGAAGTCGGATCCAACTGAAAGAGAAAGAGAGAGAAAAAAACGCACATGCTTGTCGCTTAAATCATCGCTTTGCACTTCTTATGTTACGATGCTCCCCCTGTCATTTTCGCTGAATTTTTTCTGGAGAAAGGGGATCCACCAATGAGATTGATTCAGGTCAGTGAGGATCAGTCGAGCAGTCTTTACACCGTTCCTTTGTTCAGTACACGCATTAAATAGGGTAAAAAAAAAAAAAAAAAAAAGCACAAATGTTTAATATTACCCATTTGAGAAGAATGGTGACAGAGTTGCATATTGGTGCTCCTCTGTTTACGATTACGCCAATCCCTGGTGAGCAACTGCAAATTAGGGGATTTTTTTTCCTTCTCTTGCACACTTATCAAATTTTCCCACGTGTTAAGAACAACGAAGAGGAGGCCAAAAAGAAAAAAATAAATGCCCAAACAATTGTGCATTGCACATGCGCAGGTGGACTTTTCAATGATTTACCCACCACGTCCCCTACAACACACAGTGCTAATTGTGGTACTTTCAAAAACACTTTAACACAGTTCATTAAAAAGGAATTAACACAAACGCGAAAAGTCAGTTCTGAAAATGGAGAAAAACCAGATCAGGTGCATCTATGTTGGTCATTGCCAAGCTGGCAGTCGGTGTAAAACCGTTCTATGTATGGCGACGTGAGGATGACTAGCCTTTCAGTGCATAGGTTGAGGGGGCGAAGGAGCAAATATATATGTATATATATACGCACACAAATGCGCTTACTTGTGCGCACACTTATGACAACTTCCCAGCGCAGCTATTCCCATCAACCCGGATTTCCCCCTTAGCCGTTTAACACAGCCACTGCGCCCTGCGTAACCCAAACTTACAAGTGTATATTTATGTGCAGATTCAATGGGAAGAATAAAAATAAGGGGGTAATTTTTAACTGCGAATAGGGGCGGCAAACGCCGCAGCGATGATAACATTTCACCTTAAAAAACGCCCCATTTTGCGAAAATTTACTGAAAATAAATAACGCGACAACAAAGGCCTCGGTTGGCAGCTCACTACACAATAATGGAAAAGCGTCAAACGGGCGAAAGGAAAACCTTTGCTTTTCTAACATTTTGGAACTCCAAATAGATGAAGTTGTAGGATTTTCATTTTTTCCTCACAATGCACATTTTTGCAAATTTCTGGTTCGTTCTGTTATCTACAGCATTAAAAGACAGTAAAAAAAAAGAAAATTACACTATTCTGTTGAAGCCATTGTGAACGAATTTTTGTCCTTATATGGGAACAAATTCATAAAATTATCCAAAAAAAAGGGAGGAAATGTGGCAAGTAGACGAGCGCAGGCAAGAAATTGCAAAGCGCAGAATGCAGCGATGGATTGATTTTTCTTTTCATTCATGAAATTCGCAAATACTGCATAGACAGAAACGGCGACAAAGGGAAGGGAGGAACGTGGGTAAAATGGACCAAACGGTGAAACTGAACAAATCGGACAAATGAACCAAATCGGTCAAATGGACCAAATATAAAATACCGCCATTTGTGCGGGGTTAATACCAGTGGAAGAATCATGCGTAGAAATATATTTTTTTGCAATTCCTACACCTTTTTCCTATCATTCAATTTTTGCAATTTTTTCTTCTTTTTTTTCCTTCTGAAACAGACAAACTTGATGAATGTGTTGACTACAATTTTTACAATAACGAAAATGGACATTGCTGCGGTGGCTCAGCAGACCGTTACCACGTGTTGCTAGCACTTTGCTGACATCCGCAACGCATTCTCCCCGTGTTGCAAAGGACACGATTGAGGAATATTCGTGTGTTTACTTCCCCCACCTCCAGCGCATTAGCGCATATTTCTACAACGAAAGGGCGGGAAAAATAAATGGCTGCGCAAATAACACATTGTGCTAAACCATTTTGCGGTATACAAAATTGGGGGGAAAAAATTTAGCGTCTAACAGAGCTGTGACTGCAGAAGCGAAAATAACATTAACTATGCTGATAATTTCTACAAAAATGCGGATAATTTATTCCAACAACTTTTTTTAATTTTTCCAACATAAGACTTCTGCACCTCCATAATCTGTTAATTCAAAAAAAAATATACATATATATACACGTTAACGTTTGAAGAAAGTGTTCATTTTTGCAAAAGAAAAAACGCGCGTCAAAGGCTGGGGTAACATGTGTGTAATTTTAACTCATGCATTTTCCATTTTTCGCAGTTGCATATTCACGTTTTGCCGCTGCATATTCACTTTTTGCCAGCTGCATATACACTTTCTACAAAGTGCATATTGGTGTTCCACGAATTGAATCGTTTCAAAAAAAAGTGATCAGTTTTTTTTCCTTTTCCTTTTTCCTTCTCTTTGCAATTCTGTTACACACATATCTCCCCTTCGTTTGAACTGCGCCCAGAGAGTAAATGCAGCAACGGAATATTGCAAATTTACACATGTGCGTGCATAAAGATGGAACGAAACAAAAGAAATAATTAAAGTTGTGAAAAAAAAAAAAAACTTCCATCATTACAATGGTAGAAAAAAACAAAAAAATTTAAATAAAAGTTAAACCCAGTGAAACGAAGTAAAAAACAAAAAAAAATAAAAAATAAAAATCTTAAGTGTTAGATGAGAACTAATGTTAACATTCGCACAGGAAAGAAACAAACACCCAGTTGCCCACCGATGTGTACATAGAAGTGTATAGTGAGTGAATGTGTAAGTGTACACATATGCATATATATATGTGTGTATATCTATATGTATACATATATGTGTATATGCGCGCGTGAGTATATTTGCGTGTACACACTCGCGCGGTGTTTGGGTTTGCCTATTGGACGCTGCAGAAATGCACATGTGCAAACGTGCGTGTGAACGTACTTGCGAACGCATTTGCAATCGCATGTGTCAACATATCCACATTCATCGTCCACATAAATACACTCGTCCAGTGTCCCAGTGAACATATCCATCCATTTGTTATCAATTGCAGTTGCTTGCCACACATTTTAAAACATATGAATACGTCAGCCTGTATTTGTATACTTAACGAAATTGACGTAGCAATGATCATCATCATCTTACGTTAAAGAGGAAGAAGAAGGAAAAAAAAAGAAAAACATAGGAAAAAAAAATGTAACTCATTTAGCTAATTTCCTCTGCTCAGCTGTGTATCCTTTTTTTTTGTGCCAGTTTTGTACATAACTACCCCCGTGTCCATCTGCCTAATAAAACGTCCATATTGACGTGCCCATTTTCTTTAACAATAAATGAGTAGCAATTGATCAATTGTGTAAGCGCTACGTAAAATAAATCATTTGTCGAACTGTTTAGCAACCTGTATGTCTCTATCATGAGAAGTGACATTTGTGTTCACCCCGATTTATTTAGAAACATATGTTTTTTTTTTTTTTTAGTAACCTATATAGTGTAGTAGGACACCGTTCAGTTGGTGCCGCTTAACAGAGTAGCGTGCAACTGAGCTTAATTCGGATTGATGTCAATGCCGATTTTGTAGCTTGCGGGCGCGCATAATTTTTTTTGTACGTTTTTGCTCCTTTGTTAGCCTTTTCACGCGCCCTCTGTTTGGCGCTCGTTTTCCTATCTCTCTATCCTTTTTTTTTTTGGCGCACATTTGGCAACTGGCGCGCGTGTATGCCTACAGAGGAGTGCCTGCGCATTAGCATATACGCGCACGAACAGGTCTAAACACGTGAAAACATGCGTGATTTTGCGTGAGCATGCGTAACATGCACCAGGGTGTGTAAAATATGCCTACGTACAAGCACACGTGCATGCGTAAATATCCTTGATAAGGTGGGTATGCCCATACGCATATGCGCGCTTATGTTCGTGTATATCCATACATATAACATTTTTGCCCTTGGGTGACCTTTCTTCCCTCTCTTTCCATTTTTTTCGTTCTTTTCCCCTTTTTTCCACTTTTTTCCATCTTTTCCCTTTTTTTCCACTTTTTTCCTTCTCTTTTCCCCAATTCTTCAAGAGGTGCGTCTTACACACTTTGTTTCCCCTTTTTTTGTTCCTTCTTCCAAATTAGGGATGTCCTCTTATGGCCCTATTTTCCCCTTTTTTTCTCGTGTACAATTACGCAATTTTCCTATTTTTTTTTTTTTTGTCACTTTTTGGTTAGGTTAACGCGCGGGTATATGAAACATACTAAAATGCACGGAAACGCGTAACCGATGCTTAATTACTCCTGTACTAATACACTTGCCAATGCATACAAGTATGTGCAAATTCTTATTTTAAATAGTACATAACGTTAAGTTAGAAAATAGCAAGCACATTTGGAAAAGCGTAAATAATTATGATAAAATATTATTTTGTGACACAAAATAGAAATATAGTGAGTGCTGTGTATGCAAATTGGAAAAGATAAACTTTTCGTTCGCAAATGTACACATATGTTATCCTAAAAACGAATATTTTCACAGAATTACTACGCGAACTGCTGATTTTGTAGTTTTTTCTTTTTCGTATTTGATGCCTCATTATGCGCTTACCCTTAAGTACACCTTTCCGCTTAGGCTAAGTACAAGTTTGGGTCCACGTTTATGTATTTTTTTTTTTATTTTCCAACTTTTGGTTACTTATCTTTTTTCGCCTTTACTATTTTATGAAAAGATAACAGAGTCTGTACATTTACATTCACATTTACTTTTCCTTTTCCAGTAAATTTTGTTTCAAAAGATATAAGTTGAATGCTTCTCCCAATTATATGTAGAAAAATTTGTAGAAATACACAATTTTATCTTTATTTTTTGTTTACTTTTCGTCCTTATTTTTTGCGTTCTCTTTTTTTTTTTTTTTTGTTTATATGACTATGCGTCTAAGTATGATTTTCGCATAATACTTTGCGCCACCCATTTTCTTAAATGATAAATTCGTACACAAAGAGGGGTAGGGGAAAATAATCATTTAAACATATTTCCATAAAATATTTGCAGTTCCCCTAGCAGTTAACTTTTTGTTCCTTCCCCTGTGGCTTCACCTCATGCGGAATTAGCCCTCAGTCTCCAGGCTTCCCCACACGTCCAGGCGTGCATAGGACTAACCTACAGTCGAAAATAGAGCCATATATATATTTTTTCTTTTTTTTCATTATTCTTTGGGCATAAGAAAATCACAGAGTCAGGAAATAACAGAAAAAATACAAACAAAAAAAAAAAAATTAAGTAAAATATCCTCAAATAAAGGAACAGACACCTTGTTGCTAATTTGTAGAGATCATTCATACCTAAATTGAGGAATGAAAGTTTTCCAAATTGACAATAGTTGCAATTGCCATACGAATATAACCAGAAAAAGGAAAAAGGAAAAAGGAAAAAAGTCCGAATTTCTGAATAGCCAATTTCTATATATGGATCTTTAGGAATTTTTTTTCTTTTTTTTTTTTTGTGACCTCCTGAGTATCTCAAAATTATTCATTAACACTTAAGGAAAAATGTAATACTTACATGTAGAGAGCATTTTTGCACACGCGTTTTCTGCCACGCAGCGTATGCCGGCTTTGGCATGAGGGGTTGTAGGAGATTGTGTGCAGTGAATGTATTGCTTTAGAAGTGTTCCCTCGCGTGCGCTACTTTGCCTTGTTTCGTTGCGCATATTTGTATGCCCCTTTGTACAGCTGCTTGAACAGTTTGTGTGCGGATCAGAAGCATTTTTTTATCATTTTTCTATGTAGTTCGCCTTGTAGAGCGAAAAAAAAAAAAAAAAAAAACGGAAAAAAGGGCAATCGGAGTGATATACTAATTAAATAATATACATACACCGTGACGTAGTTTAGCAATAGTTGTGTTTTTAATCGAGGGTGCACCACTTTTACATAATTATGCCCTCCTACTACCTCTATAACAATGCCCCTCTCACTTGGTCGAAAAGGCTATACAATTTCGCATATGTAATATTTTTTTTTTTTTTCCCTTTCCTCAGGTTAAGAGTTGAAACCAAAACTTGGACGAGAGATAGTCATGATCTGTTTGATTATGAAGCGCAGCAAGTTAACAAAAAAAGTTTTTTAATTTCAACTCCAATTAAACTTTTTCGTTCCAAGGCGCAAGTATCATGTGTGGCTGATAATCCACACTGCTTGCCCAACACAGCGCAGGATTACCTGTTGTCGGTGCGGCCAGAGGAAGGTAAGAATAGGACTACAAGCCATTGTGTGCATTTGGATATGTATATGTGCCGTATGTGTCTACGGTTTCCCTGCACCAAAATGGGTGATGCGCTCGGGAGATCATTTTTTTCAGATCCAACATCACGATATGGAATTTTTTTTTTTATCCCCCCCCCACTGAAAAAAAAAATAGGTACGGACAAATACATAATAACGCCCGCAGAGCACTCGCTAAACAGCCAGTACAATGTGAAGAAGCTGTGGATCATCGTCAAGGACTTACCTGACAAGTCATACGCATTACACGAAAATGACATCATAAAATTAGGAAGATTCAGATTGAAAGTGAGACAATTTATCGATTCCGTGGATACATTAAACTCGTTAAAGTTAGACGACTGCCCATCGAAGAAATGCGAATCAATTTTAGACTCCTCAAATATCCAATGTAGAATTTGTTTGATAGAAGGGAACCAAGAAAATGACCCTCTCATCTGCCCATGTGATTGCAAAGGGTCCATAAAGTATGCTCACCTCATGTGCTTAAGAAAATGGATAAACGGGAGATTAAACCTCAACGATCAATTATTTTCCGGTTCAGTTTTTATCAAAGATATATGTTGCGAACTGTGTAAAACGAAGTATCCAAAAAGTATCAAACAAAATGATGAACTCGTACAGTTAGTCAAGATTCCCAATTTGAAGACGCCATTAATTGTGTTGGACAATATCATAGGACAGACAAGCAAAGGGGTGCATCTAATAAGTTTCGCAGATAAAAAACATCTCAAGTTAGGAAGGGGACATGAATCAGATGTAAGAATCCCAGACGTTTCCATTTCAAGATATCATGCTACTATTAAATATGAAAAGGGATTATTCAAATTGGAAGATCATAACTCGAAATTTGGGACCCTAGTTGCATTGAGGAAAGCAAGAGAAATTTGTCCCAAAGATACCATGTCACTCCAAGTAGGTCGAAGCGTTGTCAATTTTCGAGTGGATGAAGAAATTCCCTTCACAAGTGGAACGATCGATATTATTGAAAATAAGGAAGTAATAGAAGCTAACGAATTACCTCCAGCAAATGAGAAAAATAATGTCGAATCCCCACAAATGACTAACCCCAATTTGGAGAACACCAACGGAAATAATTTTGAGACGAACCACTATGTAGACCTCACCAACTCTACCAATTCCATGCAGAATTCGTATTCCTCCTACCGAGTGGACAATTTGATGTCCCTACTGAATTATCAAAATGAGTATAGAATTTTCGGCATCAGAAATTGCTACAATTTGAATGACAACGGGAATGGGAATCAGCAAAATGGGACTCAGATGGATTGCGGAGAGGGGGGGAATAACATCAATATGGAAGGGAGCAATCTTCAGGGGGGCGAAATCAATAACAATGACGGGATGATTGGTGAGCAGATGGGCATGCAGAATGGCATACAAAATGGCATGCAGATGGGCGTACAAATGGACTTGCAGATGGACCTTCACATGGGCCTCCAAATTGGATCCGATATGAGGGCACAAAATAACCACTCGGGCAACCCCAGCAATGACGAGGAGAGGGCCTGCAACCTAGTCCATAGGGTCCAGTGCCAGGGGGACAACAACGACGCGAGTCATGACGGTCACAACGAAGCTAATAATAACAACAATGATGAGGACAATGACGAAGACAACAACGGTGACAACAGTAACGATGAAGAGGGTGATGACTTGCGCGTGCATGATGAGGAGGACGACGATGATGATGAAAACGGAAGCGACACCAACAACACTGGAAGCAGCGGAGGGAACAGTGGTGGCACCAGCGGAGCAGGATCAACCGGTGGAAACAGCAACGGAAATGAAGGAAGCCGAAATGAACATGAAAAAAAAAACAGTAACCAGAGTAACAGCCATAGCAGCAATGACAACAATGATTGCACCCAAGACCAAAGTAGTACCTACCATGGGAGTAGCACTAACCCAATCGGAACTAGCACCCCCACGTGCAAGACGAAAATTTGCAGTAGTAGCAGTTATGATCACATTGTACACAATGACAAAAGTGTGAGCAACATCTGTGGCGACCAAAGCAGATCCAACGAAAATGAAGTCGGCACGTATTGCGTGAATATGGCTGTGCAAAGAGCCTACACAAACAGGTCTGAGAATTTGTACAACAATTGCAAAGGTGATGTATCAGTGGTGATAAGTAAGTACGACAACGGAAGTTTCATCCCTAGTGCCGGCAACAATAATGGCAGTCAGGAGAGCGGCAGCTACCCGATCGGAAACAACATCGGGGAATATACAAAGGTAAGTATCGAAGATAACTACTTCTTTCGCAACGAGTCGAAGACCCCCCAACAGGTGCAGTACTACATAGACAGCGGAATTGTTAATGATATGCTTACATCAAACTCCAGCACAAGTTTGAAAAAAATTCAAGACCCAGTAATGAAAAGCGGCTACCATAATCAGGACCTTCATGATTGCTCTTTTGTCCAGTCGGTCTACCACATCAACGGTAAGAACGATCACAATGTTATCAATGTTATGTATAGCGGTTCCAACCAGAGAATAAATCATAATGGCATATATGTAAGCGAAGCTCATTTAAGAAGTGAAAAATTTCTTCAAAGTTTGTCCCTCCAAAGTCATGACAAAGCAGCAGCTAGTACTGGTAGCAGCAATAGCAGCAGTAATAGTGGTATCCACCCTTCCCCTAATTTTTTAGACGAAATAAGTGAATCAAATAATGGTTCCAATTATAATTCCCGTATGACCGTTTTTCCTACCTCTATCAACTCGAACAATTGTTCTATAAATTCTGAAAATGCCATGTTGCCTCCATTTGTTGAGAACACTTCTTCTTTTGTTCATGACCTGGGTGACAATCAGCTGAGTGGTGTTGCGACTGGTGATGAATTAAACAACAGTGGGTGTTACCCCACTAATGGTAGTTCTTCCGGAGTACAGGACGAGGGAGTCATCCTAGGAAGACAACCCCAAATGCAGAGAGGCAGCAACGATCCACCCACCACATCGGAAGGAAAAGAAACTGTCCAGAAGAACAAAATGAAAAAAGGAAATCTACAGAAGAAAAATGTTATCCTAGATACCCTAGACAGAAAAAATCCACGTAAGAAGAAGTTCAAAAGGTCCGTAAATAGCACCCACGTGGAGACCCCACCACAGCAGCATATGGAGTACAGCAACGAGAATACCCATTTCATGGGCCCATGTAATCATGGAAGTGTACATGTAAGGAACGTCAAGGTGGAAGGTACTTTTTATGATCAACAATGCAGTGTGTCGAAATATGCGAAAAGTGATTTTTTGAAAAGTAACACATCAGCACCCGGTATTTCGGGATATAGCATCTCTGGGAAACTGTCACTAAGCTCAACTTTTGACTCCGCTTCTCCCACCAGGGGGGGGCACAATTACTACTACAGGAAGAAACCTTACCATGACGGGTCCATTTATAACGAAAAATTTTACTACCAGAGCTCGGAGGATTACAAATTTGGCAATGTCAAGGAAAGTTACAACAAGATGAGCAATCTGAGCAATTCCACGAACGATCGAAGAAGCAGCGGGACGAGTTTCACTCACACGAGAAGTAACGACGGAAGCGGCGGCAACTACGGTATCGGAGGCAAGTTGCACCTGAAGCAATACGCCCATTCCCTGGACTACTACAACGGCAATTACAAACTATACAACGTTATGAACTTTAACGAAAAATTTAGTGTCCATAGGAACACCTCGTTTAACCACTTCAGCACAATAAACTCCGTAAGTAATAAATTTACCTACCATACCCAGGGGTGGCTCATGCGAAGCAGAAATGTTCAGGCGGATTTTCTTCTAAATAACTACGGCTTGGGTGCAGCTACAGCCCACTTTGACATGCCTATAGCGTTGTACAATAACTGTGTAGGTGGTTCGGACGTTTTCGTTGTGAATCCCGAGAACGGAGCTAGCACCGGCAATAGTGGAAGTAACTCTACTGGCATCACCAACCAGCAGAATAACATCCATAACGAGGATAACGGCAAAACACGAAATAACTCCATTGTTGAAGCTAACCAGAACTATCAGCAATACATTAATGAGTCCCAAAAGGGGATAAATGGAGAAAAAGGCCCAACTGATGATCGTAGCATCAACATTGAAACACAGTTGCGTTATGATAATAATAACATCGCGGGGGATTATAACTTCCATTTGGCAAGGGCCTACAGGGGGGATGTTCTTCGAGGCGGCCGGGGAAAAGAAGCCATCTACGACGGGTCCAGCTACGGATCGGGCGACCTCATTCAGACAACCCAAGTGAACCAGCTGAATGGATACACACAAAACAACAACTTTTTAGGCCATAGCGGGAGCCCCCTTTCTATGACAAACAAGGATTTATTTTCGAAGGAAAAAAAATACTTCGGCAATGGAGGAAATATTCACTGTAACAGGAGCGGCAATAATAGCGCGGACGATCCGCCTGCCTATACACAACCGAGACACTCGTATTACCATACTCAGCTGCATAAGAAGATCAACCCCAGCGTTAAAAAAAATGACGAAAAGAGGACTAGTAAAATGAACAAAAATCAGAATGACAGATCCAGCGATAGTAACATCAGGAAGGTGAAAAATGGAAGAAGGCTGAGGAACAAAAATGACAAAAGTGGTTACCACTGCGAAGGGTTTCAAACTATGCCAAACACAAACAGTGTAGGATCGAAGATTGCCCTTGAAAGTAGCAGAAGATGTGACCAGAAAGGGGCAACCCATTACAATAATAGTGTTTACAACGAGGATACCATTTCGATTGATAACACCTCGAATGATCATATGGGATCTCTCGACATTCCCATGAATAGCAATCATGTTACTAAGGCAAACATTACCAAATCGCAGACAGCAGAATTTGCCAACTTACACCCAGCCGCTTTCATACCAAATGACGGCATGTACTTTCATATGTACAATCCCAGTGGCATTTCGGGCCACCCCAATGTACCCCTAAGCATTATCAGTAATGAGAAAAAATCGGAAAAACGTGGAAAGCTAGGATGAAACTCTCCCCCAGTGGTGCCATCATCTATCTCTACGTGAACGAAATAGATGCACAGCACATCCTGCGTGTATTGCCATCTTGTGCGCATTGCCAATCGGGGTCAGTATGCCCTCATTTGGATACCTCCCCCCTTTTTTCTCATTTTAGATAATCATAAGACCCTGAACGAGGAGAATATCTACCGGAAGGAGGAACGGGTGGTGTAACAAAGGATGCAATGTCTACGCAGCTGACTTCTGGCTTCATCAGGCCAGGGGTTACAAAGATACAGGGTCCAGAAGGGGCAATACTTTTTTATGTCCATTTCAGAAGGTTAAAAGGTTGAAGTCGCTATTGCTCATGAGCTTATTTCATGGCAAACTCTGATGATGATTCTTTTTTTTTTTTTTTTTTCCTTTGTTCTACTGTTGATGTTTTCTTCCCCCACCCTAAAATATACCACCTTAACCTTTGTTTATCCTTTGTGCACTTCTACAGGTCATCTAATTATTTGTTAAAATATTCACTTCTTAAATTAGAATGATAATAATAATGATTGTTCCCAATTTTTAAAGTAATTTTTTAATAAATTTGAAAAAAAAAGAAAAAAACGGGGAGGATTTTCCGACTATGTGCGATTTCGTTTTGTCTTTTTTTCTAAAAAAGTAAAGTACACATATTAGCAGTAAGCAGGAGTGTGCCACAAGTCTGGCCACCAAAACGGGCAAATGCTGAGGGCGTTTTGGACCAGATGCATCTTTTCAACAATTCCTTCTTCTCCCCCGTCTTCGTTCTCTTAACGTGTCCCTTTTGCATGTCCGTGAGGGGCGGAGGAAAAATCGGCTCTCGATTTGCTTGAACATTTTGTCCCAATTTATGGAGGACCATTGGGTTCGTTTGCGCAGGTAGGGGGGGACGATCTACGTCGCCTCCCGTTTATCGCTGATGTTCGAAGGACACACCTTAGTTACGACATACCCAGCGGGTAGGAAGCTAAAGAGGAGATTTGTCATAATAAGCTTCTGGCAGCCATGTGCGCATGTACAGACTGAATCGACAACATAAAGGATCCCATTACAATATTTAAAATGGGGAAAATAATTTTAAGTCAACGGAGAGATTCTCAGTAAAGTGTTGATCAATGAGGGGGGACATATATACAGACGTGCGTAGAGTAAGCATCGGTGGAAACAAATTTACGATAAAAAAAAAAAATAATAATAAAATTGGGACACGCTGGGTGAGTGCCATATTAGAATGGAGGGGGGATGTGGCACAATGCGGCGTCACACGTGGAGCCAACAAAGCGAAGATGGCATTGCGATGATGGCCTCATGAAGCTACAAGTGCGACACAGTGTTGTGTGGTAAATTATGACGGGGCCGCGCAGCAGACAGGTACCCACCACATGAACGTTCATCGCTCGGTCAAAGTTTGGCCGCCACGACAGAGCTATTTAATTGGCCATTTTGGGAGTTAATCAATTTTGCAATTTGAAATTTTCAGTTTTGCAATTTGAAATTTTCCATATTCCGGATTACCATTTTTCCAGCTTGCCAAACTGCCGATCGGCACTCAAAAAAAAGGCCACGGACATAAAGTCAAGGAAAACGCGCGACGCGTTTTTATGACCTCTTACAATTCATCCTTCTGGTCCTGGGACTCATTGTTCCCATCTGATGACTGGTTTCGGTTGGCACCCGATTCACCCTTCTGTTGGCCATCTTCAGCTTGGGAAGCTCCGGCATCGGCGCTTTCGTTGCTACTTCCGTCGGTACTTCCCTTGTTCTCACTTGAGTTGCCATTCTGTGATCCATTCTTGCTTTGCTGCTCATCCTTGGGATCGTTTTTTCTATCCTCTGGGCTGGGCGCCGCATTTTCGTTTCCTTTTTTCTCTTTCTTTTCGGCGGGCTTTTTAATTTTCTCCAAACTTTTGACTAGCAAATGGATAGACTTAAATTTATTCTCTACTTCTTTGGCTTTAAAAAATGGAGGAGAATAATTATCTAATTTTTTTTGTTCTTCTTGTGCCTGCTTCCACCACTCCTTTGCTTTCTCCAATGAATCTCGCACCACTTTAATGGTTTCTTCCGCCCATGGTTTGGCTGCTGTATACTGTATCACTTCTTGTTCCATCTCCTTAATTTTGGCGTTCGTGTCCTGGATTAGATTTTCCCTTACCTGTAATTCTTCCGCCCTTTCCTTAATAGGCAAATAGACATCCTCCAGCTCCATTATTTTGTTACTTACATTTTCTAAGGGTTCGTCATTTTCAGTGTAAAGCCACTCCTCATATTCCTCCAATCTGTTTAGGTACTCGGTGCGGGTATCTTCTTTGCACACCTGCTTGAATATGTCCTGCTTCATTTTGCTTCTGGACTCGTAGATAAAAGACTCGAGTTTATTTTTTCTCTCCGATTTGAGGAAGATGTTAATATCATGCTCGTCCATCTTCTTTAAAATGTCCTTCTTCTCTTTCACTTCTTCGTTTGTCAGGGGGGTTGGCTTAATGTTTCTCACTTGGTAAGTCATCTGCACTGAGTGTTTCACCACATGGGTTTTTTTTTCATCCGTCTTTGTCTCCTCTTTCTCCGTTGCTTCTTTGTCGGTGGCTTGCCCCGCCCCAGTGGCATCCATGTTGACCTCCCCAGCTGCTTCCTCACTCGTTTCCACATTGGAGTTTTCCTTTTTCTCCTGCGCATCTGCCGTCTTTGGGCTGGACTCTACCTTCTTCTCCTCCTCATAAATCAGGAACACATTCTCTAGGGTCAAAATTCCGAACTTATCCAGCTGAAATTTCAGGCTCACCTTGGGAGAGTCCAACTTTTCGTACTTCTTCTTCGTCGCCTCATCAATAGGGTTCACAGAATATTCATTCAGTACCTTCCCATTCTCCAAAATGGAAAATTTTAAATTTTCTCTATATTTTAATATGACACTTTTTGTAAGCGGGTATCGGGAGTTATAGGGAATAATTTCCTTTGGGGTGTTTTGATCATCGGATGTTTGGTTTTCGTCACCGTCTCGTACTACTATGTGGTATTCATTTGATAGAATATCTGTGTAGTTCAAATCTTTCAAACGAAAATTTGCACTGTTGTAGGCGGCAATGTAGAGGCTTCCCATGGTGACTGCCTCGTCACTGTTGAGGTGCATACCAACAGTTAGGGGATTAAAAAAGGCGGTGATTTCATTTAGTACTTTAGGGACTCTCCATGCAGCGCCAATCAATTCCAAAGCTTCAATATCTTTCAACTCGAAGGAAGCTTTCTTAAGGGCATTATTAATTGGTACTTTAAAATTTAAGATCACTTCTTCAATTAGATCTTCGAATTCTTGTCTTGTGACTGTTTCTGCCAAGCTCTTATTCTTGTACAAGCTTTCTATAAACACATCCGTGAATTTCTTAGCGCTTAGCAATAATTTTGCTTTATTTGCTGCGAGGACTAATTTGCGCATGGCCTTCCGATCGTCATAAATGGACAAGTTATATTTTTCTTCAAATTTCTTCCTCAAATGTTCAGCTAGCATCACATCGATTTTATTTCCTGATTTGTTTTCGATGACTTCACATGCATAGACCTTAACGCTTCTAGTCCGAACTTTATCATGCTCTATATGGCTGATCGTTGCGATTCCGACATTGATATTTTTACTTCCCACATCCAAGTACAGGGTCAGCTTCGTCTTGTTCAATGGCAAGTCGTGCACATTGTGTATGGCAGCAGCTGTGACTCCATTCACTAACCCTAGCAATTCTAGGCCTGCTATTTTGGTTGCATTGAGAAGAGCCTCCTTCTTCCTCTGTGGGTAATTACACGGAATGGATATCACACACCCGATATGTACATTTACTGATCTCTTCGTTTTGTAATCCACATTTAGATGATTATACGCCAGCTTCTTTATGTAGCCCAATATATTTGCCGTTATTTCTTCGGAGGACAGAACCATGTCATTCTTTAGTTTCAAACTGATGGTTCCTCTCCTATGGTCGACAACATAATCGTAGTCAAAATATTTACTCGTGGCATCATCCTCTTGGTGAAATTGGTAATTATTCACATCTGCGTAAAAAGCTTCATTACTCTCATCATAATTTTCAACATTGAAATTTTCTTTATTTTTCAATGCATCGAATATGTTGTAGGCTAAATAGTTGTTCCCATTTTGGATCGTTAGGTGTGGATGCTTTGAGCTGTATATTTTGGCTTCCTCATCGAAGGTCCTCACTTTGCTACTGAACGAGATTGCATTTGTTATTTTTCGCTTACTTTGGTTGTTCAGTAAAATGTTGAAACCTTTTCCTGGCGACACAATGGATACCTTTATGTACTCGTTTCCGAAATCTATGCCCAAAACGGATGCGCCTTTTACCAGGATTGCCTGATTCAACAGGGATAGGATGGCTAGGGCCACTAGCAGCGTCCTCTTCATTTTGGTTCACCCCGGCCTCTCTGAAGGATTCCTGCTTACTGCGCCCCTTGTGTGAATGGTTTACACAGGTGTTGGGTTCGTACGCACTGTTTCGGGTTCTTCTTGTTCTTTCGCGGATTTTTCTTCAGGGTAATCTCACACGTTTCTGTTGCAGATAGCTTGCTTTTTATCACCTGTACAATGATACTAATGCGCATATACACTGCTTTGGTGCCGGCTAAGCATAGTGTACAGTGTACAAAAGGGTTTAGGTAGGGGGAGGGAGGCCCACATAGATAACCTTACAAATGTGTAGTAGAGGGTTATGGTGGAGGGCTATGATTGAGGATTATGCTGGATGATATGAGTGAAGGCTGTGGAAGGCGCGTGTGCCCCTTCTGCTATGTTACATCGCAGCCAAGTTAACTTCACGTTAATGGGTCCACCTAGCGCCTTTTCCTGTTCCGCGCATGATCAATGGGTTTAAGCAGTTCGCTGTTCTTGCGCAAACGTTCACGCGTATATATAGGGGCTGCGCCTTTGTAAATTCCCCTGCGCTGAACTCGGCGGGGTAAAACTACTCATCGCTATCGCAACAGCGCGGGGGGGGGAGCAGTCAATACTGTACAGAGTTACAATAAGTTTTTATGCTTCCCTCAGCTTCGCGTTCGCGCGAACGTGTACATGGCGTATCCACGGCTAAGCTCATCAACACGCAACCGTTGAAATATCAATAAAGCTATGTTTATCCGCTTATGCTTTTTCTTTCTTTTTTTTTATCTTCTCTCGAAAGAAAAGCGCACTACCCTTCTGGGCTACTTTCCTTTCTAGTAATGTTCACGAGAAATTGGCCAATTTATTTTTCATCTTTGCTTTTTTCGGAGTTGCTCTATGTAACCACCTGGCAATATGGCGACTATATTTTTTACCCTACCTCCTAAATTAACCTTTTTTTTTTTAAAGCATTATGGTTTGTTTTGTCCCTGCTTTTGTTTTCCATTAGCTTGAATTTTTATTTAAATTGACTCCAACGCGACTTCCTCTTTGCCTCGGCTGACTTCAGTTTTTTTCCCGCTCAAACATTCTTCATGCCGAGGCGTACCTAACGACGGCGCAACTGACAGGCGTCCGACAAACGCTATGGCATAAGCCGCGCTTTGCGCCTTTGTAAAGAAATTACCGAATGTAAATTTTTCCTACATTGTACCTCTACACCTGTACACATGTATACAGGCCAGGCATAATATCATATGTCTGCACTTGCACAAATGTAAAACGCAGAGTAGCACAAAACATGTACCCTAGAACTTAAAGTAAAAAAAAAAAAAAAAGAAGAAGAAAATGGGAAGGCCAACAACTATCCAGAAATAGTTCAAATCACGTGAGGAAAATTTTCCGTATCATTTTGTTCCCACCCCTGGAATACACTTCCGAGCAAAGCGATTAATCTGGTCTACACCATTGATGAACATATAAAATGGTGAATGTACGGGCGATAGGTAAAACAAATCCGCAGAAATGTCACTCCATTTGCGCATTTATGTTTATGTGACATCTTATATGCGTCAGGGTAGGGTTGGGAGGGGGGCTTCTTTTTTGTGTTTACCAAAGGACCGACTTTGCCGCCCCGTTTAAGCACCCAGATGGATACGTTGTCGATTAGTTGTTGACCCCGTCTGTACCACGTTACCTTCCATCAGCCAGGGGAAGAGCCAAATTGGGAAACAAGTTAAAATTGGAAGACGATCCAGCGCGCCAACAACTTTTCCAGGGTACAATACACAAGGTGTGTGCGGAATAAAAAAAAAAGGACTTCAAATATGCGAGGAGGGCTATTTTTCCCATCCGTCGCGTAGCTGCAAAGATATGTTCCAGAGAGATACCTCACTTCGCTTCGCCCAACAAGGGGCGCTATATGCACTCTACACGCCGAAACTTTAGCCAGTGGGAAAAAAAAAAATCGTCTCCATTTACGTTATGGCGTACGCATTTGCAAAAAAATATGCATGCAAATTACACACACAGACAGATTTACGCACGCAGGTAACCACACATGCATGTTTTCCTGCACGACGCGCGTGCTACACAGAGTCCAATGCAACAAAAAAGGGGCAAACGGTGGACAAGTGGACAGGACAGCACGTGCAGAAGCGCGGTACGGATAAACGGCGGAGTGCATCTCAAATACGAACAGATCTCTAATTATGCGGAAGGGGGTTCCTTCCACGAATGTGTACATATTTTTACGCTCAACTCGGTATGGTAATATAATTCAAAATGGCAACACGGCAGTGGTGGGATAAGTGCAGCGCGCCTCCAAACAAAGAACAAAAAAAAAAGAGGGAAAGAGAGATGGACAGGAAGCAGGAACGAGTGATAGAAGGGGAAAGAAAACGAAGATCAGTTTTTTTACCCAACCCAATTGTCACGGGCAGGACTGCATTCCTCCCGTATGCTACTTCCCAACGGTGCTGTGCCGTTCGTTACGCGCCGCTTAGGGAAACTTCACTTACAAGCCATAAATGTTCAGTACCCCCGATTTTGCCTGCCCCGGGGTATCATCAATGGAGGGAGCCGGCGGAGGTGTCCAATTATGCGCGAAGTTTTTGCGGAACCAAAAGGGGAGCAAAAGGGAGTGTCATTCCTATCCCATTTGCGCTGATTCCCAATGCGGATAACTGTGTGCATCCTTGAGTTGATGGTTCTTTCCCTGTTTGGATGCTTCTCCCTTGGGTGATATGTCTTCCCTCGCGCTATCACTCTGTCCTACTTATCTGGGGATAGCTCCTCGTACTTTCCCCCGACGAAAACCTTGGGAAGTAGGAATTCCTTGTCGAAACTGTTCTGTACAATTTTGGACTTATCAGTTGACCTCTCCTGTTTAGACGCCTCCTCCTTCTGCTGCATGATGGCCTGTTGTTCGAGGGCCCTCTCATCACCGCATCCCCAAGCTTCCACCTCATTGACGGACAGTTTATAAAGGAATCTGTCCGCATTATCGTCGTCGTCTTCATCCTCGTCTTCATACGCTCCCCGTGTGTGACTCACGTTTCGAGAATTGATACCACTGGTGGAGGTAGCATTGTTATTACTACTCTCCTTTTTATTACGGTCTCGACTAGCACGCCTCTCCTTCTGATGGTGAGGGAAGTACAGGTGGCCACTTTTATATGTGTAATCCGACTGGGTACAGTAGGAGTCCTTAAATTCGTCACTGAGAAATAATCTGAAGCACTCAGTTCTTCCTCCAAACCCGAGGCCCTTTGGATAAAAGGAGTTTTTGCTATTCAAGTAGACATAATTTGTGCCAAATTGATTTGATCTTAAAATTCTAAAAACGGGATGAGCTGAAAATAAGAAATCGTTGGATGAACCCTGGAAGAGGTGAGAATCCTTTAAGGGGGTAGTACTCACAGCTCCCAAAATTTGATTATCCTTTGTCTTGATTACAATAACAACTGGGGACTCATAATAGAAAAGAGAGCTAATAAATCGGTTGAAACTTGTGCCTTGTTTCCATGAAGCATAGAGTCTAAACCATGCGTTGTTCAAGAAACATGGGGAGCACTGTCGCAAGGTGAAAACAATTTCGTCTGTTAATATTTTACTTGTTTTGTTTAAAAATAATCCTCTCCACCCCTTTGTTGCATTTTGAATTTCCACTATGGAAGATGACTTTTCGTACTTGTCTTCATTCAGCTTGCTTCTTTTTTCATCTTGTTCACTTTTTTCTTTTCTTTTTTTTATTTCGCTCTTTTTCATGTTCGTATATATCGTGTGTATCAGCTCTATGCTGTTTATGCACATGTCGTTCAGATTTTCGAATTCGTCTTCTCTTTTGTCATCATTTGTCCCGTTTGGCTCGTCCCCGTTCTTCCGTCCTGCCTCGCCCGACAGGACATCATCGCTGTCCATAAAATGCTTAAACGTCGCGTTGGTATAGTTTCCACTCAAAACTGTGAACGTCGAGCTGATATATTCAGTGGCCAGCGAATATATGGAGTGCTTGTTATTATCGATCGAGTTTACAAAAAGTCTAAATCCGGTGATAATATTTTGGAAGTCTAATTTTGCCTCGAGAGAATAAAACAGTTCGTTAAAGAAATAGGCCACGTCCCAACTGTTCTTTCTGTTCAGTGCTGGTATATCATCGTAGCCACTGCTTGCCGAGAGTTTTAAGAAGTCGTTTTTTTTTCCTGAAATGGGGTTCCTATTTGTTAGCTTAAAAAGAGTGTTATCTGAGCATAGCATGTAGAGTTGCTCAATATACATGTAGGTGAACAGGTGGTGCATGGCTTCTTCCACAGATATTAAATCCTTCATGATGTAGTTTTTTGGGTACTGATTCTTTAGTTTATGTTTGTCCAAAATAAATATATTATCCTTGATAAATTTGTAATTTCTTTCCTTTTTTTTATTTTTATTTATTATTCTTACATTTGAATCTGAGAGGACGAATTCGAAGGAGTTTCGGTTTCGACCCATAGGGTCTTCTTCCCCAGGGGAGTCCTCATCATCCGTATCCGCGTCGACATCGTTTTCCTCATTTGGGGGATTATTCCCCAAGTAGGGGACACCTCTTCCTCCCTGGGGATCTCCCTCCCCATCTTGGTCTACCCCCTCTTCCTCAAGGGTCACATCCTCATTTGTGCAGATTCCTTCACTGGATTTTTTCCCCCTGCCGCTTTTAAACGCACAACAGGGTGTGTCCCCTTTTGGTTCACTTTTATTGTCATCCTCCTTAAGGAAGACCCTCTCCATGCCGTTTTCATTATCTGCCTCTTCTTTCTCTTCTACATTTTTCAATTTCCTCGACTGGATATTGCTATTTATACTCCGGTTATTTCTCTTCGATATTGTGTACTTTAAAAAGGTCCTGAATAATATTCTCACGAGAACTCTCGTTTTGACAGTACGAATATAGGACAGTATATTTATAATATCCTGCAGGGATATTTCACTATTCACTTTTTTACTGTTTTTATTAAAAAGGATATTTAGGGCATAATTCAAAGCATAATTACTCATCTTGTTTTCATTTTTCCTGTTTGTTTTTCTCAACACTTCATAGAAGGAGGGAAGTACAAGGGCAATATAGGGTCTTAAGATGTGAGGATACACGTAAATAAAATCTAGGGTTCTGACCCTCTCGTTTATTTCCTTTTTGTTTAGGTTAAATCTTTTTCGTATTTTATCTACATCTTCCTCGCTCAGAGAACCGTAGTTCAGGGTATGCTTTGAGTGTCCCTCCCCCATGTTTTGCAGGGCATGGAAAAAAAAGTGGAAAAAAGTTCCGGCGAGAGTTAGCGGGGAGGTCGGCAAACAGGCCTACTACAGAGGACCATTAAAAGGAAGCTGCTTCGTATATACAGATTAAGAATGCCACTTGAAAATGTTACTTAAATGGCCGTCAAAATGGTACTTAAAGTGCCATCAGAAGGCTACCTAAGGAGCCGCTTAAAATGCTGCTTAAAAAGCGGTAAAAATGCTCCTTCAGAACAGCGATGAAGAACGGAACAGATTTGGCTCTACAGATATGACCTCGAAATGAATATTCACGCACGCGCCTAGTCTATGTCGTGCGTTCATCCGGAAAATCCCTAGGAAACCATTGATTGCGTGAGAAAATTAAGAATTTTTCCTTTCGCCCAATCATCAATTCGTGACTCTTTTTCTTCACCCCGTTGTTGTAGGCTTTGGGAAACGCGCATGTCGATGTATAGCACGCAAAATTTGACATGCAACAAAAGTGGGGCACAGGTATTTACCCCTGCGGCGAGAATCAGCCTGTTCCGTTTTATGCGACATCAATCTTTTTTTTTTCTCCTTCCATCACGATGCCTCTGCTCCGTATGAATATATGCATATGCAGCGTGCACGCCAAGGTGCTATAAACGCGCACGTGCTTAGATATATATTATGTATATATATATGCATATATGCACGCGGCGAGCACCTCCCCAGTGGGCGATCTCCCGTGCCTTTGGAAAATCCCCATTGTTTCTTCCGCCCCCCCATCGCGCGGTGGAACGCAAAAGGGAGAAAATTCGTTCCCTCTTTACCTCCAACTGGTCTTCCCCAGTTACGTATGATGCTTCAATTGGATAATTAGTCCTCAAAACTTTCACTTGTGCTCAGAATGGGGGGCTGCAAAGAGGAAATAAAGTTATTTTCCCCCCTCTATGCGTGTACATAATGACATGTAAACCGTTACGCCGCGTATGCCAATTTTCGATTGCCCCTCTTCATTTCACTTGCGCATAAATATGCGGCGTTTATGTACTCTCTCGTACGCGCCCGTGCATGCACCTTCACGTCTACACATATACTCGGATGCACGCCTTCACCCTCGCCCTACCAGTATCTGCAAATTGCGTTTGGCCCGTATAAAAGGTACAGTGGCGTTTTGTGCATAATGTGGCACTTGCCGGATTTCTCCCTTTTTTATTTCTTTTATTATTTTATTTTATTTTTTTTTTTTTTCCTTTTTCTTCTTTTTTCTCCTGCCCTTCCCAATGGAATCTACGCGGCTGCAATATATGCGCAGCTCTTCTAAGCAGTGCCGGTAGCGAAGCAGACGATTGCACTCTTCACTTGACGTTTCGCGCATGTGTATACACATGTATACTTATGCGCACCTCCGCGCGTATGTGTTATTGTGTATGACTATGCGCTCCTCCCACATACGTCTACACATACTTATGTACACAATGCGATGTGCAATTTCTTCTACCCCCCACTCCATGTTTTTTTAAACGTTGGAAGTTCACTTGTCGCGGAGAAGAAACATATGGACAGGACGCACCCATTCGTGATTTGAAAACCGTAAAATTGTCATGGAAGTTTTATTTAATTTTTTTTTTTGGAAGGGAGAAAAATGGGAAGTGAAAACACGAACGCCTGCGTTCGCGCACATTTGGGTTTTTACTGCAGTTGGAACCAACTGGGGATCTTAAGCTGCATGTCAAGTGGTATGTTATGCATTACGCGCCATGAAATATAGAAAGCGCCTCACGAGGCATGACATATAAAAAGCACATCACGCGGCACAACTTATAAAAAGCGCATCACGCGGCACGACTTATAAGAAGCGCATCACGCGGCCCATAATGCCGCTCACAAACAGGACAGCAAATAGGGGGGAAAAATCAAATAATTACGTGCTATGCGCCTTTCTTGCTCACCCTTTTTTTCTATTCTTCTGTAAAAAAACTGGGGTATTTTTGCGCTTCCCCACAGTTTGGAAAAAAAAAACAAAGAAACACGTGCCTTTTTGCAGGCGTCATTATTAAATTTGGCGTACAAAGATATATGCATATGAATATGCAGGCATTTTCGTGCGTATATATCTCTACACAAATTTACTAAGTGAATGAAGCATGCCACCTCTCCGTTGTAGACGCGTGTTTTGCACACATATATAGTGGGGTTGCTACGTGGAGTGGTTCTCCTGGCACGTGGCCCTGCACATCAACCAAGGTCCGTAGGGTATGCACACATCCCTGTAAGCGTCCCTCTTGCAGCAGCAACTTTTTTGTGTGTTTGTTTGTTTTTTTTTTGCAACCCGGGTTAATACTTATGTCTCACAAACGGAAAGGCACACACGTGGGCGAGCGCAAACTTGTGAGCCGATCTGCTTCTTAGTATTTTATATTTTTTTTTCTTTGAAAATTCTTGCGGGATGTCGGTAGGTATAGATATGAGAACCTTTTCATTATTTTTGGCAAACTCCCTTTTGATATACCCCTGAGCAATTCGCTTTTCATAAACGGGGCTCCATGTGCAGGAGGTTACATAGCCAATGGGTTCCCTATACGGATAGGACAATATTTTGCACGTCTTAAAAATTAATTCCTTAGATACTATGCCAATGCGTAGAAACTTTGACTTCATGCTGAATTCCTTCAGCAGATTTTGGTACCCAAAAATGTTTCTCTCTTTAATCTTTTTATATTTTAATGTCCAAGCAAGGGATGCAGTAATGGGGGTTGTGTTTTTAAAAATGTCGATGCCGTAAAGTGGAATCCCTGCCTCCATTCTCAACATATTCAAGGCATATGCTCCCGCCAATTTTACCTTCACATGGCTTAAAAATAATTCAACGTAGTAATCACTTATGCTATTATCTACAACGAATTCGAATCCATCTTCTCCTGTGTCTCCACATCGAATGCAGAGAATTTCGTACTGGTTCATCGCATCAGGGGGGGCTACTTCCCCCCTCACATTTATCGCCTCCTTTGCATTTTTCACCACGTTCAACTTTTTAAAACTCATGTACGGGATGTTAAAAAAATTATCCTTTTCTTTTTCTTCTCGTTGGAAGTGTAGCCCATAATGTTGACATTTTTCCGTGTCCTCTTTTATTACATTTTTTAGGAACTTCGCCCCTTTCTTCCCTTGGGATGCATTTCCCCAGTTAAAATAATCCAGCACATCATTGAGGACCAGGTTGCTTAGCGGCCCCTGCAAGGACAGCACCCTCTTGTTTGTCTCGACTTGTATGTGGACATCCATTCCGCTGTCTCTGCAAAATAAAATGTAGTCACTTAAGAATTCATAAAGGCCCTTCTTATAGTATCCTGACGAGATAAGCACGACTTCGTTTTCTCCCTTTAGTACGTAAGCCGTGTCTAGTATGTATGCTTTGTTATCCAACACACAGGCGTAGCAGACGTCGTTGCTGTTCATGTCATTAAGGTCACTAGATAGGAACTGGTTACATAAGTAAATGCAATCTCTCCCGGTGAACTTTATTATTAGTTGGTACGATTTATCAAATAAGCTGCAAGCATTTCTTGTGTGGAAATATTCCTGCAGAGTACCCTTAGAGAACTTGGACGCAATAATGCAGTTATTATAAAGAATGAATGAAGCTCCCTGGCTGCTAAAAAGAGATCCCAGTTTTATATTCCTATCAGCTGTGCTTAACGTGGTGAATACGTCTAGGCAACTTATGTCGATCTCTTCTCCTTCATCTGCGTAATTTAAAATGTCTTCGATGTAAAGCTTTTTTAGAATTTGCTCATCTTGGCGCTTTTGAAGTACACCCTCTTCAGTTATGTCACTTGCGAAGTGTGTGAGGTTGTACTCCAGGAGTGGTTCCACTTCTTTATTCACTTCTTTAGCCACTTTTTGATCCACTCCTTTATCCATCTCTTTATTCACCTCTTTATCCACTTCTTTATCCATTTCTTCATCTCCGCCTTCCATTCCATTGCTTTCCATGCCTTTCCGGATGCGCCTATACGTTTCGGGTTCCTCCATTGGAAAGGGGCTCTCTCTGCCGGATGCCCTCTTTTGGCACATTTCGCCGCATGTATATCGTTGAGGGGGGTGCACGATCGCCCCCTCCTCTTGGGGTATTTCCATCCGATTGGTGGTACCCTCCCTATCTACGCACGCCTCATCTCGCACAACCTTGCAGTTGCCCCAGAGAGCCCCACCCGAGATATTCCTCCTCTTCCTGCGGACATCTTTCAAATACCCTGGAATCTTTGCATAGCCGTTCTCAGTGCAACTTTCATGGAGGCGGTTTATATTGGTGTACTCGTTCGTTAGCTGCTTTATATGCGTGTCGACAAAATACTGTGGATTTTCAATTTTGTTAATTATTTCTTTCTTTTTGTCGATAAAGTTGTCACATATAGAGAAGAGGTTTACATTTGGTGGGAACATCTCGCATCCGTCTTCGTCATTCTTCCCATCACTGTAGGGGTGAGGCTCCCCCACCTTGGTAACCTCCTTACGAATTTGTATAAGACGGTTTATGCATTCCCTTTCTTCTGTACTGACTTCCTCCTCTACTTTTTGTTCATACATAAAATTCGAGCCATTATTCTTGGTCACTTGCTTGAGTGGGTTATATATCCAGCCGCCCCAGCTGCCCTTCTTGACCTTGGAAAATTTGGGCACGTGGTTAGGGTTATGTCTGTACTTTTCCTCGTAGAATCTCTCCCTCTGCTTTTGCCTCCTCCTGGTCACTGCGCCATACGTCCCGAAAGCTCTCTCTCCACTTTTGCATATCCATATTGGGACACCATAAAAGCGGTTGGCTACAATGTTCGCAGGTGAAACTACTTTCTGAAGACAAATTATTCCATTAAGGAGAGAAAATTTATTATTCATCTGAAAGTTCTCGCAGGGGTGAAGCAGGGAATGGCGTTTAGCTAGCTGGGAGGGGGCGACGGGTGTCAAATTCTCCCGCACGGGCAAATGTCACCATGTGAGGGGAAGTTAAATGCCTGGTGAGGACAACCGTGCATATTTCTATGCTCAGTTTTGATGCGTACCAGGGTGTGGCGGTTACAGGTACTTCCTCATTTTTTTTAAAAGCTTATTTTATTGGAGCCATTCGAACCATTGGTCCATATTAACATTGCATTTGCGAGTTGCCCATTTGGTGCGTCTCCCCTCCCAAGTGTCGCACTATTCACGACGCTGCCTTCTACAGGAGGAACCAACTTCCTTCGCGAGGAGCAACTGTTCCCATTACGTTACAGAAGAGTTGAACCTATTTTAACTCTCATTTTCCCCCCAGTGTGACCGCGTCTCGGAAAATACCTTCAACAGGATGGCGACATCAAAGGTGTCGTAAAAAAGAGCGGATCCTTTGCGCTCTAATGAACAGGCAACTACTAAACCCCTTCGCTTGGGATATTTCCATCCGGATGGTTTCCAAAAAGGATTCTTCCCTGTTCCCGCACCAGCGGCACCAAACTTGTGTGCGTAGCGTTTCAGAAAATGTTAAGAAAAAAAGCCCTATTGGGCAGCAACCCCTCTGGAATCGTCCCAATTTGGACGAACCTTGCTTACCGCGCCCTTATCGTTTAGTCAATTCCGCTAAAAGGCACAGGTGAAGGGAGGCGTATCCCCTATCGAAGTGGCCACAATGTGCAAATTTTTTTAACACACGTAGAGCCCCTTTCACGAGTTGAGACAAAAAAAAAAGAAAAAGAAAAAAAAAGGAGAGGAGAGAAACAAGGCTGCGTCCACGCGGACATTACTGTTAGCGCACTTGCTCACTTCCACGTATACGATGCGTAACTGTGGATACCAAAACAACATGCGGAGGTAGGTGGCGAATGTGTTCGCACCAAGGATGCACTCTGAAGTAGATGTTGCTTTTCCAAGAATTTTGCCACATTCTTCAAAAAAAAAAAAAAAAGAAAAAAAATTTAAATAAATAGATAATTAAATGGATAATTAAATGAGGAAGCCAACTGTAACACACGAAAGGCCTTTTCTTTTTGTGTGCAGCCCACCACGTACGTATGCTTCCATCCCCCCCAATACGTGCAAACGCAGAGGACAAAAACGTTGTGCTTATTTCAAATGGGTTCTGCACACAGGGGGTCGACGGGGAGCCCACCTCTCTACCATAATGCGGTACGTACTATGTGTACACCATATGCGCGTTTCTCCTTCCAATGTGGGTTGCTCGATAAGGGATGCGGAGGGAATGGTATACCCCGCCTCAAAAGGTGACTCCCAATACGTACCCCACCACGCGTAAGGCCCTTCACCGGTACATCAAAAAAAATGAGCAAGAATGTTCTCCTCCGCGAACTCGGTATTCTTGTACAACTTCCACGTCCTGTCAAAAGACGTGGAGGATATGAAGCTCCCATCGGGAGAAATATCAACATTTCTCACCTTATTATCATTATTGTATAAAATCTTGGTACAGTAGAAATTCACGGAATCCCATATTTTGATGAAGGTATCGAAGGAACTGGATGTTATGTACCTTCCATAGGTTGGCTCGAAAACTGCGTCCGTTACGATTTTGTTGTGTGCAAGGATATTACACGAAACGGTAAAATTTCTCAAATCGAATATCTTTATTGTATTATCAGCTGAGCAGGTACAGAACATGTTTGGCATGAACGGATTAAAATTGATGTTCATGATGCAGTTATTATGAACCATTTTTTTTCTGTCAATATTTTTTCCCGTTCTTATGTCCCATAGCATTAGCCCCCCCTTGGAGTCTCCAGATAGGTATAAATTTCCATAGGGGTTAAACGTGGCAGAATACACATTCGTATTGTGACCCTCTTGGTAAAACAGCTCTTCCTGCGTTTCGATGTCGAAGAACTTTATCGTTTCATCTTCGGAGCATGTCAGTACGTGTCTGTTTAATGGGTGAAAGGATATTTTGTTGATCCGATCGTCGTGTGCCTTCACCTTACACAACAGGTGTTTTTTACCGTCTTTACCACTTTTACCGCGTTTACTGTCGTTATTGGGATTTCTTTTTTTTCTTTCCCCATTATCCTGCTCACCCTTTGCCTTTGCGTCGGCACCTTTGGGGTCCTCCTCTTCATTATTGCTCAACTGGTCGGCGGAGTGTTCTCCGCTTTGTTTCTTCCTCCCCCCTGCCGCTTTTCTGTGAGCGTCCCTATACGAAACGCCCTGCTCATCCAAGTCATCCAGCAAGTCCTCTTCGGTGAAGGGCCTCCAAAGGCAGAAGGACCTATCAGATGAGCAGGACACCAAGCGAAGGTCTATCTTCTGCACATCCTTATAGCTAAGTGTACTATAGTAGGAATAATTATTGGGATAGTTCCAATCAATGCAATTTATCTTATCCTCATGTCCATTTTTAAGTGTCTTCACGATGGCGTAATTATCATTCTGATAATTAAAAATGTTAATATACGTATTATAACTGCTGACTGCAAAGGAGCTATTGTCAGGGGAGAACTTCCCCATTGTTAGAGGTCTATCATCACCCAGTTGAGAAATGAATAAGTCGAATTCACTCTTCATATGTTCATTATACAAGGATATATATTTTTCAAATTCATCCTTGGAAAATCTGTCTTGAAATTTGTTTATCATTTCTTTGTACAATAATATCCTCGGCAACGTTTTTAAGGTTAAGTCTAGACGAGCTATCTTAAGTTCTTCCGAACTTTCTGTGTAGAATTTTTCCGTGATGGTACTCCTTACAGTGATCCCTTCAGCTGCAATACTTTGTTCTTTTAACCTCTTCGTCCCTAACTGCTCTTCCAATTCATTTATTTTTAAATATTCTGGTGAATTCACATCATACAGTTTGCTAAAATCGATGTAGTACCTTTTCAGGATGTTTTTAAATTCTTGCACTTCCTCCTCATTATGGATATTTTTCTTTTTTACAAATTTATCATATTTTGTTACTAGTACACTTTTGAGTCTTTTTCTTTTATCATAGCTATCTTCTCCAAAGAGACAAATCGGTTCTTTCAATAATCTGAGGATATTCTTCACATCCAATTCCTTAGTGGGGATTCCCAAAGACACTTTCCTCATTTTACTTTTGATTTCAAATTCTTCCAGTACATTTTCGCTGCTGGTCATTTCCACCTTCCCTTTGCCGATTCCTAGCCCTAGGTCCATCCCTATTCCGCTTTTTTTCAGCTTCCCATTTTCGTTTAATATGGATTCACTGAGGACATCGCTGATTTTCATTTTTTCCAGACGATGCAGTAGCCAGGCAAGAACAGGGGATGGGGAGAGGTCTTACCAAGCAATCTTTCTCCTCGTGCACAGAGATCTTTGCATACATACGTATATACATGTATACCTGCGCAATATGTACGTGTTGTACACGTTTAGGAGCCCCCTCTTATCTGGGCCCCGAAGTGAACGCGAACCGAATGTGAGGCGAATGCGAAGTGGCTAGTGCCAGGATGCACACATAACATATCATATGCCAATCCCGAAGGAGTTATAATACCATAGCACGAAAAATATCCTCGTTTTTACCTGCGTACAACTTAGACCAACAACGATGACCCACATGAAGGAGTAGCTACTATTCTATATATACGCGACATGGAAACGGATTGTTGGATTTTCTCCCCCTGTATCTGCTTTTCCTCTTCATATCATGCGCCGCGGAATCGAAGCATTGCATACATATAACTGCGATGGAACAGTTTGTAAATTGTTGAAAAAGGGGGCTGGAAAAAATGAACGGAGAAGTCAAAGGGGGAAAATAATACGGGAAGAGTGAATAAAATTAAAAGTGAAAATGGTAGAATAATATGGAAAACTCGAAAGAAAAAAAAAAAAAAAAAACCGACAGAAAGATTACGCAAAAAATGAAGGCGAAAAAAAAAAAAGTAGCCAAGCTGGTTAAAAATTTGTAGGTTGGGTGACGCACGTGCTTTATCGAAAAACGAAGCCGCTCTGTTTTGAAAAAGTTCTGCCATACATATGGCGCATACAATTTACGTATGTAACTACCTCAAGCTCCTTTTTAATAATAAAAATACAAACAGTAAATTGTTTGGGATAAAACCAAATGCACAGAAAATGAACACATTCTAGAGGGGTGGCCTGCCTTGCACGGTATAGTGCTACAGTTAATTCGTTAGAAAGTGGCCGGCAAGCCCCTGGGGGAAAAAAAGAAGCATCCCTATGACAGTACAAATATGATACAACCCGTGTGGTGTACTATAATTTCACACAGTATTAAACGAATGTGTTATATATGCGCAGGATGCTTTGCTACGTCAACGTTGCGAAGAAAATGGCGGTCTACTTTGTTTTTCTTTTCCAGCCCTTCCTTTTTTTTAGCTCCTTCCACGTATCCAATAGTGTCAAAGTATTAGGCAGCACTATTTTTATGTCCCTCCATCTGTCATATGCATTGTAAACCAATTGGCAGGCCGCTGTCAGTGGTTCCGGGTTACATGTGTCCCTGGCAGCATGTTTAGGTATGTGCACCCCTTCGTGTATTTAACCAGGTCCAAGTATATAATTATGCACATGTTTGTGCTGAGGATTGTCTACTAAGTGACGCCACTCACTCGTAAGTAAACTCGTTTTTATTTGTTCAAAAGAACCTCTCTGTAAGGTCTTCTTTGTTAAAAGGGGTTACCCTTTTTGTGCTTGTTTTGTTTTTTTTTTTCTTTTTCATTTATTACTATAATGCAGGGGGATAGGCTGGCATATCATAGGGGTAGAAAATGAAGGATGCCCAATGACGCTTCATGCCAAGGTGTTATTATTAAAAAACAAATGAAAAAAAAATGAACATTTAAAAAATAACATAAATATAATTTATTCATAAAAAATGGAATAGGAAATGGCATATCCCCACAGGGATAACTTTTTTTATCACTATGAAGCCTTTATTTTCTTGTCCAATTTTCTTTTTTTTTTTTTTTTTTTTTTGCGAACATCGCATAGGTAATGTTAACATCCCCTACAGCATACGTTAGTGCCATTGCGAGGAGCATTTTTTTTTTTTTTCTTGCTAAATCGAACCATTTAAAATTACTCGCAGCGAAGAAAACGAAATTTTGTCAAAATTGCGCTTTTCTCGAAATGTACTACACCCTTCCGCTTTGTGCTATTTACAGAGGGGAGGGAAGACACATTTGCGTAAAAAATATGCGCTTACCAACGGTTTGCATACTTGAAATGAGGGGGGAATTTTCTTCAAAAATGTGTGTGCACGATGGTAGAGGTGTGAAAAACCAGTATGTATGTTGCTCGCACAGGTGTCATATATTACATACGTGCGTGCTATGCTATATACTGTATCAATAATATCTCCTCGTTTCACTCATTTATGAACAGCGCGGACAAACTGTTTACGCACATAGGTGCGCAAGCACTTAACTAGCAATTTCTTCCCTACGCATACATTTGTATGCTGCACTTATCTGAGTGTGCGCACCACGTGGCTTGCTGGACGAGTATCATCATTCCCTGTTGGTGCGTGAGTCCGAATTGGTTGCCATTTTTTTCTCCACCCGCGCTCTTGAATTTTTGTTCTTACAACTTTTTTTTCCGAGAGGGAGATAAGTGCACGCACGTGTATAAGTGAATAGGTGAACAGGTAAACGAAAAGGTGAGCGAAAAGGTCACCGGCAAAATAAGCGAACAAGTAGCGAACAAACAGATGAATAACCAAATGAATAACCAAATGAATAAAAAAATAAATAAACAAAAGAACCAAATAAATAACCAAATGAATAAACAAACAAATAAACAACCAAATAAACAACCAAATAAACAAACAAATAAATAAACGAATAAGTAGCTAAAAAGATAAACGCGCGGACGCACGAACAGATCGCCACTCCGAATAGAACCACTAAAAGGAAAGCGAAAAGTGGCACCATGGTTGCAATTTAGAACAGAAAAGCGAACCTCTCCGATATTCAAAGGGGTGAAAGCTGTAAGCTGCCCGTGCGATACCATCTATGCAAACTGTTCAGATTGTGCAAACTGCGCACACTCGACGAACTGATGCTTTAAGCTTTTTTAACCGAACACATAGTTCTCTTCTTTTGTGATTAAACCGGCGAACGTGGAGCCACTGCACGAGTGGACATCCCTCGCCGGCGCACGTGGGGGTGGGTATGTGTATACATACGTACGCACGCATATGTACACATGAACGCACGCATACTCGTTTATTTACGCGTGAACACCCATCACGCAGGAATCTTGTTGCGTAAGGGTATTTGGCTGATTTGTATGGGACCCACGCACAAGGGGTGATGAACAAGCGGGCCTGGAAAAAGGGCGAAGCAATTCCAGTCGATACCCCAATTTTAACCACGGCCTTGAACAGGGGTTTAGAATGGCCGATTAGAATCGCAGCTCAGAGACGCCACCGTCAGCCACATCATCTAAGGGCACCTTCTGACTGCACCTTAGAGCCACCTACTGGAAGCCACCTTGAAGGTCGACTGTCCGCAACTGTCCCCAACTGCCCCCCCACCGCCCGCTCATAAATCGTCGGAAAAATGTTACAGAAATTCCTCTCAGACATCCTAAACCAAGTGGTGGGGAGCTTTATTTACGGAATAAATGACGAGGAGTTCGGGATAAGCGACCTCCTGAGCGGAAAGCTGGAGCTAACAAACATCCACCTGAAGCAGTCCATAATTGATATGATTGACATCCCATGTAGACTAAACTTTGGGTGCATTGGATACTTCAAAATTAATTTACCCATTTTTTATTTCATGAAGAATCCCATCAATGTGTACATAGAAGATGTGATCCTAGTGCTTTCTACAATCCCGCCAAAATATTTCGACGACAAATTGTACAAGGAGAAATATATAGAAAATAAAAAAAACTCATTGCTATCGTCAGAGTACAGAGATATTGTTTGTTCCATAGAAGGGGGAGTCATCTGGCAAATGCTGCTCTCGGCAATAAATAATATAAACATTTCAGTGAAGAATGTACACATACGGATAGAAGATTTCACGTGCAACCCTTCTAGCTGTTTTTCCTTTGGAATCAGCGTCGAGGAATTGTTCCTAAACTTACCAAAAGATGGATTGCCCTTCAAAAGGGCTGGTTATTACACCAAAAAAAATGAACTGGTTAATAACACAATGATAAATATGATAACGATTAAAAAGTTGGGCTTCTACATGGATTACCTGGATATGAAAAAAATTATGAACAAAAAGTATCATGCACAGTGGGATAATCTATACATGAACGATTTTAGCTCCTTCGATGTTGGTTCCAAGGAGGGGAAAAAACACACTATGGCAGGGGGAAAAAGAAGAAAAAGGAAAAAAAAGGGCCAAAGAAAAAGAGAAAAACATTCGAATAATTCTGCACACAAGCGCCGAAAGAAAGGGGCACACCTGAACAAAGTGAAAAATATCAAATCGAATGAGGAAAACTTGAAGGACTTCCAAAATGTTCTTCAAAGTGTTAAGAACAGTTTCTCAGAAATGAGGAGTAATAAGCTGGATGTAAACAGTATGAGCAAATTTAACCAAAAAATTCACCAAATTAATAAAAGAGTATTACAAAAAAATCGGAATGATCACACAAAATCCACTCAAGATCCCATTATTGAGGGAAGCCTCACAGACACTCATGGTGATCACGCTAGTAATTGCTTGGGGAAGAAGGATGCGAAGTGCTCCCTATCTATTAGCAACTTTTACAATTTTAACCTTTTCTCCAAAAAGGACGAAAAAATACTGCCAATTATGCACAACTTAGGCATCGACAATGACGTCAGCTGGGTTGCCTGCATCACCAAATTTGCAGAGTCTCTAGAAAATCCCGTCCTTAAGCGAAAGAAAAATGAACTCATCAAGCGTAAAAGGAAAAGGAACCCAGACGTGAAGAAGAAATGTGACGACTTTGTCCTACATGGCGAAGACAGGAAGAGTAACCAAATGAATATCGATTCCCCAGTTAAGCACCCATCAAATCATGCCAAGGAGGAAGGCCCAAATTATCTCAACAAAGCCGTGTCCTTCTTCTCGCTAAACTCGTTTACCAACGTTATTAATAAAAGTTTGATAAATCGGACTAGCAACAAAGGTAGTGATGACATGTTGAGCCCCACCAAGGGGCGCGTCCTCAGCGATGGGTACTTCACCAGCAAGGAGAATTACACCGATCAAGAGTCCCTCGGTAGAAATGGCCACATTGGTAATGACTCCTCAAAGCGTGGTAACACCCCTTTTAGACACGTGAAGAAGAAGAAGAGGTATGTACGTGTAAAAAAGAGGCCAACCGATTGCGGAGAGAGCAAGTATCAGGATGTGGTGGACGATTGTAAGCAAAATTCAGACGGGGGAGCAAGCTTCCCTTTTTTCGTAAATTGCGATAGTACAGTTTGTCTCAACTTTGCAAGTGACCCGGAAAAGAGAACCAGCACGGGTAGACACCGTGGTATGAGGAGACTGGGAGACGCTCAGCGCAAAAGCCAATCGTACGTCGCAACAGAGTCGGAATCAGAATTCGAGAAAGAGGAAAAATTCACAAAGTATGTAAAAAAAAACGAAATAAAAGAAAAAATACGCACCAGAAAAAAAAAAAAAATACACTCAGTCTATCTAATGTACGAAAAAACCTACAAAATAAGGAAAGAAAAATTGAACACATTTTATCTCTTTTTACAACTTATAAAAAATATAAAGCATGAGTATGTAATAAATCCGAATTGCTTTGAAGGTTATGGTGAAATTTATCTCAGTTTGATTCCGATTGACCATGGACGGCTTCCCTTTGCTCGATGCTTCTCAAGCTGGGGCATCCAAAGAAGAAGCGAAAAAGAGTTTGAAGAATGTCTACCTAAATTAAGTGTCTTCATCACGTTGAAGAATATAAAAATGATTTTTTCTGATAAGCAAATATTAAATTTTGTCAAGTGGATAAACTTAAATTTTTTTACGTATGCTGTTTGGAAGGCAGGAATCCTCTCCCAGTTTGAGAAAGTCAAGGCGAACCATGAAGACGAAATTGCCTACATAAACAAATGGGTTCTAAAGCTCCTAGACACACACACATCCAAGGAGGAGAAGATAGATGCAGAGAAATTCTGCGAGCAGTTCGAAAATAATCATTCCATAAATATAATTAACTTGCTGCGGGGTAAGGCCTTCTGCAAGCTACAGGAGTTGAGGAAGGAGGTGGAGTTCCGAGGCGGCGCCACGGGGGAGAATCCAAAGAATCTTCTGAACAGGGGCGACAAAATGGCCGAAGCATACATCCGCGATAGCATTCGTGAAGCGGAAAATGACGCTGTAACAGATAAGACTTCCCCGGAGGAAGGCGGAGCATCCAGCGGTGAAGACGGAAAGGATAACCAACTGAAGCAAGCGGCCAACGAGAGTATACACGGGCTCAAACTTTTAATGAAAAATCAAAAAGCGTATAATAAAATTAAAAGCTCTTTCCGTGAAAAAACATTCACCATAGATATTTGTATAGACATCTGCATCATTAACAGTACCTGCTTGTTGACGGTTGAAACATGCAACCGAGTAAACACGAGGACGGTGAATTTCGTCAAAACGTATGCCCTGCTCATGCAGTGCATTCACTACCATAATCAAATATCAAATACATACGAATTGAAGAACTCCATAGATTTAGAGCTTTACCCCTTAACATTACTTCTCGTAGTTAAAAATCTAGACAACAAGTATATCAAGCCGGACATAAACGTATTGTATATACTTACCAACGCAGGTAAGAAAGACACCTACGAAAATTATCAGAACAAATTTCTGTTCAATGTGGATAATTTCGAGTTCTTAAAAAAGTACAACTTACTGAAGAGGGCTAATAAACCTAACGATGATTATGCGAAATGGAGAGATCAAAGGGAGAATTTAAACCTTGGGGGCTTAAGACAAAAGCTTAAATTTTTGGTGGAAGACAACTTTTTCTTTTATCCAAAAAGAGAGGGTAACCTCTACTGCAATGAGCTAAATAATATCATCTTGTCGAACCCGTCGATTTATCTCAGATATGATAATCACCACTACAACATCCTGGAGAAGCCAGACCATCAACTCTTCTTTCATAGCTGTGCTGATTCCATATTTAACATAAACGCAGAGATCGTTAACTCATTCATTGATGATTATTTTCATTTTTCCGACGTTAGAGAAGTCCTGTCAAAGAAGAAACAACAAACAGTCTCTTTTAAGAAGAAGGAATACTTTTTAGAACTGGGAGCAAGATATTGTAACGACATTTTAGATAACTATACCACACATACAAACCTCTTCCTAGATGTGGAACTTGAAAAAATACTCTCCTTTGTCATTACGAAATCTGGAAAAGGCTCGGAGGTGCAGGGCTACAGCTTAAATCTGAATCCGCTCAAGATCGTTAGTCAGCTAACGCAACGGATGCCTTCTTACGACGAATCGGTCACTAACAAAAATGTCTATGACTCCTTCTTCGTACAATTTCATGGAATAAAGGTAAAACGCATTTTAAACTGGGACTACGCAGCTAGGAATTATAAAACTTATTTGGATCAGAACTTTATAAGAACCTACAGTAGCTTATTTCATTCGAAAAGTAGAGGTTACCTTGATGGAAAGAAAGTTGCCCGAGACAAATTTTCATTCAACCTGAACCGGGAAAACCATGTAGATGGAAATTCTCACCATGGAAATTATGTGGATGGAAATTCCCGAGGGATAAACCTTGTAGGTAGAAATTCCCAAGGGGGAAGTGCTTTGGCCTCGCATGGAGAAGTAGCAGGGAGCAAAAGTGAGGCAAGTAGTCAATGTCACACTGACCAAAGCAGCTACAATGGGCAGAATCATCATCCCCGCGATCCTACACAACACAATGACGATAATAATAACAACCTGTACAACTCCAGTGATAGAAAAAAACAATCAGAAATTTTTAACTTAAAAGGAAATGAAAACAACCACGACAGTGAATATTCTTCTCTGGAAAATTACAAACAAAGGAAGAGTAACAAATCTTTAAGGTCCACCAGTTGCCCATCTGCCAAAAATGGGAGGGATGTTTCCATGGCTCAGGATCCCCTAGATGGGGGAAAGAGCAGCATAAAAGGAGCGTCATACAACATTAGCAACGCCAAAGGGGCCTACTACATGGACAAAGGGTACGGAGCCTTTTTTTTTAAAACATGTGCAAATGACTACCAAGAGGAAGAAGAAATTCTGGAGAATCACAGCTTCCTCGACATGTACAAAAAATCGTGGAACCAGGCCACATACAATGATAAAAACATACAAGATGACTATTCGCACTGCAACAAAGAATGTGTAGACTACGAAAAAAGTGAAGATAAATCGTCTAATTATGTTTTTTCCATGAGCGAAAAGGCATCCTGCACCATCCACCTGTGTCACTTAAAATTCAACCCAACGTTCCCCATGTTTATCATGAAGCTTAACGAAGAAAATCTCTATCTCAATATTTGTGATTACGACTTGGAGTTTTTTTTTCTCATTTTTTCCTACATTTATGGACACTACAACACACAGCAGATGGAAAATAAAAAAAGAAATATTCTTTTCTTAAAAAAAAAAATTAAGTCCATGTGTAAATTGAACCAAAAATACTATAAGGCGTACGACAACGTTCACAAGGACAAAGTGGTTGTGCCTTTGTTTAGCAAATCTGTTGCCGAATCGGTTCACCTCAAGCGAAGGCACCCTAGCGGAAGGAAGGTGACAGATGAAATGGCCACCAATAGTGCTTCCGCTCCTCCTATCCATTCTAGCCCCAGTGCAAAAGTTAAAAGGAGAAGAAAAAAGCTCAAAGGAGGACAGTCCGACCAAAGGGACGACACCCATGCGCAGTCCACTCAGGAGGATACCACCCTGGATGGAGAAAAAAAGCAGAAGAAAAAAAGTGACAAGTTTAACAAGTTTGACCAGTGTGACAAGAGTGGATACCCACTTCGCAAAAAGAGGTCAACGATATTTAACTTGCCGCCATATAGGAAGGGCAGAACAGCAGACGTGTTAAGAAGCCCAAATAAGGAACTTCCCCTAACGGGTGAATCTGGCGGACAGAAGAGGGACACGGTCGTTGGGTACTTAAGTGATAGCCACGTGAGAACAACAAGGGAGTTCTCCATATCGAAATTAAGAGCCGATTTGCCTGGAATTTTTGGCGAAGGTGGGGATCATGGCGGGTTGGAGAATGACGGTGACTATTTCGTGACAAAAGAGCGAATTGGACAAGGATATTCCCTTTTACGAGGCAAAATTGGCGAAAAGGGCATCTGCCCAGGGGACGCAACACGGACAACCAAGGGGTCAACCAGATGGACAACCAGATGGACAACCAAAGGTGACCAAGAGGATGAGGAAAATGGAAACGAATTGGGGGGCTCCTTCACAAGGTTAAGTGACCAATCAGATTCTTCCCTCTTGTGGAATGGCAAAGATATGACCGAGGTGAAGAAGAATTACCGCTACAGTGGCACCTCTTCTCCCATCGAGCAGGAGAAACCAGAGGAGGGGGAAAAAGACAATTTAGCAAAAATTAAAAAAAAAAAAAAAGAAAGGGAAAAAAAGAGGGAAACAAACCAGATAGAACGAATAGATAGCCACCTCTTCAACGGTGAGGGCCAACACATACAGATCTCGTCAGACGACGATTCCTGGGTCGATCTGCTCGAAAACTATGACAGTGACGAATCGCTAGATGACAATGAAAAAACAAAAGTGAAGCAAATGCTAGTCGATATAGAGAATATTAAAAAAAGGTTAGCTCATAACAATTTCAGCATTACGTGCAGCTTTTCCCTGTCTATCAAAAAAATATTTATCCGCTTCTGGAAAAGGAGTATCCCCCTAAAGGGACGAAACAAATTCAACGAGTTTGGAAGTCTTAATACATTTGAATTAACAGAAAATGTCGCCAAATGGGAGAATAAAGTATCTCCTATATTGGGTAGTGGCAAAAATAAGGCCAAACTATCCACTGCCCAGGATAAGGATGACCAGATAGCGGTCCAAGGGGAAGGGGACACACTGCACAATTTGACCAGCACGTTAAGAGATCACGAAATGAATGGCTTCCACAGGAAAGACAAAAGCAACGTCACGATGGAGGGAAGCAAAGATGATCTATTTTGTAACAAAAACTTCATTGCACTTAACGAAAATATGCAAAAGAGTATGTTCAATAGTATGCAGTATGCCATTCCCCTGTGCACCTTCATTTTTTCTGATATATTTTTTGTTGCAAAGGTGGAAAAAGATAACTTCACATATATTTTATACTCCATGAATGGAGTCGACGTGAGGGATGAGACCAACATCACGCTGCTCAGCATGAGCTCCATTTATCATAGCGACTCGAAGTTTGTCAATCGCGGCGGGTTCGGCACCAACAGGGGACAGAGCATCCGCGGGGTGAAATCTGGCAATTGGGGTAGGAGCAAGAGTGCGGAGAAGCAGAACAGCACGGAGAAGTGGAAGATAGTGGAGAAGCGGAAGATAGCGCAGAAGCCGAAGAACGCGGAGAAGCTCCCAAATGGGGAGAATTTCCCAGCTTCGGAAAAATCACGCAAGCTGGATAGAGTTGACCACGCGAAAGAGAAAGGGAAAAGTGAGGATCCCCTCAACAGTAACGACATGATTGAAACGCAGGACACGTTTTTGGACTACTCCATAAGCAACATCGATTTGCCGGACCTCGAGAAAACACACCTGGTCTTGCTCTACTTTGGCTACCTATTCAAAAATAACCACACGTTCAAATTCATATTAAACAGGACGAAAGTGAAAATATTTTGGGAAATTGTTGATGAATTTCTAACGTGGCTTTTAAGCATTAATGAGTTGCTACCCCAAATGAACACAATTGAGGACGACATCAACCGAACATTGGACAACAGTGAAGATATTCATTTAGATTATTTGCAAAAAGTTCAGCATATAAACTATGACATTATCTCCATTATGCATAGCAATACCATCGTTTCTGGAAAGGGCACCTACAAAATTCCTGTGGACAGTTTGATTAACCGATACAGTGCTATGTTTCAGTGCAGCGAAATGGAGAGTAACCCAAATGATGAGGAACACGAAACTGTGGGTGGTGTCAAGGAAGGAGAAGTAACCTACACCGACGCGGAGGATGACCCGACAGACAAATACTATCTCGTAACAGAAGATAAATCGATCTCTTGCAACCAGTACAACACAATCATCATTGAAAATGAGGAAGGTATTAATATCACCTTGAAGGAAATCCTATTTCACGAAAACTACTTTTTTAATTACACTTTTAACAAAATAAATAAAAAAAAAAAAGTCGAAAAAATTTTAACTGCATATAGTGTAAAGACTGATCTTCCCAAAGGAAAGCAATTTCCCACCAGTGGGTCACACTCTATAATGCACAGACGTTGCTCCAAATGGCCGCCACCAAATGAGGGGATACTACAGAAGAAGAATTACCCCCTTCACTATCACGCCGATAATACGAAGAGGGGAAGAATACCTCTCAACAACTTGGATGAACTAAACAGCTGCCACGATTGTCTACATTCAAAAAATTTAAACTACACTGCCTACACAAAGGAAGTCTGTAAAAGCAAATCATACCCCTACGTCCATGTAGACGTCGAAATTAATTACTTCGAATTCTGGGTAGCTTTAGACCCTGTTAGGGTTCCGCAGAAAAGAAAAAATTCCTATCTTTTAAGCGACGAGGACAATAGGGCATGTCCTAACAGAGGGGAAAAAATTAAAAGGAGACAAACTAGAAAGACAAGTGTGGTCGACAAACCGAAGGAATGGAAAAAGAAGTCGATAAAGAGCCGCACGATGAAGGAACCTAATAGGGGGAAAAAAAAACGCAAGGGGAGCGATCCGTATATTCGATACGAGATGGAGGGGGGTGGATCTCCTCCAGAAGGGGAATACCCATATGGAGAATACCCCGATGGGGAATACCTCACTGAGACACATGATAATAATCGAGGTGAGGAGAAGAAAACAGGCAGATTCAAATTTCGCGAAAGAATGAAGTGGTGCAAAGGCGGAAACATCGATAAGTCCTACGTTTTGGCCACGAAGGGGTGCCTGAAGTCTGTGATTTTCTTTCTGCTCTATAAGGAGAGTTCAGAAGTGGGGGGGAAGGAAAAAGAAGTCGCACGGGGGCACTCCGGGGATTCCTATAACAGAAACGGTAGCGATGGTGGCGCCGATAGTGGGGATGACGGCAATGAAGGCCATTCATCTTCCCGGGCGCAATCGCTAGGGGATACCCCCACCAAGGAGTTTCCCCAAAGCAGCCAAACGATCAGCAACGACTCGAGCAACCCGGCAAAGAGAAATAACCCCAATGAGCAAATGGAGGAACTAAAAATCAAAGTGATGAACGCACTGAGTCATTCCAATTTGAACAAAGTACTAGACGCAAACGACTTTGTGAGAAGCAGATTCATGCAGTGGATTAGCCAAGTGTCGTCATACCTCCCATGCATACTAAATATAAATATATTTCTCTCCCAAATTACGAGTGCAATAAGCAGACCTGTCACAAAAAGCCCCTTCCTCAGGGCCTACATCGATTGGAACAACGTGCCCTACAATAACATCCTCCTACAACCATGCAGAGTAAACCTAAACTTCGAAATCAAAATACCAAGCCCAGAAATATTGATAGAAAGATGTCTAGGAATAAATAAAATAACGAGTATAAAAATTGCACAGAAGGATAGCCTACTGATTCAGAACGACGTGGAAGGGATTGACGTCAACTGTTCCTTCGAACCTATTATTCTGAATGTGGATTCTAACGCTTTAACGCTAATGAACCAGCTATGCAATATAATATTTGACTTCTCAACCTACTTCTTCGATTTATGCTCATCAAAGGAGAAGGAAGAGGAAGAAGACTTGCTGCTAACAGTTACATCCACAAATGATAAAATTTACGACGACACAAGTGACCTAATGCTCAGTGATAGCTTTTATTTTAATGTTATGAGTACTTCTACATACGCCATGTCCAGTGAATATTTGCTAAGTGACTCGGAGTCACCCCTTTCGAACCGCCACCATTTGCAAGAAGAAATGCACTCCTTCAAGAAAAATGAACTGAGTAAACTATTCGTGAGTTTTTGCCTACCCCCTAAAGGTAACACTCATTCTAATCCCTTCCGTAAAATCAAATCCGCTGGAGGGGACAACCTCGAAGGGGTACAAACATTTCGAAGCATAAAAAGTCTCATCGCTAGCCAGAATGAAAGGAATCTATTTGACCAACCCAGCAGTGAACCCCTCTTTACACACAACTCGGAGAAGCACATCTTAAAAGAAAAGGATGATGTGAACTTCACGCAGAGGGATTCTCACGAAAGGATTAAAAGTCAGATGGATTACCCATTAGACTCCAACACACTCAACATGCTAATGATGAATTTTGTAGAAAATATCAAAATAAACTGTAACGTCAATTTCGATGTAATCATTTTGCAAGTATGGGATTCCAACACGGGCTACAATGGGTGCTCTCTAAATTTTGTCATCGAGTATTTTTCCTTCCATTTATATTCCCTAAACATTTATGAGCAGAGTGTAGTAGCGGGAGGAGCAGACGGAGTAAGGGGAGGAGGGGATTCCCTATTGTTGGATGATCAAATGGACCTTTCCCCCCGGAGGAGTCGAGTAGATGGCATAACAACTCACTGTATTGGTGACGACATGGGTTTCAAACCGAATATTCCCCTGGGTAGAAACATGGACGTCTCTCCCTACAGTTTCAGAAAAATTGGCACAGGGAAGAATGCCCAATTGGACGGGGCATCCTATGTGGAACTGTACTCACGTGAGACCTCCCACAGAGCGTGGACCAGAAGTGGCGAAATCGGGTCAGCTTCCACGCCGAATGACTTGAAACGCCCAAATGAGGGGAAAAGCGAAATATACATGTGTAGCAGAACCGCTGAGCAGAATGACAGTCGAAGGGGGACAGACATGACCAGGGTAATAGATGATATTGCCATTTCTATGGGCGCCGACGGGGGGGAAACTTCTCCAGATGGAGCCAAAGGAAACCATTTCAAAAACGACTTGTCAGACTGGAACCGGTGCAGAGAAGAAGCGCGAACTACTCCAAGCAGGAAAGAAAACAAAGGGTGGAGGAAACTATTCGATAGGGGCTATTTGGTAAAAAATATTGTACAGTTGATTGTAGGAATAAAGAAAATATTCCAGAGGATATTTTTTAAAAAAAAGCAAATCCAAATGGATGGAGTGGATCGACTCGACCGACTGAGCCGAATGGAGAGTAATACAAAGCACAATTCTACGAAATTAAAAAATGAAAATAAAAAATACCAAAACGGAAATCACATCTTCATAAATAACGAATACATGTTTACCGATATAAAAAATTACAAAGAAAATAAAAAGAGCAAAAATGTGGAATGCAAGATAGAAATTTTAGTGTACTGTGAAAATTTTAACAAGAAGGAAAACTCCTACCAAACATTTATCGAGCCTGTCCGTGTAGAAATTATAGCTGTCAAAGAGGACCTAACTTCTCCAATACATCTGTACTACTATTTCTCATGGCTGAACATTAATTTCAATTTTATCTTTCTCGATAATATCCTCTCCCTATGCTGCAGTGTCATTTTTTCTATAATAACACAGAGAACGCGTCTGCTCCTTGGGAGGCACATAAACGAGATAGACAAAAAAAGAAACATGAAAAAACTTCCTCAGGGAGGAAAAAACTACAAAAATGATGAAGTCTCTTCCAAAAATGTGGCTACAAATAATGTCATATACCAAACAGAATATGAAGACAACAACATGGAGAAGAAAAACATGAGCGAGATGGATGACACACACACGTCCATGGGCTGGCCAAACTGCTACGCTGTCATGGATGATGAACAATACAAGGATGTTCCTCTACTTACAAATGATCATATCCTATTCAGATACAACAAATTCGACGTCTTGAATAGCGTAAATCGATCCCTAGACACGTACATTTTTGGAGAGTTCATTTTGGAGAAGCTCCTGAGAAATTATCAGTATTCGTGTCAGTATCCAGGGGATTATCTAGCCAAGTATGAAAACGAATTTAATGTGGACAAGTCTGATTCTACCTCGGAGCAGATGCTTCACATTAAATTGTTTAATTACATTAAGAAGAAGAAGAGACTCGAAATGAATAATATTTGTAAGATTAACAATTTGCTTGGTCAGCCTATTGCTATATGCACCATACAGGAGAAGGACGATTTGTGCTATGACCAGAGGGAGGGCCTCCATTCGGAGGCATGCAGAAACTCCTTCGGGGGGACGAAACATTGCGATAATAAACAGAACCTCCTCTTGTCCACCATAGATAAGCTATCAAACAGGAAATTCATGGAAGGTGGAGTTGGCGGACATGCCGCTTTGCCAAACTCGGGTATAGCGAGCAGAGACAGGGAGAATCTCAGCCGTGCGAAGCGCAACTCGCATGCAAAACGAAGAAGGAGCAGTAACTACCGTCCACCTGGTGAAGAAAACACTCTCGCAAAGGAAGAAGAAAAAAAAGATTCCTCGTCCTACCTGAATTATCTAAACGGAGAGCACACAGACACGTCCACGACGCGCAGCAGCAATGCACTAAAGTACCAATGGAAAATATTAAGTAATAACGAATCGCTCGATTTGCCCACGCACGAAAATGGAAAGGTGAAATTTTTCCTAATCCGATTCAGACTACTTAATTATATCTATGACATCCCATCAAGCATACTCAACACGGGGGATGAGAATGAAGATATCATTCGATTAGTCATTCCAGAGAGGAGATTACCTCCAAATATAAACGCACAAGTGGAGGAAGAGCTATATAATGAGCAACTCCTAGAAATCGATAACTTATCCCTTGACAGTAACTATCATACTATATACCCATCCAATTACACTTCGCAAAGGCATACTAATACAAATAAGGAAGAGGAGTGGAAGCCTGCCAACATTCCACAACCACGCAATCATTTGTTTATCTTTTTCCGGACAAGTAATCGAATCAGTCATGAAGAAAAACAAGAGTATGACTTTTTCCTATCATCCATTGTCGCTGTTAAGAATAATACGGACTTTCCGCTTTATGTTTTCAAATCAGTACCAGGAAATTCAAACCGAAATGGCATCTTTAAAGAGTATTTTCACAAATACAACACAGTACCGTCCCCCCCACCAACGTACACGCTAAAAATTGATAAAAAAATCGAAAAGTTCATCCAACATAGTGTGGAGGTAAATAACACAATCAGTCAGGAAAAAAATAAAAAAAAAAAAAAAAAAAAAGAGACAATTAACAACAATGACGTAGGGAACAGTTGGGCAGACCAAATGAACGATCAGACAGGTCACTATCGTGAAAGCACAAATAACAAAGAAAAGGCTATTAACTATATTCAACATAAGTCCTACTTGTATGGAAGGAAATGCATTAAGAATATATTTCCATTGATGAAACTGTCCTCCGTAGAGCATTACATCTCGGGCGACATTAAATTTAGCTCCTTAGCACCAGTGAAATATAAGAGGAAGAAAAAAAAAAGAGGAAAAAAAAGTAAGCAAAAGCATGAATTACAGAAGCGATTTATCAAAGAAAAAATTAAAGAAATATACCTGAAGAGGGTTTTAAAAAAGACGAGACATAAAAGGATTAGAAAATATCAAAATGGTCTTGTCTCTCGTGAAAAATTTAGGGATTTTTCTGGGCAAGTCAATCCGTACAGAAATATAATGTCCATAAATGATTCATTCTTCAGTTTCGCGAAGGGATCTTCCACAGCATCGGCATCGTCGTCCGGTTCCTCTACCGCATCCTCCTCCTTGACTTCTCCTCCTCTGGGAATGGCAAAAAACACGTCTACCACATCACTGAGCATCACGGATCTGTCCAACATCACCTTGTCGTCCCTCTCCAATTCGATCTTCTCCATGGAAAGCACGCTAAGTAACAGTTCTGCTTATGGAAATTCCTTGTGCAATTATGATAAAGACAATTCTGAGGAGCAGGCACTTCTTAATGAATACTTTAAAAAGGAGCAAACAAATGTGCAAGGCGGGTTGGATCTCATAAAAATATCGAGCAATAGTAATAAATTAATCCCCATACCTTTGTACTGGCTGGTAGCAGAGAATGCATTCATATGGCTGTCGATACAAAATGAAAAAATATACAAAGAGGATCTATATGATTTTTTGAATGACCATCAGAATGCAGATTATATATGCACAAAGGCAACGCTTGACAATATGCTAAATTACCACTCACCTTTCTCTGCCGACACAGCGAAGGTATTCAAGCCATCCATAATTAGGTTAAGAAACCACCTGCTAAAAGAAAATAACGTTTTAACAAAGGAGGGAAATAAAAATAATCAAAATTTATCAAACAGTTACAATTTAAACTACATGAATTTGAAGGAGGTCCATTTCACATCCACCATCATCAGCGTCTACAATCCCAATTATGTCCTACATAAGAAGGACGCTCATAATTTCTTCCAAATATGTGTTGACCACGCCCTGATGATTAATAATAGTCTCCCGAGAACCATGTTTATGACCTATGAGGTGCCCAAACAAAAGTCGACTAAGAATCTGAAAAAGAGCGCTAGCACTTACACGAGTTTTCCATCGGCAGAGCGCTTCAATACGCAGAAAACGGGCGGCGACAGTGATGAGTCGCTTTCTATGCGTGGCTCCTACGTTAGAAGACCTAACGAGAGTGTCTGCGATCGGTGTTGCCGCGGAGAGCAGTTCGTCTCAAGTGAGAAGTTCGCCTCGAGTGAGCAGCTCCCTTCTAGTGAACAGCTCCCTTCCAGAGAGCAACTTACCCAAAGTGATGCCAAGCAAACGGCCCAAACCGACCCGCATAGTACAAGTCAAGAGCGCTGTAACACGGATGTCGTGCAGGATGAAGATGTCGAAATTACACCCATTGAGGTGCAGAATTTCACCGAAGAATACCTACAGAACAGAGACAACAGGACCGATCAGAAGAAGGAAGATCCCAAGAGAAGCATCCTTTTTTTTGACAACCTCAATGAGAAAAAAACAAACCTGATCCCAATCACACACGATGGAGAAACTATCCCGATGAAGGACAAGGAGATTTTGCTCAAAGAAGTTAGCAGTGATAAAAATGTGTTTATATATAAAAACAAAAAAAGGGAAAACAGCCAAAATGAAGAAAATACCAATGGGAAGCTATACATGGAAGAAACCAATTTTATCGTTACTATAAAAAAGGAGAGCAATAAGGACATACACGAAATTAGGATTAATCCAGGGCAAAGCATAAAGCTGCCATTCGTTCCTAACAATATAAGCATCTGCTTTGATGGATACAATTCGAGGACTATATCAATTAACTACCCTCATAAGAAGGGGCGGGAGAAAATCATCCTCGAGAAGGGGGCCAGAGAGGAGACGGCATCGTTTTTCTCGCTTGACTATGAGGAGGAAGAGTTCCCCAATTATGGGGAGACTGTTGGGAGCACCCCTGATGGGAGCAGCGCGAGTGGCGGCGACGCCTCCCAGGGTGTAGTGAAGATAGACCACGTCGCTCATCCCAACCGCGTAACACATGCGAACTACTCCAGTCACAGCCTAGCGGACGAATCCTCACAGAGGGAGGAACTGTATGCGCATGCGCGCACATTACCTCTTGGCGAAATAAAGGACTACATGAAATATGCAGACCTAAACAACGTGAAGTGGAAAAGTGAGCGGCTCGAGCAGAAACGAGAAAATTATAAATCGTCTAAAATTGAGGAAGGACAAAAACAGCTAACCATATGGGCGATATTCAACGAATTTTACGAAACAGGCAAAAACAGATACCAAGACATCTCCTTGGAAAAAATCCATCATGGAACATATTCAGTTTCCTGCACCTTCTTCGTATCAGCTTGTGTAATTAACCGATTGAATTACCCCATTACGTTAAAAAGAATAAACAATGACAATATGATAGTGATCGAGCCATACGTACGAAAATTATTGCCATGTGAATTTGCCATGAGAAGAAACCGAGTGGTGATATCCTATGAAACACTCAAGAAAGTAAAAAACTGGATCAATTATCCGCTGAAGAAATTTATGATTAGAAGGAAGAAATTGAAAAGGACGAGGAAGGTAATCAAAGAAAGGAATCACAAAATTGTAAGTACTGGTCCCCTCATGCACAACCAAAAAATAAAATCGGAAGAGATAAACAGTCCACAAATGGAGGGAGAACAACAGAACAGTGGTCACACCGCCGATAATGACATTCCAGAGACGTCTCAACCGAACCATGCACACCCGAAAAGTAGCAGTAGATCCAATCTGTTTTCCCAAATCACAAGAAGAAAAGGAAATTGCTTCTTTTACCGAAGCAATATTAACAAACCGCTGGAGTCAGAAGATTTTAGGATCACCGATTTGTCCATCACCAGACTCACTTGCTCAAACAGAAATAAAAATATGCCACAGTTGAAGTATAGCGTATATATGTCGATAGCCCCCATGCCGTTTTTTCGAACAACGGTTATGGAGATACTACCCTACATAGTAATAATAAACAACACTAAGATGGATATCGTTTTCCAGGAGTATATTAAAAATTACACGTACTTTAGGTACAACATTTTGAAGCCAGGGGCATATGTGGAATTTCACCCCCAGTCTAAAAACAAAGCCATGTTGAAAATTTGCGGCATCTTTGAAAACAGCTTCAATTACGTCATTGATGATTATTTGCAGAAGGAGTTGTACTTAGAAAATTTAGATAAGGAGAATGAGAAGGTGTTGGGGGGGATAAAGGAGGAGGCTTGCGCCGGGGGTGAGAAGAGGAAGAGTCGGCGCTCCACAGTGGGGGACGATTCCCAAACCAGGCGTGATGACTTCTCCGCCAAATGCAACCAGCTTTCCAACTGCGACGCGCTATCCAACGGCGAATCACCCCCCGAGCGTGCTCCTGCTGTTTCCCCCCTTAATGGCATCTCCCAGAAGCTGAGCATCCTCGTGGACATCGAACGAGGGAACCACCGCATGTCCAAGCAGCAGTCGTCCTCCTCGAAAGATACGTGTTGCACCAGTGCGCAAAACTCCCTTGAGAAGGAAAACGCGAGGAGAGCCAGTCGAAACGACACGAGACCAAATAACATGGTGAAGAAATACAAAAAAGTAGAGGCGTTCAAATTTCTCTACTGGTCGGAAGTGTTGGACCTGACCAGAGTGAGCATGATCTATTTCCGCCATCCAGTTGTATCGAATGAAAATTTTAAGAAGCAAGAAAAGAAGCTTAAAAAACTAAATCTTCTTTTAAAAAATCATGGCAAAAATGACGCTGCTTATCTGAATATATCCAAAGAGCTATTCAGAGCAAGTACCATACCCTATGAGTACACCTGCTGCTCAATGGAGATCTCCACGTACAAGGGTTGCCGATTTGTGCGCTTCCAGGACATCGACGTGGTGCCATTTTACCTCTTAAATCTCACCAAGTACAACATCAAGCTGAGGCAGCTAGGCATATATGAGCACTCCGAAGTGTTGCGGAAAATCCCGAAAAAGAAGAAAAAATCCTTCGACGAAATATTCAAAAATTACGCTTTCAATTTCTCATTTTACAATCCCTATAAAGACGCCAAGCTGAAGATTAGCATACTTTCGTCGAGCAAGAAGAACGAACAGAATAAAAAGGAAAAGAAGAGCAACAAAAGCGGCAACCGAAGCGACAACAATAACTACAATAGTAACAGTAACAGAAACAGTAAGAACCACTTGAACTATCCAACCCCCGTGAGGATTAATCTGAATAACGAACTCAACTACCTCAGCCTCTTGGCTACCAACTATTTGAAGGACAACGAATATGCGAAAATTATTAACGATAGAATTTTTCACTTGAAACGATTTTCAGAACAAGTGCAAAATTTAAAGGATGGAAATGTGAACATAATTGATTTGGCCAACTCGACCAATGTCACTTTGTTAAAATTGAGACAGGGTGATGCAATCGTTTACATTCTTTGCTCTAAGAAAACGTACAACGGGAAGACCATCTTTTCGTTCGAGAATTACGACGATCTTATCAGCAACGTTTTGAATTTCACGAATGCATCCCTCAGCCGTAAGCACAATTACAAGGTGCTCAAGTCGTTACATGTCTTCAGCAAGAAGATAAGGAACGCGTACTTCGGGGGGAGGAACAAGAAGCAGGGCAAGCGCAAGAGGAACCGCAAGGAGTGGAAGGACTCCATCGGGGGGAAGCACGCATCAATTGGGGATTACACCCCCAACGGGCAGCATGCACATGGCGGACCCGAGCCGGCCAGTCCCCCAAATCGCCCCCCTCGGAAGAAGGGGAAAAGCCCAAACGGATGGCACTTACTGAACCTGTTTAGAAAAAGAAGCACCACTCGTTCTTTTGAAAAAGGACCGAGGCTAACCCACCTTATTAGAGACCTATATGAGAAAAAAATGATCAATAGGGAGGGGAAAAAAAAAGACACATTAAATTTAAACATATTTGCCCACTTGATTTTTAAAGGAGTAGGGTTAAGCATCAACAACCACAACTTAGAAGAAATCCTCTACTTCTCCATGGAATATATATTAGTTGTGTACAAACAGATCAGTGAGAAGGATTTGTTTCACTTAAACATAGGATGGCTTCAAATAGACAACCACACGAAGAACACAGATTATAAGAATGTGCTGCTCCCAATTATAGATTTGAAGAAGATCCACCAAGTGGAAAATTCAGCAGAGGAGCAGCATGACCAGAGTGCCCTCCAACATAGTGGAGGAAGTACCTTCGGAAGGAAGTTAGGCACCGAGGACATGACTACTCTTTATCCGTCAAAGAGCGGCAAATCAAATGATACCTTATCACATCACCCTAAGTACGAAAATGAATTTTACAAAACGAGTTCTAGGAATATATTAAAGCGGATTGGAGTTACAAAAGATATCTCTTGCGAGGATTACTCCTATTTCGAGAAATATAATCTGCTAATCAGTCCAAACACGAATAACCCCTTGTCTAATTCTTACAAGATGTTCATCCCTTCCTTTTTCTACGAACAACATAACTCCGTCTTGGACGTAACTATAGTGAAGAAGAACAGAGGAAACATGAAGAACTTCCTTGAACTGTCAGATGTGACTATTAAACTTTCCCCCTTGAGTATAAATGTGGACTCCTATTTTATCATCGAAATTTTGAAGATTTTCGACGAACTGTTAAAAATACTAGAGTTCGATTTGACCAATTATAATTCGCTCAACTTGGAGAAGAATATCGAATTGAGGGACACCGACTATGACAGCTTGGAATACAAACAGAATATGGGCCCATTGGAAGAGCTTATCAAGCACTACATTCTGAAGGATTATCACTTATATGAACAGATAGCCAACTTCAAATTTAATGTCACGCGGAATGAGCAGGAGGTCGAGGAAAAGAAGGGGAAGAGGAAGAAGAAGGACGAGGAGGGAAGCCGCGGTGAAACGGCAAGCAGCAGTATTTTCCACTCCAACACGTTTTGCAACAAATCAGACAACGAGGTGCCCGACGTGAGGGCCTACATTAGTATGGTAAATGAGTACAAAAATTGGGGGCGCCGCGCAGATGAAGGAGCCACTGGAAGTGACCAGGATGAGGAAGCTGTGCGGAGCGACCCCTTGGGAGGACTAAACAAGCAGAGGCTCATCCACCGAGGTAACCTGCCAGGTAATCCATCAGCTAACTCTGCAGCTAACGCCGTCGGTGGAGTGAAAGATCCCATGATGAAGCATAAAAGCGGCGTGCCTTGTCCAAATGGGTACACCCACGGGGAACAACAAATGCTAACCCAGATTGCCACCTTAAATAACGACAGACAAAACAACCTAAGTAGCAACTACAACTCGGACATATTTAACGAAAAAAGACTCAAGTACCTGCAAACCTGCGAGAAGTATTACAAAAATTTGCTAAACAATCGAAAGCGTATCTTGAAGAAGATCCAAAATATTAACCTGAAAAATAACTTAATCAGTTTCGACAAGATATTTGTCTCCAAATTAGAAATCAACGAGATTAAGCTAATCATTAACCTAAAGAATAGAAGCCTAAGCTACGACAAGAAAAGTGAAATAATGGAGTCCAACGTCATGAACGCTCTTGTTATCCTTATAATGAACATCCCAAACATCAGTGACGCACATTTACAATTCGAGAAAGAGGTCAAAAAGAATATGTGTGGTTCGTTAGACGTATTAATATGTAACGAAATAATGAATGATTATATAAACTCTGGTATGAACCAAATGTTCAATGTTCTCGGGGCTGTGGATTTTATTGGAAATCCTCTAATAATTTATAAGCATTGGAAAAAGGGTTACAACACCTTCATTAAGGACTTAAAAAAAAGCTTGGATTCGTGTTCTTTCCCATTTTCATTTTGTATTTTACTTCTGAACATACTTGGCCGATTTGGAAAAAGCTTACTATCAGGGATCCTCGAAGGAGTGAGTAGACTTTGTGGAAGTTGGAGTACCTGCTTCGAACGATTTTCTAGAAATGCAGATAATTTCAGCATCGTCACAAATAGCAATGTTTTGCAGAATGAAATTCTAGACCAACCATCCAACTGTGCGGAGGGAATATGCTACGGGTGCCAGTCATTTGTAAACATCCTCTCCATCAGCTGTGTCAATACGATTTATAAACCATTCATGGCCATAAAAAAAATTAAAGGTTCTCGAAAAAAGGAAAAAGACAAATTCAAGATATTCCTTTCAGTGACAACACTTATGCTTTATGGTTTGTTTAGCGGATTTAGCAGCCTATTTTTTGGATTATTCAATAGCATCTTATCCTTTTTCACCTTTCTATTTATTGGCACATTAAATCAAATACAGACGGTAACTATGAAATCGGTCGTCAGGCCAAAAAAAATGAGCGTCATTAAGGAGTACGCGAAATTTGTTAACTACGAGTACCCACTGTCTTTCTCTAATCATATCATTAATGAAAAAAAAAAAAAAAAAAAATTTCTAAAAAAAAACATTGTAGCTGTCATTCCGTTATATTCCTTCAAAGACAACAACGCTAACAGCATAAAAAACTTCCTCTGGGTTAGCAACAAAGAAGTGGGTTATTGCCAGAAGGATAAATTGCTGTGGTCCCTGTTGACCAACTGCATCATCAAAGTTGATATTCTGCTAATCCAGGTGGATCATGCTCAGGGGAAGAGAAAACTGTCCATATTAAATCGAAATAAAAACAAAATAAAAAGCAAAAAGTCCAATTTTAGCACAGGGGATAAGGAAGATGATCAGCCAGTTAAAACCAAGTGGAACTTTCATACATTTTTCTACCCGCAAAAGTACAGACAGTTGGGGGACTTCAAACCATCTTACTACATTAGGATACTCTACCGATCTGTGTATAAGGTAAAAAGATCCCACCGGAAAACCAAGTTCAGGAACTTCTACTTCAGGAAAAAGGACGACTCCAACCACAGGCTGAGGCAAATTATGCGAAAAAACACCTACGAAAGGTACTTTGAGAAGCAGTTCAGGAATGAGCAGCTGGCCTACCAGGAAGCGGACCAAAGCGACCACCCCAGTGACCACCCGAGCGAGGGGGGCAAGAGAGACGATCAAAACCGACCTAATGGTCACCACAAAGATCGCCATAGAAGCAATCACCATCGCATCGATAACCACTGTGACCATGACAGGCGCGCCTCGTCCAACGATCTGTTCAGGACACAACACAAAGTGCACAACTACTACACCAAAAATGACGCCCGGGGGACCCCCCAAAACAGGGCCAATAGACGAAATGACGGAGAGGAAGACCCACTACACGATGGAAATAATTACCGCGAGAGGGAATGGAACTACCGAAGTAGTCGGCCAAGCAGTCGTGTCGGAAAGCGACAAAAGCTGAGTGATCAGACGCCCCCAAAGGGTGAAAAAAAGAGCAGATTAAAAAAAAAAGATAGCTATCCACACCACCAAAATGATATACACATTAATGAAGAATCTAGAAACATCAACAAATTGAAACATAAAAAAAAACACGCAAGGAAACATCATACACATAAAAGGAAAAAGTTTTTATATATTTCAAAATTGGTTAAATGCGAATCGAAGGAAGTTGCTCTGCACGCCTTTTCCCTCCTCCTATCCTTTTTGGTGCATAAATCTCCCTACTACTTAAAAACTGCGAATTAGACGCACGAGCAAAATTGCACAGTTTGTTCCAAACAATGGGGTTCATCAAATTGCTGCACAAACGCATAGAGAAGAGAGGCTGCACCGTGAGGACACACAACACGATGGTACCCCTCAGATATATGTGAGTATTCCCTTAAGCGTAAAATCGGCACCATAGCTAATAACCAAAGTGTACAAAATTGAAGACGGCATTAATGTTGCCACTTCTGTAAGTTAACGCGTGTCATTACCTTTTTTACATCTTATTGCGCTCGATTTTGTTATTCTAAATTTTAACCCTTCATTTGTTGCTTATTTGTTTTTTGCTTTTTGTTATCTCTTTTTTTTTTGTTTGCTTTTTTTTTTTTTTCCCCATCCCGTTCGTCCATTCCTTACACCTTTTTGTCACTAAATATTTGTTCATTTATTCTGGTTACCCTAGCTATGCAACCATTTCTCGAGGTTATCCAGTTTGTTAATTTATACGATGGCCTTGTTCCCTTATTAGCCATGTTGTTGGTATCAAAATGATGCATTTTTTAAAAACCATTGTGAATGTTTTTTTTTTCTTTTTCCTCTTTGTTAAACCGATTTGTGCATTTTGCAAAATAAAATTAAGTATTACATTATCTTAAAAGTTAAATGTGCATCGAATAAGCTTGCGTGTTGATACAGAGTCACCCAAAGGTTCGGTTAAAATTTCGACGAACATTTTAACAGGTATGCTTCGCCTATCCTTTTTGTAGAAGTGGAGTGTATAATTTGTAATCTACAGCTTTTTGGATTCCTTACCTACACACCATTATCCAAGGTTGTGTCGCATAGCTTTGTCGTGTGAAACAGAATAGTCGGAAGGTAAAGCATATCTACATGACGTTTGTTGACCGGCCAGCTTCGCATAAGGTTTTTCAAACCCTTTTTGAGTATTCTCCAATTTTTTGTGCCATTTGCGCCAAATTAAAAGGGCTACTCTATCGGCACACACATTTCAGTTTTAAAAAAGTCGTTAAGACTTTCTGTTTTGTAATTTTCACATGATGAGGAATGGTTCAGCCGTTCAGAGATAGCTTCTTCGACAGATAAGTTATTTTTTTCCCCTACCTTCTGTTGTAGCTCTTGGGAAGCATGAGCAACCTGCAACGGTCAACGAGTACATGGTTCCTTCCCCCGATTTGTCGCATGTCGCAGGAAAATGCCACTAAACAAGTGCGTTCCTCGTCCAGCCCTGCGAATGTTTAATGTGAGGCGCCCTGCCCCTTTTGGGTCACCCAGAACAATTTCATCCTTAAAGAAGTTGTCTTTTTTTTTTTCTTTCCAAAGAGTGGCAAATTTGAAATAAACAAATTTCATTAAAACGTTCGCCTTTGAGAAAGAACAAAGGAAAAAATAGAACAATTAGGCAGGGGCATTTTACAGTATTGTAAAATTTTTTAAAAGTAATACTTCCACTAGCAAATGATGTGTGTGCAATTTTTTTTTTTTTAAATTGCGTGTATACGTAATATACACACCGCCCAACGGTTGTGTCACTTGCGTGCATATTTCTGCACTGTACTGGCTTCCCGTAATGGCTGTAATTATTGCAACCAGTTTTCCGCTCGGGGAACAAATGATACGTACAGAATATTTGCTCCTTTCTTCGCTGGAAATTTCACTATCATTACGGATGAAGCGTGTTTTTCCGCCTTTGGGAAGTTGCGCAAACATGTATGTGTTGTTTCGTTAGGAGTAAAAGTTTCGCGCGTATGCCTTTTGGGCGTATTGCATATTAGTGGTGAATAAAATGGGAAAATCAGGGAGCGACCAATTGCGCCTGCCCCCAGGTACATCACGCAGACCGCATATGTACATGCGCTTCTATGCGCAGATTTGGCCATACTTTTATTCACACAATTATACTTGCGTTTATGCCTACACTTATGCATAATTAGTATATGCTTTTGCTACCTCATTTTTAACACTTTTTTTTTTTTTTTTTCGTACTTACAAAAATTTCCTGAAGAATTTATAATTTGTTAGCCACATAAATTGAAAATAGCTAACTGGAAAGAACTGTTTTGGTTAAAAAAGTATTGCAAGGTAGGATAAGAAGGGAGGAAATGGCAATAAATTGAAAAATAAAAATTCGAAGTGGAAAAAAAGAATAAGGCGAAGACGAAGTGGCAAATCGAAGACAAACGGAAGTGATCAGAGCGAATGCGGAAAAACCGTTGTTATGCGTAAATTCTCAAAAAACGCAAGGTTTCAAAAAGGCGTACTTTCCAACTATATATATATATTTATATAACTTCCTTCTTTTCAGAGTAAAGAAGGAAAAAACACGATTAGAATTTAATAGGGGGGCCTGCAAGGACATTTCGCGTAAAACATCGATTGTGCCATTCATCGCGATTTTGCATAAAATTAAATGGCAATATTTTTTTAGAGTTTTGTTTTTCCACAACATTGACGTGATCATTAGGCCAAGTGGCAATTACATGCTAACGTTGAACAGATTTTTTGTTCGTCATAAAAATACAGCGGGTTCACGTTTGCCCAGTGATCGTTATATGCCCAATATGCATATTTGTATGCATAATTTGTAACGTCCCCAATTTCCATTCTCTTTTTTTGTGTATATATCCCAATTGGTGATTAAATTAAATATAAAAATACCCCCGTCGCCACAAGATAATTTTCCTTTGCAGGAGAGAGGGCCGTACGTATGTACTTTCCATTTTTGCATTTAACTTAATTTTTTATAAAATAATTCTATGATAAAAGGATAATCTACAAAATAACAATATTTACAAAAAAATTACATAAGAAAAAACGTTAATTAATGCTACATCACGGATAATGTTTTGAAAAGCCTTCTTTATTACCCCCTCTTCTGTTTTAAAAAGATATTGTTTAAGTGGCATGACTATACATATAAGTGCATGTATATGTATATAACATTATATATATATCCCATTTCATATATTTTTCCTTTTTCGTTCGCCACTTGTTTCTTTATTTTTTATAAATGCGTAAAAACGAGATATGTTTTGTAGCAACGAATTTATTGTAGATTCTTTGTAATCTGCCAAAGTTAACTATTTGATGCATAAAGCGTGTGGGCAAAGTTCTTCATTTTGTCCCCTGCTTATATCTACATGTTCGTGCGTCCCCTACCGATTGTATTATGTCGTTTTCGTGTCTCTACTGCTTAGAATATGCCCATGACTTGTCCCACAATTTGACATTCCATCCGTTGCGTTTTTCATTTTTCCTAAAGTGCGTAGGTTAGGTGCTTTCCCGCCCTTGTCTACGTGATTGTCCAAACGGAAGCAAAAGAATTGTGAAACGTTGCTAGCCCATGTCAGAGTAAAGCGGTTACTCCGTTCGCGTTTATTTTTCGCATTTCTATTTGTTCACCAATTAGTGTACCTATTTGGAAACCCATTTGTGAACCCACTTCAATGCCCATATTGGCTGCACCTGCTTGGCGACCCTTGCAAAAGTAGACGTTGCAAATATACCCCCATCCAAGGAACAGATGAATCTTCACGCATGAAAACCACCAAGCGAAATAAACAATGGAGGGTGAAAAAATAAAATCCAACAGCATTTCCAACTTCTCCGTCACGTACGAAAGGGAATCTGGGGCCAACAGCAACAGCGACGATAAAAGTGTCAGCAGCAGCGAAAATGAATCCAACTCGTTCATGAATTTGACAAGCGACAAAAATGAAAAGATGGAGAATAACAGCTTCATTCTAAACAGTAGCAGCTTTGCAAATATGAAAGATAGTTTTTTGGAATCCATCGACTTGAGCGTTTTAGACTCCAACTTTGATTCGAAGAAGGATTTTTTGCCAAGTAATTTATCCAAAAATTTTAACAATTTGTCGAAAGAAAACCTTGGGAATAAATATTTAAATAAATTATTAAATAAAAGTGAGTCGTTATTTATCTCAAAAGGTAAAGACATGAATTTAATGGAAAACAACCTGGGCAGTAACAACCCGCCAATAAACACCAGCAACAAGAAGGAGGGCTTCATGGATTCCTCCTCTCCGATAAATGCAAATGAAGATAACGAAATGAATAACCGTAAAAAATTTAGCAATACTAATAATATTAATGATACGTATGAGAAGAAAATAATCGAGACGGAGTTGAGTGACTCAAGTGACTTCGAAAACATGGTGGGGGATCTCAGAATCACGTTTATTAATTGGCTAAAAAAAACACAAATGAATTTCATCAGAGAAAAGGACAAGCTATTTAAAGACAAAAAGGAACTAGAAATGGAAAGAATTAGACTCTACAAAGAAATAGAAAATAGAAAGTCAATCGAGGAACAAAAACTGCATGATGAAAGGAAAAAACTGGACATTGATATATCAAATGGGTATAAACAAATTAAGAAAGAAAAAGAAGAACACAGAAAAAGATTCGATGAGGAAAGGCTACGATTTCTACAAGAAATAGATAAAATAAAGCTAGTCCTCTATTTAGAAAAAGAAAAATATTTCCAAGAATATAAAAATTTTGAAAATGATAAGAAAAAAATTGTCGATGCTAACATCGCAACGGAAACTATGATTGATATAAACGTCGGGGGGGCCGTATTCGAAACTTCTAGGCACACCCTAACACAGCAGAAGGACTCCTTTATAGAAAAATTGCTAAGTGGGAGGTACCACGTAACGAGGGATAAGCAAGGCAGGATATTTCTAGATAGGGATAGCGAGCTATTCAGAATCATATTAAACTTTTTAAGAAATCCACTGACGGTTCCCATTCCGAAGGATTTAAGCGAAAGTGAGGCCCTGCTAAAAGAGGCAGAATTCTATGGTATTAAATTTTTGCCCTTCCCCTTAGTTTTCTGCATGGGGGGTTTCGATGGGGTAGAATACCTAAACTCCATGGAGCTGTTAGATATCAGCCAACAGTGTTGGCGCATGTGTACCCCCATGTCCACGAAGAAGGCATATTTCGGAAGTGCCGTTTTGAACAATTTTTTATACGTTTTTGGAGGAAATAATTATGATTATAAAGCCCTTTTCGAAACTGAGGTGTATGATCGGTTAAGAGACACTTGGTTTGTTTCTAGTAACTTGAATATCCCTCGAAGAAACAATTGTGGAGTTACGTCCAACGGAAGAATTTACTGCATTGGTGGGTATGATGGGTCGTCTATTATCCCCAATGTGGAAGCCTATGATCATAGGATGAAGGCTTGGGTAGAAATTGCCCCATTGAATACTCCACGATCTTCCTCCATGTGTGTAGCCTTTGACAACAAAATCTATGTCATTGGTGGAACCAATGGAGAAAGACTAAATTCGATCGAAGTCTATGATGAGAAGATGAACAAATGGGAGCAATTTCCGTACGCTCTGTTAGAAGCTAGAAGCTCGGGGGCAGCTTTTAACTACCTAAATCAGATATATGTTGTTGGGGGGATTGACAACGAACACAACATTTTGGACTCTGTCGAACAGTACCAACCTTTTAATAAAAGGTGGCAATTTCTGAATGGAGTTCCAGAGAAAAAGATGAATTTTGGTGCAGCCACATTGTCCGATTCGTACATTATCACGGGTGGAGAAAATGGCGATGTCTTAAACTCCTGTCACTTTTTCTCTCCAGACACGAATGAGTGGCAGATAGGGCCCTCCCTCCTCGTCCCCAGATTTGGACATTCCGTCTTAATTGCGAATATATGAATGTCAAGGCGGGGGGAGATATATAGAAAAAGGAGAATCAAGGGGGGTGTGGACATGAGATAGGGAGAGTTATGTCGGGGAGGTGCACCACCCGTTTTTTTTTGCTATAATTTTCTCTGGTTTGTTTTTTCCCCCACCAACCACGACGATGACCACCGCCACGTTATATTTTTTTTTCCAAGACGCGCAGTTGTGCATGTTGGCATAGAGAACGATTCAAGAGGTGATGATTGATGATTGCACCCGATTCGAAGGTGGAAGCGCCCGAGTAGCCTCCTGCTATTTGGAAAAGGTGGCCACCCCACACAGCTAGCTACGCCCGAAGCACATCTGTTTGCACGTACCATGAATACATACCTTGATGCGCGCAGTGATGAAAAAGTCATTTTTCTTTTTTCTTTTTTTTCCTACGCGTTTTCAAGAATACACTATGGCATTTTATGAATATTTACGCATTGACTTGTGTACATGTTTTAAATGTCCTTGCCTCGTTTCCACCTCGATATTTTCCACCGTGTGTTGTTATTAATTAATTAATTTTTTTTTTTTTTAATCTCACTTTTCTTGTTCCACTCTCCCCTCCCCATTCGCCACTTGCTGTTTCTCCCCCCTTCCATTTTATTCGTACCATCAGTCCCCTGTTCTATGAACCCATTCGTTTTTTAAGACGCCACATGTTGTGTATAAACACACGTATATGAGAGCACGTGGGTGCCGACACAATTGTGTGCGTCATGGATGTGTACACATCTATAGCATATGGACGATATGTAGACAAAGATAACTTTTTTTTGCCGCCTTCCCTCTATCCATTTTGTGACCGTCTCAGCCCTTTTTTTTATTCTCCCAAAAACACTTAATTTTTTAGAAAAATTCTTTCCCTAATTTGACCCCGCCAAGAGTGAACATTAAAGCGTCGTATGTCGGCAGAGATATGTACAGATATGTATAGAGATACATAGGTTTTTTTTTTTGCTTTTTTTTTTTTTTCGGGAAGTCAATTTTCCCCCTTTTGACGAAGGAACAACCCGCTGGGGTGGGAAAAGCACATCCGAGAGGAAGAAAAAAAAAAAAAAAAAAGGACCCCTCGCAGTTGCAAAATTTAACCTATTGAGAGTGCGAAAGGAAGCGCTCATTTTTTTTGCCTAATACTCAGTTAAAAGCCCCCGTTTAGAGGCTCCTGCGTGTTCCCCATTTTGTAGGGGAAGAAGCCTTGGGTTTGTTTTGATGCATAAAGTTCGCTGCTCTGCCGAAGGGTTGCAGCTTACCGTGAGCCATGGCTATGTGTGGGGAGAAACCTTTTGAACAAATGAGCGGAGCTATTATAACGATCGTAGCGATCACGCATGAGTAGACTGAAGAGGTGATTCCTCTGTATCTATATCGATGAGGCCCCCTCCCAAAGGTGCATCTCTACCTGCGCCTATGTCCCCTGCGACATGTGAAAAAAGTGTTGCTTTTTTCCCCCCTGGACACCTTCCCCCATTTGGGCACTTCCTAATCCCCGATGGATAACATTCTTAAGCTACTTACGCAACAAAAGCAGTTACCGCTGTGCGAATATGTGAAGCGCATTGGCCCAGGTAATTTCACCAATTTTGACCTAACCCATTTGGAAGATTTTCTAAACAAATTGAGCGAAATACGGAATGCACAAAATGGAAAAAAAGAGGAAAAGAAAGACCAGGGGGAGGAGGAAGAATATGTGGTGGAAGCGCCTCCACTCATCAACATCAGTAGCATCCACGAGTGTAATGAGGAGCCACCCAACGGGAGCATATTTATCGACACATATAAAAAAGCAGACTTAATGAACGAATTAAAAAATATAGGTCTGGAAATTATTAAACGGAGTGAAGTCGCCGTTTTGATCTTAGCTGGTGGTATGGGGTCCCGACTTGGCTTCAGCAAACCAAAGGGGTTACTAGAAATTACGCCAGTTCTGAAGAAGACATTTTTCCAATTTTATTTTGAGAAAGTGAAATTTTTGGAAGAGTACACCGTAGCAGTTGACACGGCTCTGGGAGGCCATGATCATGTCGATGGGAAAGGTACCATGGGTTGCGCCAACGGCTCAAGTGCAAGAGGGGAGGATCCGCGCCCCAAAAGTAAAACCGTCAACAGAGCTACCATCTACGTCTACGTAATGACGTCCGAGTACACGCACGACGAAACGGTTCAATTTTTGGAAGAGAAAAATTTTTTCGGATTAAAAAAGGAAAATATAAAATTTTTTAAGCAGAGCAATAATTATGCCACCGATTTTAACTTCAATGTTGTGCTGTCCAATCAGAATACGTTCCTGACATCCCCCGGGGGGAATGGAGCCCTCTTCAATGCCCTCGGTAAGAACGAAATAATTGACGATATGGTCCGAAAAAACATAAAATATGTCCAAATTGTAAGTATTGATAACGTGTTAAATAAAATATCAGACCCCGTCTTAATTGGTTTCTGTTCCCTTTTCAATTGCGACATTGCTAATAAGGCGGTTAAAATGGAGGATGTGGGATCAATGGGTATCTTTTGTCTAAAGCGACCAAGAAAAGAAGAGCCACCCGATAACACCATCAAGAACGAATTCTCCGTGTGTGAATACACAGAAATGAACGAATACATTTTGAGCAACCCAGAGCTCTTTACATATGGCAACATTTGTCACCACATTTTTTCTCTACCTTTCTTACAGCAGATTGTAAACGGTAAACTTTACAACGATATGAAGCTGCATAGAATAGTGCGGACGAAAGAGTACCACAATTTTGGGGAGGGTAAAGATGGGGAGAGTCCCTTGGCCACTTCTTCATCCCCCCTGTATTGTTACGAATATTTCATTTTTGATGTTTTTAAATATGCCAAAAGGATTTTATCTTTAGAAGTTTCCAGGGAAGATGAATTTTATCCAATAAAAAGTAACGATAATGGAATGGCTATCCTAAATGCACAAAAAAAATTAAGTAACATGCATAGATCGTGGCTTGAAAATATGAAGTTCACCATAATTGCTAACCCTGTGGAGAAGCTCAACTGGTGCGAGATTTCTCCTCTTGTGTCTTACGATGGAACATTTTTTTTTCACTTGCCTGCACAGAAAAATCTGCACTTGCCATTTTCCCTCGATTCAACTTCATCCTCCTAACTGTTCACTCAGAAGCAGCCCTTTAAAAAAAAAAAAACACACACATTCATGCGGACTTACAGGACAATGAAGAGGGTAAGGAAAAACGCAACCTGGCTCAGTTGTGCCATTTAGCTAAGCACACATAGTCGTTCATATTTGTAGCTTTCTCTACCGGTTATAGTCACAGGCTTCTGCAGCTTAGGGAATTTTGCGTCCATCCGGGAGGACCAGAGGGTCCCTAATTTTTTTGGGCTTTGCGAAGTGGTTGTCGAACAGGAGCTTCTTCTGCTCTTCGTTGATGATCGGGAATTTGTCGCCAACCTGGGGGTGAGGTAGTGAGGCGATGATGTCTCGCTGAAGGGGTAACAAAAATGGTGCACATTTGTACAACGTGTCCACCCCCGACGCCACTTCTCCCAGCTATACCTTTAAGTTACGTTCCTTGGCATGTCCGGGCTGCAAATAATGTTCGGGTGGGGAGGGGAAGTCATGTGGATGGGGTAAAATTATGCACTGGAACAGGACGTTAAGCATCGTACACACAGTGGAAAAAAATAAAAACATAGCACATTTTTTTTAATTCGATGCAGCGCAGAAATATGCGCTAATTGGGACGACGTGTGAAATAGGACAACAGGTGTGCTTATAACTGCACACTCTTCCACAATCGTGCACATTTTCGTTTCTCTTTCTGCTCACCGCTGCCATGATGACGAATCTGGGTTCCTTATCTCGCTCGCTCTCCTCTAGCTTCTTGTCGTAAGGGGGTCTGTTCTCCTGCAAGGAAAGGGGAATCACATATTGAAGTTGAACGAAGAGGAGCGTTACATGGGGTGAGGACCGACTACTCAGAAGTCTCTACTTTAGCACGCGTATGTGTCAACGTGCATCTAATCGGATGTAGCCACCCTCCACTGGGGCGTCTGTCCCCCTCCCATTCTTTTCCTTTATCGGCCCCGTGTTATGCTTCCCCTTTATTCTCCCCTTCTTTCCAAGCGCGCCTAGCCTACCTCGATATTCATTATAGTTCCATCCGAGTGCACGTAAAACATGTCGCACTTGAACAAGTCATAATTTATCTGCTTATCTGGTGGAGCCCTTTTATTGTAATTCTCGATGAACTTTCTAGCGTTAACAAATCGGTTAGGGTCCCTATAAAGTGGGCTCTTTAACTTTTTCCTTCTGTAAAAATGCATATTGGTGGAGGGATCTCCGTCTCTTATTATTTCATCTAGGGATGGGAAAATATTCGAATCGGATTTTTCATTTTCATATTGAAATCCTTCTTCCCTTAACTTCCTTTTGATGTCCATGTCAACGGGTTCAAAACTGCTTATGATATTTTTAAAAGGAGAAAAATAAAACAGGTTGGACATTGGACTTGCTGGTTTTCTTGCATATTTTTCAAATTTCTTATCATTTCTTATGTTTAATTCGGAACAATCCAACTTCCTTTCTGGTCTCTGCGTGTTTGACTCGTGCAATTTGTTGATTATCTTTTTTATGCAATTTTTTGGACATCTCTTCTGCTTTACAAAGTAATATGGCCGTCTCCATAGGTTCACTCCATTGGGGAAGGACACCTTGGTTAACCTGGTGCCGATACGGCTGCTTCTACTGTAGCATCCCTGGGAACTTACGATAATGGTTATATGTGTACAGGCCAGGAAAAGAATCACACGAAGGAGGACTTTCCCGTTGGCTAGCCTGTACATTTACGCGATCTAGGTAGGAGCATCACGCACACATAATGAGATGTGGTACGAGGTGGTGAGGAACAGGGCAGTGTTACAAAAAAAAAAAAAAAAAAGAAAAGAAAAGAAACACATTAAATGGGGGAACTTATTGAGAGAGGATTTTTCTTCCTCTCGGTAGAAGCAGCAAAAAATATGTTCCCCTTCTGGGGAGAAGCGCAACGCAGTTCCTTTTTTTTTTTTTTTCCTCTTTTTCTTCTTTTTCTTCTTTTTATAATGCGAGAACTCCGGGGAAGTTCGCCTATTTAACCCTTCCTCAGAAGCTGAGATGATACCAATTGACCTGTTGTGGGGAGACCTTTCACAATTTGGCATTCTTGTTCATTTTTCGTCCTTTGATGAAGTTCTCTCAGTTGTGTATTTCTTTCAGCAAATTCGCTCAGATGCGAGAGGCATGTGAAAGCCTCTGCGTGCTTGGCGCGCGCTGTTTCTCGCGGTGCCTTAAGTCTTTATAATTATACACTTACAAACGGGGAAGTGCCAAAATGGCTGTTGCACAAACGAGAGTTTATGACGTGGGTAGTTGGCTCCACACGAATCGGGATGACACAAAAAAGGCTTCCAAATTTAAAAATTAAGGATTCAAAAATTAAAAGGTAAAATTAAAAAAGCACATAGACGGCCGTTCCGGGCAGCCAAACCGCGCAACCGTCCCCTGGGTTTACTCCGACTGTAAAAAATATATTTCAGAAAATTGGGGGCGGATGGCCATTTTCAAACGGGAAAAAAAAAACCGGCCTTTTCGAACACACCAGGCACGGAATTAATCACGTGACCGTATTTCGTGCTGATGGCCAAACGGGGGGCGCCATCGGAGGGATTGCATGCCACCATACCACCCCACATGTACAGCGTACGCTTAACGGAGTGACGATCAAAACTTCTTCTCATTTTTTTTTTTTTTCTTCTTTCTTGTGATGCGTCCGTTGGCGCGTTATGTGTAGCCAGAAGCACATCGCGGTGTAACGGGGATGGGGGGTGCATCTCCCTCGGTACAATGGTCCAAAACATTGGCATGAACCTCTGTTACTTTGGAATGCACCTTTGTTACTTTGGCCTCTATTTCCGCCCCCGCCCGTACGAGGCGACCTACTCTTCCGCATTCCAATCCTTGAACATGAGGATGAAGTCATCCATGCCCAATTTCTGCGGAGCGAATTTCATCTCTGTGTTAATTCTGTTGCCCTCTTGAGCTAAAATTTGGTTCGCCGTGTACTGCTTGCTCTGATGGATTTGCAGAATTCTTTCCTCCACTGTTTTTTCCAAAACGAACTTGTAAATGCTGACGTCCTTTAGCTGTCCAATTCTGTGGACGCGTTCAAAGGCCTGGTCTTCGATGGCAGGGTTCCACCACAAATCCATCAAATACACTTTGGACGAAACGGTAAGGTTGAGACCGACTCCACCTGCTTTCAGAGAACATAAGAGAACTTTCCCAGAGAAATTTTCTACAGGAAATGGAGAAGAAGGTTTAGTAAATCCAATTCCTGGCTGGTACACTTTCCCTTTTTGTACATTAAACCAAAGGAGCGTACTCTTTCTTTCTTCATATGTTAAAGATCCGTCATAAATCTTGTTGGGAATATTATGTAGGGTTAGTAATTTTTGGATAATCTTAAGAAATCCAATCCACTGGGAAAATACGACAATGTGCAATTCGTTTTGCATGTCATCTTGTATATGATCAAATAGTTGCTTCAATTTGGTGGAATACACGAAATTTTCCTTTTTCATTTTTTTTAGCAGTTCGTCTAGAGGCGACTTATTCTCCTGTAACGTTTTCAACGATTTTAAGCTTATGTACTCATTGCACTCTGGACACTTTTTATCGGCTATTTGGGTTAAATGAAAATAATTGTCTGCACATTTTTTGCACATGATATGCATGCATTTGCTAATTAGTGGGTACACAGCGTCTTCTAAGCAGATTACGCACTGAATTGCGTTTCCTCCTTTTAGCAGGTCTATCATTTGGACGTAATCATCGTCCAGATGATTTGAATGCGTCGCCCCTAGCATGAAGTTGTATATGAGATCGTCCCCTCGATTCGTTGGCTCATCGGTTATGTCTTTACGGTAGGAACTGCTAAACGGAGTCCCTTTCCCAGCGCTTCCATTTGCGGGGAGGAAATCACTGCCTCCTTCGTTTCCCCCTTTCCACTCATCGTCGTTCTTTTTATGAAGTGCATTGTTTATGTCCTCCCGATTCCATTCCTCGAAAAAAGGCTTAGAGAACAAAAGCAGAGGGTGCGAGCAGCATTGTCTTAACCTCATCAGCAACTGCAAAACGTGGGAGTAATGACTTAACACATTCCCATCATGCATATATGTGTCAAATTTGGTTTTGCTTCGGTAAAATATCGCCCGGTAAAAATCTTCTTCCTCCATGGAAAACTTCAGCTTCATAAGATGCACATTTTTTTTCGGCAGAGATATAATATAGTCTCCATCTTTTGTCCTTGACTTTTTTGTTCTCCTCAACAAAATGGGAGATGATATTTTCCTTACTACATCGAGGGCTAAGTTCAATTTGTTTTTATTTACATAGTCTATAATTTCTTTATTCCACCATTCAATGGTGCCATATGGTTTGATTCCTAAAAATCGGAAGAGTGGGAAGATGTCAAATATCGAGTTTTGTATAGGCGTTCCCGTCAAGCACCAGTTTCTTTCTCCTCGCAATTTCCACACAGCAATGGACTGAATGGAGTTCTTATTTTTTATCACATGTGCTTCATCAATTATGATTCTTCTCCAGGTTATTTTATACAAGGGACACTCTTTCTTCGGGTTTCCCTGTTTTGTGTTCTTCCTATCGTCAGTTGATTTCACCGTGCTATTACTCGTCATGGGCGTCGTCGTCCCCATCGCTATCTCCATCTTTGTTCCCAGAACAGTCTTCTTGAAAAAGTTGTTTATTTTTGGGCTGTCATTACTTGTTCCACTTTGTGGACTCCTTTTCGGGCTGATGCCTTCTGCGCCACGCTTGGGAACCGCACCCTTGGCAAGCCCACTTTTGACTTTGTCCTCTTTTGACCTCCCTTTCATGAATCCCACATCCCCATGTTCGCGCTTACTCTTCCCAATATGCTCGTCCTCTCCCCCAGGGGTCTTATCCTCCCCCTTATTCCCATTATTTCCTCTCTTACTTAGCGTGTTTTTATACTCAGAGACTAGGGTAGAATACGTGGTCAGCACGACGAAATACTTAGACAACTTTTCGCTGGTGACATCTTTCGATGTACCGTAGTAAATGTAGGTGGTGAGGAAGCCCTCCTTTGTGTGTTTGTCGATTTCTTGTTTCCATTGATAAATCAGAGCTAAGGGGGCAATAATTAAGGTGCCTCCTTTTTTAAAATTAAATCCTTTGATTGTATTCTCTATCAAGTAAGTAATGTTGTTCTTATTTTGATTGTTACTATTTTGGAGATGCAATTTGTTGTGGCACACATCGTGCGCTATTAATCCGATACTTTGTATGGTTTTGCCTAACCCCATTTCATCTGCTAGAATTCCCCCCCTGAATGGGGGCACATACTGCGGGTAAGTCAGCGAAAAGCACCCCGTTAATTTGTTTACATAGAAATATTTTAGCACGCACACCAGGTTGTCCTTCTCGTAAATTTTTATGTTGGGGATAAACGCGTGTTCCTCCCACAGGGGATTAAGCGGTTGTTTGTTCCGAATGTCGTCGTCGTTGTCGTCCTCGTTGTCGTCCTCGTTGTCATTCTCTTTGCCGCCATTGTCTTCACCGCCGTTGTCTTCACCGCCGTTGTCTTCCCTTTGGCCACCCGACTTGGCTTTCTCTCGCTTGATGGCTAAGTCGCTTTGTTTCGGCTCCCGTTGGGGCGGCGTCCCCACCGGTTCGGCCTTACACTCGGGGAAGTTTCCACCCTGTTCGACCTTATACTGAGGGGTGCTTCCTCCCCGTTCGACATTACACTGAGGTGTGCTTCCTCCCGATTCGACCTTACACTTGGACAGAGCGCCCTCCGTGAGAGCCGCCTTCATGGCGAACTTCGCACTTGTTATGGAAAGCACCCGCGTCCTCTTCTTTGCCAGGCCTTCAAAATGAGGGTTATCCTTGACAACTTCATCAATGACGATTTCTTTTATGTCCTCGTTTTTTTTTACTTTCTCTTTGAAATATTCGGGGGGGTTTTCCTTTGTGTACATCCACCACACTCCTTCCGCCTGGTACGTTTTCAGCGTCGGTTTGAAGTAAAACTTGTCTGGGTGAATTTCCTCGAACTCTTCCAGCAAGTACCCTCCTCGATATTTCTCTTCCACAAAAACCATGTTCGTTGCTTCTTCGTTGTTTTCCTCCATCTCGTTTTCGCTAAGGGAGTCTATGATTTCGTCTTCCTCCTTGGTCACGCTGAGGGTGCCCGGGTCTAACGATGGGGTGGGGCGCATTAAGGCTAGGTGAAAGCTGTCAACACCGTTGCGGTGACGCCTCTACCTGTCAAACGATTTTCGACGAGTATGACTCCAGACAGAAGCAGGCCCCTCTGCGAGGTAAATTCTGCATCCCTGAGGGGAGCCACTACAATGGGTTCCTTTTTCGCACATTTTTCGCGCTCTCCTTTCCGCTGTTTTTGCGCCATTTTTGTTCTCTTCTTGCTCTCTTTTTGCACTCTTTTTTGCATTTTCTCATTCTCTTGGTGTCCTACCTAGGACAGAACTCCTGGATCCGCCCAGCGCCTTGTAGGGGGTGCTGAAACCGAAGGAGGTGTCCCCATCCCGGTCCTTCTTGCCACACATGGATGAGTTGCTCTTAAGAGCACTGTTAGAAGATGACAACAAACTATCCCTATTTATCCTAATATGAGCAGATTCAAAGGAATCCATATCTACATTTTTGGCTAGTCGAAGGGGCGTGATTCTAAGCTCCTTAAATAAACTATCGACACTGTATTTAATCAAAGAATTATACTCATGAAATTTATGCGAGTCAATTTTAAAAGAATCAGGGTATAAAATGACATGAATAAAAGTTCTTAAACTCCCCCCAAATTTTAAGTCACCTAAGGAAACTTTTTCTAACATAATTTCGATTCGGATTGCATTCAAAACTAGCAGTACACATAACGTTTTGGACAAATTGCTCTTAATTTTGGAGATGTCTCGATTAGTATTACTATGTTTCATTCTTATACATGGGTACCCCTCGTTAATATCTTTTAAAATTTCACTCTTGTACTTATCAAATTCTATGAACTTTTTGTCTGCCGATAGAATTTTATTGGTGTCAAATTGAACTTCAGTATATTCCTCATTGCATACTGGAGAATTGTTTCTTCCTTTCTTTGTTAACACTTTTTTTTTTTTTACTTTTTTATTATTAGTGGGAATGTTTCTCCCTATCACTTTAATATAATCATTAGACATGACATAATTTTTATTCACCTTTAGCATATACATGGGGGAATAAGACCGCTTTGTCGATTTGGGTGTTATCTCGTAGCTGATCTCAATATCTTTGTCACTCTTCACGTCGCATATTTCGCTCGACAGGATGATGGAGTCCGTTTCTATGCACCCTAAATAGTACTCAAAGAAGACTCCTTTGTCTCTTATAAACTCGCCTCTCCTGTTGGACGCCTCGAATTCTTTTATCTTGGCCAACTTTATTTGCTCGTAGTTGTACAAGTCTATGTCCTCTATAATTTCGACTGAGAGGGTGGAAAGGAGCGAGTGGTTTGAATAATCATCTTGAGAGTGTGCGTGTATGTCGCTTTCGGTCTATGTGGGTATGCGTGTATGTCGGTGTTGGAAGGGCATAACAAAAGAGAACCAACATCAATCGGACAATGGAAATAAACAAAAACACTGCAATTTTGCGAGCGAGAAAAGGCACAACAGTATAGATCTCTCTTTCACCTCAGTTGAATCACTTACTGTCACTGCATCCCTCCATCGGCATGCCGTAGTTACTCTTTCCAGGACGCAGTCCCCCAGGGTTACCAAATGTTGACACCGTGTTGCACGTAGGCTCGTTCTCATTTAAGCTTATAATTTCTATGACGTCGCAATCATAGCTCTCCCCCCCCAACTGCCCAACTGATTCTTGAAATTTTTTCGTTTCATTCTTAAAACAATTTGAACTTGTCATTTAAGATAAAAATATTCATTTATGCTTTTGCAGATGGGAAGGAGAAAAAAAAAATACAAAAAATTATCAAGCGTGCAATGGGAAAAACAAAAAAAAAAAAGCTCTAATTATGCGAAAGCAAACTTAAAATAAATGAATCACATACTTTTTGGAGGCTACAAAATTGTATTCAAAAGAAATGGCGTCTAATGTAAAGCTGCGCGATGAGGTGGGGAAGCGACGTGGAAGCTCCTTCCTTAGTCTCTTCACATTTGGCCTCTTCACATTTCATCTTTGCGGCTTCTTCACACCTTTGCGGCTTTTTCACACCTTTGCGGCTTTTTCACACCTTTGCGGCTTTTTCACACCTTTGCAGCTTTTTCACACCTTTGCGGCTTTTTCATACCTTTGCGGCTTTTTCACACCTTTGCGGCTTCGTCACCTTTGCGGTTTACACCTCCACGCAGCACACCCACATACCCATGCATCAAGACGTGCGTGCCTCAAGACGTGCGATGCAGTCTCTCCTTATTTGCTACTCTGTATGGCTAGGGAACACATACGAAGGTGTTTGCGCTTCTGTACATCTAGACATGTGGAGTACAGGGGTTCATAGGGGGCGCCTAATCCGCAGTGATATTAACGCGTGAGAAGTCGCAAAGGCGTCGAACATTACATGCCTCCTGTTTTTGCTTCCCAAGAGGAGCTAAAATGTACGTCCGTCTAGTGCACGTGTGTTGAGCACTATACAATTCGTTTCGTAGGATAAAAAAAAAAAAAAAAAACGTGCGAAAATGGCCAGCAAAAGGGGTAAAAAATTGGGCAAAGCGAAGACAAGGTGAAGACAAAAATTTTCAATTCAAATGCTTACAAAAATAAAAACTGAAACAAAGGCGCAGGCGCAGGCACTGATGAGCGGAGGGGCATAGGAGGGGGCAAAGCAGTCGTCTACGTATATAATTGCACATACGTAAACGCATGTGCCATCGCATGAATGACCTTTGGGCCTTGTGATGGATGACGAGAGGTAGAAAGAGGCTTACAGTTCTCTCTTATGCATATGCCTGTACGTGCTTTTACTTGCCATCGAAATATCTTGTACTGCTAAATAACGCAGTCCCTATGGCTACTTGACGCCATGAAAAGGAGGGAGTTTCGTAAAATGAACAGAATAAATTAGAGGTGTCAAAAAATATTGCAACTGCTTGGGGGATTCCGAATTTATGTGAATTATTTGTACTTACGATTGGCGTAAATGTAACAATGCCAATGATAACGATAATGTTATTATTATTTTTTTTGTTTTTTTTTTTTTTTTCTCATTGATTTTATATTTTTTTCGTGTCAAATTCGGATATTCACCATTGGAGCGTTTTAAAAAAAAAAAAAAAAACGGAAAACAAACAGGATGATAGGGCAAAATGAAAGGAGAAGATTAAAAAAGGAAAACGGGAAAACAAAACGAGAGAGAGGGAAAATGATAAGTTCGCGAGGAACGGAGACATCAAAACTGTATTCCGATTGCCATTATGTGTTTTTATACTTATAAGGAAATACTATAACGGTTTAATGTGAAACTTCTCATCTTTAAATGCTCCATGGTGGTGATGTTATGAAGCAGGCAATAAAGAGAAACTTCCTTTCAGTTGTTCATACAAATTATGGCTTTTCCTTTTTGCAATTTTGCGCGGTTCCCTTTTTGTATCGCGTTTCTATGGGAAAAAATGGGAAAAGAAATGTAGTGCAACTGTGGTGGATGCGGGTGGGGCTAAGGCACTCCCGACGTGGAGAAGTAACGCGGCCAATTTATTACTTGTCAACGGTAAACCTCTCAATCGTAAATGTGTCATTCCCAGACTTGCCAATTGTGCAAATTCGCTATCTGTGATCTGTCATTTGCGAAAATAAATGTACACATGCGGCAACGGCGCGGGTCGGGGGATATCAAAAAGGCAAGCAGGAACGATTTATTTTTCCAAGGGCGATGATTTTCCAAGCGATTCCCGGGAGGCCATCATTCGCATCCCTACCTCGCGTAACTTCCCCCGGGTAATTTTTCGTATCTCCTTACCGGTTGAGAAAATCTTCCCAGACATTTTTCCTCTGGCATTTATGTAAAATTTCGCGCGCATGAAAAAAAAAAAAAAGTAAAGCGCCTAAAAAATTCGAACACATTTTTAAGCACCCTGCTCGGAACGTCCATTTCCCTTCAACAAAAAGGACTTCGTTTCCACCTCCCTCTCTCTTTCTCTCTCTCTTCCATTGAACACTCTTTAAGCGAAGCACGAACGCGTAAAAGGGCAGACGTGCAAAAGGGGTAAAAAAATTAACCCCCACTCCCCATCCTTTAAAAGAAACCTTACGCCTATTCGGTAGGCCATTCCCAGCAGCTAAAGGCATAAGCACAATTTATAAATGATGAGTTCTCCTAAGCGTACCTTCCATTTTTGCACAATATCACTAATGTAAAGCCTCTTCTAACTGCACATAACGCTGAGAAGCGCACGCATGCACATTGGCATATGTGTAGGTGTTTATTGCATGTTAAATTGCGCACATGTGAGGTGTACCTTTTTTTTTTCTTAGCGTGTGAACGCAAAATACATTCACTAAAAAAAAAAAATACTACCCATGCGCGCATAAAACGTATCATATATATATATATATGTATCTATGTATATATATTTTTTTTTTTCGTGTAAGGGAGAAGTAACAAAATAAAAGCTTTTCGCGCTCACGTTTTTTGTTGAAATACACGCGCTACGCACATAGGTACGGACAGATACACAATAAGCACATTTTTCTGGGGCGCTAACTGCGAAATGTAAATCGTGGAATATTACTCGCAGGGTTTAACCTTCACGCATGCTTCCTTAGTAGCAAGTTGCCAAGCGGGAAAAAAAAAGAATAAAATAAAAAACAATAATACAATATTATCGTTAAAATGTTCAATACTTCTCCGCGTTTGCATGTTCACATATTTTAGCAAAAAAAATGAAAATATGCTTTTTTTTTCTTTTTTTTTAAATCATCTTTAAAAAAGATAAAACAAAAAATGCGCACGGTAAGTTATTACATTTTTTTCGCCTGCTTGTAAAATATATTGGCATTTACGCACGCCTGTGAGTGTATAAATTTTTCGAGCCGCAAACGTAGCATATACAGTTGCACACGGCGTAGTTTACGTACCAGTTCCGCGTATTTTTCCCGCGCTGGGCTTACTCAGAAAAAATGTGCCCAAAAAATTGCACAGGACCTGTGCACAGAATTCGTTTTCCTAACAAGTAACACAAAAGGTACCACGGAGAATTGCGCAAAGGGGGGGAAAAAATACGCGCGCCCAAGGGTGAATCTTCGCTCTCTGCATCTTTGTCCTGTGTGTCTCTTCGCGCGGTGATGGTCAAGAGACCCACTTTCCATACGGCTCGCCCACTTGGTCAGAGCAAAACTGTAGCCATAACAAAAACACCGCATTATCTCCACACAGTTAAAGTCATTTTAAAATGGATTACGAAGGAGACATCATTGATGAGGATAGCCTGACTCCTAGGGTCTTTGATCGGACGAAAAAAAGCATGGGCATGGGGAATTTCAACATGAAGAACTTCAACATGGAGAAGAACGAGGCGGAGAATAGCCCAAGTAAAAAACAAACAAACAGAAAAAAGTGCAGAAGTTCTAACATCGAAGAAGGGGATAACAGATCGGTCACTAAAATTAAGCGAGTCAAAAAGGACATTGCAAAAACGGGAGATGATCACAGCAATATGCAGAAAATGGAAGGAATTTACAAAAATGAATGCACAGATGGGGGAGGAGACAAAACGAACAGTCGGGACAACACAAACACGAATGGTCGCTTTACAACAAACACGGCGGAAAAAACCGAATCCTCTTTTATGAATAACGGATGGCAAACACCAAAAAAGAGCAACGTAGGAATGTACTATTCTGGTATTGATAATCCGTCAACTTTGAAAAAATACAAAACGCCGTGCGAAATGGATATGATAAATCCCGATGAAAGCTTAATAGGTAATAAGTGCATTACTATTAACAATTATGTGAACCCTCCAAAATATGTAGCCCCTGTTGTCACGCCAAGCAAATTTCCCCTGTCAGGGGAAAATAACCCCCACATGACCTATGACGACTTCCGCTCCCTTTTCAAGCACAATGCGTGCATCATAAGTGAGCACGAATTTAACAGCAAGAAAAATTCCATTCAAGCAGACAACTACGAAAATAAATACATAGACTGTTTCACGTCAAACTATGAAAACAACTCATGGCCAAATAAGAAGGAGGTATCTCCATCCTTAAGTAGATCCAACACGAAAATGTTGCAAACCAGTAAGGAATCCCCCAGGAGTAAGAAGAGGAAGGTGGAAAATGGGACCAATGTGAACACCAAGAAGATGCTCAACATGTTGGCCGAGTCTGATAAGAATAAACGCCACAAGGAGAATGGAGTTAACAGTGGAACCAGCGCCAACAGCGCTAGAAGTGGGTATAGCGGTTATAGCGGTAAAAGCGGGCATAGTGGACAGAGCGGCAGAAGCGGCCATAGCGCAAACAGCACCTACAGCACCAACAGCACCAGCACCAACAGCAATAGCCCCAGCAAAAGCCCACAAAAAAGTAGTAGGGACCAGGACCCCGAAGGGCGAGAAGACGAGAACACCCACACAAAATGGATCGACTACGAAGTCAACCCCGTTATTATAAAAGGCAGCAACAAAACCGAAAGAGACGCTGCATCTATGGACCAGATGTCCAAACAGAAACAGAACCCGTTGACCCCAATTTATGAACCCTATTCCAAAGATCTGGACACCTTATTTGATATAAGTCAGGTAGAAACCCCAGCCATCCTGCTAGGAATATACCGAGGTTTGTTAGTGGCCGTGTCGAGAAGAAACCAAATGAATGTACCCGCCTTTTATCAGCTAGTGAAACAAGAAGTGGTAGGGTTAAGTAACTGCCCATCTTTTACCATAGAATCATTGAAAAAACTGGCATGGATAGCACCCAATTTAATACAGCTAAATAAGGTAGTCATAACGAAGGAGATTTTTGAACAGCATCAACAAGCTTACCCCGAGTTTGTCACAGGAAGGAAAATAGAAGATATACAAATAAGAGA